AAGAATGTCTGCTCATCTCTTCATATTATTTTCCCATATGTATCACTGACCACCTCTTGATTGCCTTCGACCTTGTCCTCCAGTATGTTTTTTGTTATATCATGTCATGTTTATCATGATGCCAAAAATATGTAATTTGTCTCTCATTTTTAATTTACCATTAGCCTTTTTATTTTTTTTTAATTCCTAGCTTGTTTAGGATCCATAAATTTGTTGATGATGTTTCCTTGAATGTAAAAGTTAGTTGTGTATCCTTTACAGGACATTGCAGAACCAACACTAGCATTTTTTGGCTGTTGTGGTTTTTCTAGGTAAATTTTATGTTCAGTAGTTTGCCACTGCTTACTGAATGGTCAAGTCTCAGTGCCCTGTTGAAACCAACTCAAGACAAATTGTCCTGCATCTTGGATCGAACCCGGCACCCCAGCATTACGAAGCGCATTCACAACACCCAAGCTACACAAACCAGCTGTGAATATACAACGCAAATAAATTACAAGATCAAAAGAGCTTCAACAAATAAGATACGGATACTGGAAAATTAAACCTAAAAGAACTGAATGTTATGGACCAAAAATCAACATCAGCTAAAGCTTACGGCAGAAATGTACATGGAGCAGAGAATGCTGTTCACACTTTACCAGCACATAATCATCTCAGTGACTGATTATGGATCGGGGTTACTCACTGTCTCCAAGAGTCAGATAGAGAAATTAAGCTATGACAACACATCCTAGCCCTTCAACCACATGCTGCACATAGGAGGGATTAGGACCAACACATCCTAGCCCTTCAACCACATGCTCTACATAGGAGGGATTAGGACCAACACATTCTAGCCCTTCAACCACATGCTCCACATAGGAGGGATTAGGACCAACACATTATAGCCCTTCAACCACATGCCCTACATAGGAGGGATTAGGACCAACACATCCTAGCCCTTCAACCACACGAGGGATTAGGACCAACACATCCCAGCCCTTCAACCACATGTTCTACATAGGAGGGATTAGGACCCACACATCCTAATCCTTCAACCACATGCTCCACATAGGAAAGATTAGGACCACACATCCCAGCCCTTCAACCACATGCTAAACATAGGAGGGATTAGGGCCCACACATCCTAGCCCTTCAACCACATGCTCCACATAAGAGGGATTAGGACCCACACATCCTAGCCCTTGCTCCTGGATATTTATCAGAACTGCAAGAGCTACAGCAGAGCTACGACACACTACTTATGCAGGCTTTCTACAAACAATACCAGAAATATACCCAACCATAAACCAATAAGGGCTACTACTGTCTTACCTTTTTCCCATGATGGAGGAGGCGAAGGTGCCTCAGCTCCGACTCCTGGTGCTCTGACTCCAAGCTGTAACTTCTGTCTTCTCTCAAGCCTCTGCCTATGAATGTCATCACTAATTGCTTCCAGACAGCGCAGTGCCTGAGAGTACAGGGCCTTGGAGGTGGCTACATCTTCTTCTAATCGACTGACTGTTTTCTTGTGATCCTAGCAGATGAGATTACACCAGGTATGCACATTCTTAACTCTGTATGTTATGTAATAAAATTATCATTTCAAATAAAACTTGCATTACAAAATGTGTAACTGTTTTGCAACATATTCCCTTTTAACCCTTTCGCTGCTATATGCCCCACAGTATACCTGTACCACTGTGTTAAACAGGATCAGCGCCCACCCTTCTATCTGTGCTGAATAATTGTTTATTCTCTAAAAGCAAAAGACACGTCAGCGGTGCAGGTAGGTGGCTGGACCATGTGCTGGGAAGTCAGACGTACTTTGGTGACACAAAGAAAGGAAACACTAGAAAGTAGATTTAATTTCCTGACTTTGCCAGGTGAAAGAAAACTGTATCCCCTACTTTATCTTTAGATCCACTATTACCCTAAATGAAGCAGAAACTCGATGGAAGAGCACAGCACTCAGGGCATTCTCATGTGTGCTCCGTCCTCATGTTCAGCAGCTAGTGTTGAGTTTCTATACTAATTTTTTTTAAACTGGGATATCACAGTGCGGTTTTATCTTCTTTTTTAATATAACCATTACTTCCGTTTTCTTGAAATTCGAGGAAAGTCCTTTCTTAACGCTATCCATCTTCACAATATCCAGCTGTTGTTGTAAATAATTTGCATTTTCAGCTATCAAAACTGTATCGTCTGCATAACGCAAATAGTTTATATTGTATCCTCCAACTTATTCCTGATTTCTCTTTAATTTCCCTTAAAATTACTTCACTATATATAGAGAAAAAGTCTGGGGATAAGACACGTCCCTCCCTGTCTTACTACTTGCTTTATCTATTCAAAAGTACCAAATCTGTTTGCCACTTTAATTGCTGCTACATGGTTCCAGTAAATGTTTTTAATTATTCTGAGATATTTCCTGTCTACATTGATATCTTCTAACATTTTTATCATCTCCTCATGGTGATATTTGTCAAATGGTTTGGTATAATTTAAAAAATTTTATATATAGTACAGGCAATAATTAATGTTAGTCATCATATTGATGTGTGGTCATATACATCTTGTTGATCATCGAGGGGATTATTGTCAAATCCGACTGATACTGATGGCTGGGCAGATCATCTTGCTCATTGCAAAAAGTGCTGCTTTTTGATCCCCCAGAATAATTGGTCCATAGCAGTAGGCATTAAAAATGTGTTTTTTGTGCCCACAGCAGTGAGGGCGCAGAAACTGGAGACACATAAAGACTTTCATAGCAGTGTATCTACAAACGACTAAACACATATAGGGGTAGGTTTAACTTTTCCACCTGTTATTGTTGTAAGTTGTAAACAGAGATACCTACAACCAATAATGGAATAAAATATATATGTAGAGTTTATTTTTGTGTGAAATTTGTAGCAGAGAAAACAACAAACAAAAGAGCTTCTAATACTAACTGAGGAAAAAGTAACCCTTATCTGTTGATACTGTACTGCAGATAATGGAAAATTATCATGACAAAGACATTTTATCTGGTTTAATCAATCTGTTGTGATTCCAGGTGACTGGGATGAAGTATATGGGTGGATTATGATGTGATATTTGAGTGTTTCCCTTATATGAGCTTTTGCAGTCTTAGTTTAACAGGGAAATAGGGCTCAAACGGTTTAATGAGACTTTTTGCAAGGTAAAAAAGTAAAGTAAAGGACTCTTTTCCAAGCCTTTAGGTGTATAGGGCATATAGGGCTAGACCTATATTTTATAGACCAATCAGCACAAGATGGGTGATGGGGTCAGAATCGCGCCGGCTTTTGCAAGGTATTTTCTGACAAATGTGCCCATGAAAGAGCAAGTGCTCGCATAAATAAAGATGCCTCTCATGTTCTAGAACACTGCAACAAAAAAGGCTTTGCCCAATGAAATCACTACAAATGTAAACCTACCTTCTGCTCTGAAACAGAAAAATACAGAAGAACATTGGTCAATATGCACCATAAGCTTCATGTTTACATAAAAACTCTGTAAAGAAAATACATGTATATCACTTGGCATTTGCAGTTCAAACACTTACTTCCATTACTTGATTAAACTTTGCTTTCATTTCAAAGTATGGCCTAAGGGGAAAATAATCATCATAAAAATGTTACAAATACTTCAGTATCAAAAGTTTTACATTCCTGTTTACGATATGCAATTATGATCCAAATATTACTCTTTCAAACTTAAACAAAAATATATCTTTCTTGTTACATTTTTTTTAAGTGAAAATACCCGAATGAGTTAATCCTATTTCATTTGAGTTTATCATTCTTTGAAGTAACTATTTCAGTACCAAGATGCTCACTGTATGTTCAATAATTACTCTATCCATGTTATACATAGCTTCACTTCTTCTGCCCCAGTCTTCTGTTGCAACCTTCTATTATATCTCAAGTGTTAGTTTTACTTATTATGTGTGCCCTGTAGTTATACAATGTTAACTCATTAAGATGCAAAGATTTTTAACTGAAAGTACAACCTGGGGCAAGCCGTGTTCAAATAGCAATTATCTAAATCTCAAAGAGTCAACCACTCATTACTGTTGGAAATATGCAGCAAAACAACACATAAATAAACTACAGCAGCAGAATTAAAGAACATAACCAAAACTTTCCATTTGTCTTAGAATTTGACATTGCAGAACCAACCCCAGCATTTTTTGGCTGTTGTGGTTTTTCTAGGCAAGTTTACGTCCAGTAGTTTGCCATTGCTTTCTGGACGGTCTGCTTCTCGCTACCACTGTCAAAACCAATGCAAGGTACAAGGCCCGCAGCTGGGATCGAACCCAGCACCCCGGTATTACAAAGCACGTTCGTAACGCCTAAACCAGAGACGTCGACAGTCAGATATTTCCTTTAGGAAATATTAGAGTAAACGATGTCTACAAACTCCTGCCTAAATGGAACAAGAATGTCACTACTTCAAGACATCATCCAAATATTCAACTAGCAAACACACTGGTAATAACCCTTAAGTTGATCTCTCCTGCATCTGTGTATTATTTATTACCAAATCCACCATGGCTTATGGTCCAAATTTGCATTTAGAGTAAATGTAAACAGTAATGAACCTTCTTTCATACCTTCAGAAGTAATGGGTATATGATGTTATTTCCATGTTTCCATACACCGACCAGAACTTCATGAGTGATGTGATCAATATCATACTGACCACCTTTATCTCCTATAACATTTCCTTATACATATGTTAGACTGGATTGCCCTGGTAGCTCAGATAAATTTTAAAGAAATGTATGCGTCTGTGAACATCTGAACACATACATAAGCACTGGGCTGGTAAGCAAGCAGGCTGGTTGCTGCCCTTTTGTAAATCCTGCATTCAGAGTAGAGGATGTTAGAGTGTTGAACTCTGAGCTAATGTTAGCCTCGACTGTCATATGTCCTGTGATAGGAGCAGGGTCACAGTGAAATACCCAATGACAATTTACAAATAAGCAAATAAGTAAATTATGTCAACAGAAATATTACTTAGATTTTGTGATGGCTCTTTTGAGGTCTTTCTGGAGTTTCTGCACTTCCTCCTCTCTGCGTTTAAAGTTCAATGTAGTTTTTTGATGAAAATCCTCACTCTCCATCCGCTCTCTTTCAGCATCATTACCTAATGATGAACAGAGCACATTCAACTGCTTGTAACTGAGACGATGTACCAGTTCAGAACATGAAAAACCTTATATCCAGCAGACAGCAAACTACATCAGTCAGTTTATTTCAGGCAAAGGATAATTAAAAAAAGACAAATTCTACAATGCAACCTACAATACAAGTGATGCTCTTCACTTGATTACTGTAACCAATTGTTAAGGAAACATGAATTTATCTGCCATTATCTCAATGTCAGTGACATAAAAGACAATATCCTAGACATATGGGGTTTCCCTTTCTTTGTGGTGTGAGGAAAAACAAGATTTACGGCTAAAACAAAGAAGAATGGTCCTATGAGGAGTACCAGGGGATCTAACAGGTGATCAGCGCTCAAGGGAAAGTTGAGAGGGACTATTACTGCTGCTACCGGAACTGGAACTCTACTCATGCTGCTGAAGATGGGGACAGAGCACCCCCCCCCCCTCCCAGGTGCTGTGATGTTGATTCTTAATTAAACATTAAACAAATAAGAATATATCTTGCTTTCACACAAAGTCATAGGTTTCCACTTCAACTTCAGTCTACAGTTTCCACTCTCCTGGAGATCAGCTTTTCAAGCAGTTTCACAAGATATCCGTATCTCTCCAGTCTGCTGGTATTTCCTCTTCTTTGGTGCTCTAGTTTTCTCCAAAATAGCCCCAGTGACTGATCACGCGAGTTTTATGTTGAATGAAATTAAACATTTTGTGTCCTGAACTGCAACAAGGTAATTGAAGGAAATGAATAGACTTGAGGTAACAAGATAAATACCTTGATGGCTTGATCAAACGCTAGGATGCCAGACAAGAGAACTGACCTGATGCACGATTCTGTACGATTGCTGAATTATTACGGCCTATGTTTTCTGCCCCGGGACATAAAGACCATTTTTATATTTCCAGGGAAAGGGGTTGCTAAGTGATTGTTGTTTTTTTTTCAACTTAAAAGATGATAGTGGGCCAAAAAAGTGTTGGACTGGTCTACAGTAAAAATGCTATTTTGAGATTCAACTTGACAGAAACCTTTTCAGAACTGGTAAAGCCAGATTACAATAGGTATCAGCAAATGCTCTTGCAAGTAAAGGTAGCAGGAGTAGCTCTGGTCACATCACTGGCAACATGCTGGTTAGTTTATACACATATGAGGGCAAGAAAAGATATGTGATGTCACCAAGCCTCACAATATAATGAATACAATCAAAAAGTAAAACGTTGCAACATATGAGGGCAGCACAAGACATCCACTAGGCCTACAAGTGTAAGCAACGACACATTACTATTTTTAACTCTTCTTCTTTTTTCTAGTCCCGTTCTGTCTTTCAGCGTCAAGTGTTGACAAGGCATCAGATGAAAGCCTTGGTGTGTGCTACGCAGAACCTGGTATTTAGGGCCTCGGATATTCCATCTATCCATCGCTTGTGTGGTTGACCTTTTGTAGCTCCTATTATGTCCAGGCGACAGGATCCTCTGTGGTGCACTGTTCGGCGGTAGTCTCGACACATGACCAACCCATCTGATCTGTTGTCTCTTGACGCAGTTTAGTATGGGTTCTGTCCTGATGGATTTTCTGGTTTCATCATTTCTGATCCTGTCTCTTCTATTTACATTTAGAATTTGTCACAGCCATTTTATTTCTGTTGTTTAAATTTTCTCTCATCATCAATGTCTATAATTAGCACTGGTAAGAGAATGTTGGTAACAATTATTGCATTTATTCAATAATTTGATTAGCTTGATTGTATCTGTGTTCTATCGCTGCTTTCACTGTTACACTGGATGATATTATGCTTCCTAGATACTTGTTTTTTTTTTCGTTGTTTGAGTTGTTGGGTGGGAGATAGGACACATGGCTGACAGATTCCATCCAGATTGTATATTGAACTTTGATGTCGGGGGTGGAGGGTGAGATAGGACACATGGCTGACAGGTTCCAGATTGTATACAGAACTTTTATAGGGGGGGGGGGGGGGGGGGGGTTTGGGAGATAGGACACACAGCTGACAGATTCCAGACTTGTATGAAGAACTTTTATTGATGGTTTGGGTGTATAGATAGAATGGTAGGTAATAGAGAGTTAAAATAATCTGTGTACACAAAAGAGCAGAATAGTAGCAGACTTCAAGACAGACCATGATGATCTACAAACTTCTGGTGTCATCAACTGAAAAGAGAAGGCCAATCAGAGAGAAGAATAGAGGCAAGCGATGACCGCAGCAATGAACCTCAAGGGGTCAGAATGATGAAGAAGAACACCTGGTGATAGCTGAGTGAAATCTGCCATTTGTAAAATCTTTATGAACTGCTACTAAAGAATACGCAGTCATGTATCGTTTGCTGTCATTTAATCACCAGAACCATGAACTGGGTCTATGTTACTGTCTCCTCCGTACTAAGTATTTATCTCTCTGACTTGTTTCCTCCCAATAACTTGCCTAAAAACACTTGTCCCTATAAACATGTTCAATAATGATAAACTGTAAACGCTAACAGTGATCAGGCACAACCAAGACAACATTTCTGTCTGACAAGCCCAGCGTTGTTAAATGTTTGATCCCGAACTAAAAAACCGACATCACAGCACTAACAACATTTTCACTAGCCATACGTCACCATCTTCAGCAGCAAGTGCAGAGTTCAAATTTCATGTATCACCTGTTACATGACTGTATATCTGTCTCGCCTGTTCCTTGAGTGCCGAACTTTGACCCTGGTCACTCTTTACAGCACCATTCTCCTCAGAAATTAATGATCTATTTGTGCCTTCACACTTGTTCACTTGCTCCAAAAGGGCCCTCACATCATCTAGCTTGCCATGTAACAATTCAGCACCAAGTAGTGCAGAACCAGCCAGTCTATCTGTCTGTTTATTTCCCAAACACTTGCATGACCTGGAGAAAATATCCAAAGTATGCCAACAACCCACGACCTCTGAAGCGATGCTTGGCACTCTGCACAGAGCATACCTGTCTCCTCCTTTCTCAACATGCTCTGTGAGTCAGTTACAAATAAAACATGTGTGTACAGCTGATTCTCAAGCCAGCGCAAGGTAGCAGTGACTGCCTTCATCTCCATTCTCAAACCAGACGTTGTGGTATCGTAGGTACTAGTAATGTTTTCCGCAACAACAGCAACACTGGTTGGCCTTTCATCCATACTTGCTGACCTTTCACATGCGCTAGTCTATGTTACAGGGAGAGGAAGGATGTGAGAGAGAGAGAGTGACAGAGATAGGATTAGGTAAGTAGAATGCGTATAAAAATTAATAACTCTATGAAGATGTTTACAATAATCAAAGTTGAAAATATTTTCACGTTATTACTCCTATAAAGCCACAAACAGATTAATCATTAAATAAGATCAATACACACCTTCATAGTTGCATGATTTAGCATCTCCTGCCAAGTTGGATCAAGATCAACTTCTCTTCTCTTGTACCCCTCCTCAGCCAGTTGGACCATTTCTTTAGCAGCCTCATGCATACTGCAGGCACGCTCAAACCTTACTGCAGCTTTCTGGCTGTCCAAATGTGCCTGAGATTCAGATGTTAAATAGGAAGTTATTAAAATATGCAAGTTTCAGATCTATAACTGAATGGTGTTACTGAGTCACTGAGTTTTATATTTTCAATTGACTGATGTTATCAAGATGTTCAAATGAACAATCTTTCTAAAGTAACTAGAGATTCAAATTTTCAAATAAAAAACGTGACTTTGGAGCCTGAATTTTAAATGTATAGTTGAAAAGTGCTGTAGGCCTTAGGCCTTGCTTTGGTTTCAACAGTGGTATTGAGAATTCAACCGTCCAGAAAGCAATGGCAAACTAATGGATGTAAATTTGCCTAGGAAAACACAACAACCAAAAAATGCTGGGGTTGGTTCTGCAACGTCCTGTAAAGGATACACAACTAAGTTGAAAAGTGTTATTAACGTGCATGAGGTTCAGATGTTCAAGGGCAGGGGTTTAGTCAAAAATAATCACTAAAATAGGTTTTTGGAATGTCAGGACTATGGAACAGGCAACAACATCCGTTCAGTTAGCAGATGAGCAGAAGAAAAGATGGACAGAACATCTCAAAGCAATCTTAAATAAATCCAGTCCACACGAACCAATGAAATTTGACGATGAAAAATATTACCAAAAAATGAAATCAGGGAAACGATTCATTAGCTCCCCGTGTGGGTTCCGGGGTCCTATTATAGGGAAAATAAGAATAGACCCACTGCCTACCCAAAAGCACGTCGTAAGAGTCGACTAATTGGTAGCTTCCTTCGAAGTCGGAGTGCATCTGCCAGAGTGGCAAGGAACCAGCAGTTTGCAAACAAATGAGTCAGATCTGTAAAACGGATGCACACGTAACACTCAGGTCTTGGAACATGCAGTCCAGAAGTGGATAAACAACCAGAACTTTCTGCCAGAGTTTACAGCTGGTGACCGCGAAGAAGAAGAAGAAGAAGATTCATTAGCAAACAATAGGTCAGTAGGTGATGACGATATTACAGTGGAAATGATCAAGGCAGCAGATGTAACCATAAACCGAGTGAAAGAGTTGTTAAATAGAATATGGGCAGGGGGGAAAAAATCCCAGATCCGTGGAAGAAAGGAATAATATTTAAAATTTTAAAGAAAGTTAACATTACTGACTGTAACAACTGGAGAGGAATTACTCTGTTATCAGTAATGTCAAAGGCATTTTGTAAAGTAATTATTAAGAGAATTAAATGGGTAGTGGACAAAATCCTGAAAGAGGAACACGCAGGTTTTAGACACCTGGAACAAGCTGCTTAGATCAAATATTCACTCTGAAACTTATTTTTGAGGTATAGTTTAAAAAAGAACAACCCTTTATTTTTAATTTCATTGACTTTCAGAAGTCTTTTGGTAGTTTACATAGAATATCACTATAGGGAATTTTAGAATGCTAGAGTATACCAGTGAACAAAATAAATATTATGAAGGCAATGTATGAAAGTCAAAGTGTGCAGTGCGAACAGATGATGGTTTAAGTGATTGGTTTGAAGTTGATACTGGAGTGAAACAGAGATGCATTATATCTCCTCTGTTATTTGGCATAACCACTGACTGGGTACACCGGCACCGACTGGGTACACCGGCACCGACTGGGCACACCGGCACCGACTGGGCACACCGGCACCGACTGGGCACACCGGCACCGACTGGGCACACCGGCACCGACTGGGCACACCGGCACCGACTGGGCACACCGGCACCGACTGGGTACACCGGCACCGACTGGGCACACCGGCACCGACTAGGTACACCGGCACCGACTGGGCACACCGGCACCGACTGGGTACACCGGCACCGACTGGGTACACCGGCACCGACTGGGCACACCGGCACCGACTGGGCACACCGGCACAGACTGGGTGGAAAACATACAGTTGGAAGATCTTGATTTTGCTGACTGTTCTGCTAAGTAAAAACAGCAATGACATGCAAAGGAAAACAGATGATTGAGCAACTATTGCATCAAGGGTTGATTTACACACAAGTTATGAAATGACAAACATATTGAAGACACAACAACAGATCAAGCAGACGTAACACTAGAGACAATAGTAATTGACCTAAGAGATCAATTTACTTATTTAGCTAGTAGTTTTGATAGTGAAGGACATGCACAGAAAGAAATTGACAAACACTGGCAAGGCATCAGCAGCTTTTAATAGCTTGAACACAAAAAAGGAACTCTAAATTGTAAAGTTTTAAAACCAAGTTACGCATTTTTTATTCTAATGTTATTTCAGTTTTAAGTTGGTGAACCAATAGAGACATCGAACGAAAATTAAATTCTTAAACAAATGTCTGAAAAACATGATTAAAATAAAATGAGATGAATTCAAAAGGAGTAAAGAAATGAAAGAGATGTCTGGCCACCACTAGTGTCAACAGGTTAGAATGGAATGGGGGAGTAGACTGTGAGTCCTATGTGACATATAATGGCACAACAGGTTAGAATGGAATGGGGGAGTAGACTGTGAGTCCTATGTGACATATAATGGCACAACAGGTTAGAATGGAAAGGGGGAGTAGACTGTGAGTCCTACGTGACATATAATGGCACAACAGGTTATAATGGAATGGGGGAGTAAACTGTGAGTCCTATGTGACATATAATGGCACAACAGGATAGAATGGAATGGGGGAGTAGACTGTGAGTCCTACGTGACATATAATGGCACAACAGAATAGAATGGAAAGGGGGAGTAGACTGTGAGTCCTACGTGACCCATAATGGCACAACAGGATAGAATGGAATGAGGGAGTAGACTGTGAGTCCTACGTGACCTATAATGGCACAACAGAATAGAATGGAAAGGGGGAGTAGACTGTGAGTCCTACGTGACCTTAAATGGCACAACAGGATAGAATGGAATGGGGGAGTAGACTGTGAGTCCTACATGACCTATAATGGCACAACAGGATAGAATGGAATGAGGGAGTAGACTGTGAGTCCTATGTGACCTATAATGGCACAACAGGATAGAATGGAATAGGGGAGTAGACTGTGAGTCCTACGTGACCTATAATGGCACAACAGGATAGAATGGAATGAGGGAGTAGACTGTGAGTCCTACATGACCTATAATGGCACAACAGGATAGAATGGAATAGGGGAGTAGACTGTGAGTCCTACGTGACCTATAATGGCACAACAGGATAGAATGGAATGGGGGAGTAGACTGTGAGTCCTATGTGACATATAATGGCACAACAGGATATAATGGAATGAGGGAGTAGACTATGAGTCCTATGTGACATATAATGGCACAACAGGATATAATGGAATGAGGGAGTAGACTATGAGTCCTATGTGACATATATTGGCAGAACAGGATAGAATGGAATGAGGGAGTAGACTGTGAGTCCTATGTCACATATAATAGCACAACAGGATAGAATGGAATGGGGGAGTAGACTGTGAGTCCTATGTGACATATAATGGCACAACAGGATAGAATGGAATGAGGGAGTAGACTGTGAGTCCTACGTGACCTATAATGGCACAACAGGATAGAATGGAATGGGGGAGTAGACTGTGAGTCCTATGTGACCTATAATGGCACAACAGGATAGAATGGAATGGGGGAGTAGACTGTGAGTCCTACATGACATATAATGGCACAACAGGTTATAATGGAATGGGGGAGTAGACTGTGAGTCCTATGTGACATATAATGGCACAAAAGGATAGAATGGAATGGGGGAGTAAACTGTGAGTCCTATGTGACACATAATGGCACAACAGGTTAGAATGGAATGGGGGAGTAGACTGTGAGTCCTACATGACATATAATGGCACAAAAGGATAGAATGGAATGGGGGAGTAAACTGTGAGTCCTATGTGACACATAATGGCACAACAGGTTAGAATGGAATGGGGGAGTAGACTGTGAGTCCTACATGACATATAATGGCACAAAAGGATAGAATGGAATGAGGGAGTAGACTGTGAGTCCTACATGACATATAATGGCACAAAAGGATAGAATGGAATGGGGGAGTAAACTGTGAGTCCTATGTGACAGATAATGGCACAACAGGTTAGAATGGAATGAGGGAGTAGACTGTGAGTCCTACATGACATATAATGGCACAAAAGGATAGAATGGAATGAGGGAGTAGACTGTGAGTCCTATGTGACATATAATGGCACAAAAGGATAGAATGGAATGGGGGAGTAAACTGTGAGTCCTATGTGACAGATAATGGCACAACAGGTTAGAATGGAATGAGGGAGTAGACTATGAGTCCTATGTGACATATATTGGCAGAACAGGATAGAATGGAATGAGGGAGTAGACTGTGAGTCCTATGTCACATATAATAGCACAACAGGATAGAATGGAATGGGGGAGTAGACTGTGAGTCCTATGTGACATATAATGGCACAACAGGATAGAATGGAATGAGGGAGTAGACTGTGAGTCCTATGTGACCTATAATGGCACAACAGGATAGAATGGAATGGGGGAGTAGACTGTGAGTCCTATGTGACATATAATGGCACAACAGGATAGAATGGAATGGGGGAGTAGACTGTGAGTCCTACATGACATATAATGGCACAACAGGTTATAATGGAATGGGGGAGTAGACTGTGAGTCCTATGTGACATATAATGGCACAAAAGGATAGAATGGAATGGGGGAGTAAACTGTGAGTCCTATGTGACACATAATGGCACAACAGGTTAGAATGGAATGGGGGAGTAGACTGTGAGTCCTACATGACATATAATGGCACAAAAGGATAGAATGGAATGGGGGAGTAAACTGTGAGTCCTATGTGACACATAATGGCACAACAGGTTAGAATGGAATGGGGGAGTAGACTGTGAGTCCTACATGACATATAATGGCACAAAAGGATAGAATGGAATGAGGGAGTAGACTGTGAGTCCTACATGACATATAATGGCACAAAAGGATAGAATGGAATGGGGGAGTAAAACTGTGAGTCCTATGTGACAGATAATGGCACAACAGGTTAGAATGGAATGAGGGAGTAGACTGTGAGTCCTACATGACATATAATGGCACAAAAGGATAGAATGGAATGAGGGAGTAGACTGTGAGTCCTATGTGACAGATAATGGCACAACAGGTTAGAATGGAATGAGGGAGTAGACTGTGAGTCCTACATGACATATAATGGCACAAAAGGATAGAATGGAATGGGGGAGTAAACTGTGAGTCCTATGTGACAGATAATGGCACAACAGGTTAGAATGGAATGAGGGAGTAGACTGTGAGTCCTACATGACATATAATGGCACAAAAGGATAGAATGGAATGGGGGAGTAGACTGTGAGTCCTACATGACATATAATGGCACAAAAGGATAGAATGGAATGGGGGAGTAGACTGTGAGTCCTACGTGACATATAATGGCACAACAGGATAGAATGGAATGGGGGAGTAGACTGTGAGTCCTATGTGACAGATAATGGCACTACAGGATAATGAATGAATGACACCTAACTAATCAGTGGTTCCCAACACTTTTGACTCAGAAGCCCTTTTTTAAATTAATTATGATGGTGGAACTCCTCAGACCTGCTGTCTTTCATGTTTATAGTGTTTAGAAGTCATGTTACAAAGCAGACAGAGGAAGAGGGACTAAATAGCACTGCAATGTAAAGCACAATTAACTTTACCAGACCTGAGGCCCTGAACCTAACTGCCTCCTATACCTGAGCTCCTGGGCATTACCTCGAAAAAAAACCAACATGATATACACAAATATTAGTAACATGCAAATAAGTGGCTAGAATAAGACGAAACTTGGAGACATTGTAGAAAAGAGGTTAACCTTTTATCTAGCGCCAATATCCCACCGTTGTGTGCTAATCCACCCAGTAGGATCAACCTTGTTTCACAAAGTGAACACCAGATTTTGCTGTTTGAGGGACACGCCCCCTTCTCCTACTTTCGATCTATTTTCTAGATTTGTCATTTTCAAGATTCTCCTCAATTATTCCAGCTCTCACTGACTATGTCACTTCAACTAGGAACGTATTCTTCATGAAATTATTACTCCCCCAGAGTCTGAATCAACTAAAGTATCGATCAGCTGTTGGACTGTGAAAAGCCTAGACCTACTACACTTTCCTGTCAAAGTACTTGGTTCATCAGCAGCTCGTTTTATTGTGAATTTTAGGATTTTTCTCCCGTAAATCAACACAAATTTAATCCAAACACGTGCGGGCAGACATCTGAGAAGACTATCCACGAGATCTGATTACGACTGGCTAGTTATTTTTAGTTTGTGGCGCACTGTTTTCTCATAGTACGCAGATTAGGAAATTCCTGTAATAGCGGGCCAGCGGTCTGGCAGAGTTAAGATATGCCTATGTTTACAAAATCATGTAGTCACAATAACAACTAATATGTGAATGGTCTGACTAGTTAAAGAAGTTTGTTACTAGAAGAAAAAAAAAAGCTTGGCATGCCTTGTAAATTATGCATTTGTGATTATAATGAACAGCTGCTAACACACCTCCTTGAGTCTCATCCTAGCATCATAATAAGGTCTTGCTTTGTCAACACAGGCTCCTAGTTTCTTGGCCAGACCATTCAGACGCTGAGTTGAATCTGACAAAACCTGGCGAAATGCTGCCCTTGCATCCTGCAAAGACATCAAAAAACAATATCTCCACTACATTCCATCATGCCCACAGATGGAAATAAAAAAACAGGTACCCACTCAAGACTGGGTCGACCTGGCAGCCAAGGCCATTTTCAAGAACACTAGTGGAAGAATCAATTCCTATTCACATGGAGTGAGGTCCTTGTTGGTCATGCACATATATGTATGCTTATTGTTTCTCTGAAGGATCTCAACATATCTTTTTTTTTTGGGGGGGGGGGGGGGGGGGGGGGGGGGGGGGGGGGGGTTATTCTATAGTAAGATTTCCAGTTTTTAACTATATACTAAATCTTCAGTTTAGTTTTTTAAAAAGAACTAGTTAATAAATAGAAAAGATTATTATAAAAACAACACATAACAAACAGTTTGTAACTGATCTTTCCAAGACTTGAAATCTTTAGAGCAAACTACTTTTACTTTTTTTTTTTTTTAGAAACTTTGTAAGAAAAAAAAATTCATAAAAATACTGGTGTCAACAAATTAAATGATTTGCTAAGTCACTTTATAGTTATAAAATAAAGCCAAACTGCCACATACCAGTAAAATATGTTAACACTGATGACAATTAGAATAAGCTATGATATTTTAATGCACAACTTACATCCAACTCCAATTCAAGTCTGTTGATTTCTTCACTTGACCTGTTCAACTTTTCTAACTCCACCTGCACAAATAAAAGAATGTGGTCCCAGTGTTAACAAGCATAACCAGTCAATATTATAGTGTTTCTAACAATGTGAAACACAAAGGAATGAGTACAGATGAATACCAAAAATGTAACTGTTGACAAGTTCATGCATGTGTATCTCTCTCCATTCTTTAGCTGAATATATGAATTCCTATTTTATCTTTCTATGCTATGATGCAAATAGGGGCTTTTGAGCTGAAATTCATTAGAAAGATTTTCAGAATATCTTGGACAAAGAAAAGGAGAAATACTGACATCTTGAAAGATCTGAACACCAAGAAAGATTGGCTAATAAACAGCATTGTGTCTCGAAAGCTGAAATATTTTGTTCATATCAAGTGCCCCGACGGATTTGAAAAAAAATTATAGCAGAAGGCATGGTACCAGGAAGGAGAGGCAGGGGCCGACCAACACGAAGATGGGCACAGGATATAAGAGACTCCTTGAGTATGAAAGTACATGAGGTAGCAGAACTGGCGAGAGACCGAGTTTCTTTCAGGCAGACTGTGATGAGAGTGACGTTCTGCAAAGGACCTGCTACATGATGATGATGATGATGATGCTATGATTCAAGCTGCTGTCCTGATTCTCTTATAGTTATCTTCAGGCCCCTTTAATTTCCCCGCTGTAGTTTATAGTTTGCATATTCTCATAATATGAAGAAAAAAATATAGAAATGATCACCTCAATGCTTAATCACATACAGTCTAGCCTAAACCTTTTGCATTTACTGAAAAAACCAAGTCAGGATCTTGATGCCAGGAAATTACTTTCAGCCAGCAATACAACTGTGAGTGATTTTGTTCAGCTGATTTGTGTGGTTATGTGAGGTCATTATGTGGAGAAGCACTAAATACAAAATTACTGACGCAGACACAAGAATTAAATGGGAGAAAATAATACTGACATGGGCTGTCATCTGCCTATCTTCTTCTCACTTCAGTGTATTTGAATGCTGGTTAATCTACTGTTTCTTCTTCATTTAATATTAACCATGAAAGCTGTGTTATAACATACAGTACTTCTTTTATTTGGTGAACATGTTGGTATCGCTTCCCGTGGAAAGGTATTTGGTGGAGTTCCACAATTTAATAATTCAGCAAAGTATTCCTTTCATCTGTTAATATTTCCACATTATTATTTATTATGTTCCCATTGTTATCTTCAAACCATTTGTGCTGTATTGATGCCTTTCCCTTCTTTAACTCTTTGAGTCCCAGGGGGTTTATCATCAGAGGCCCAAGGAGTAGTCAAAAGAGATGTAAAATCGGCGCATCTTGCGTTCATTGGGCCTCTAGGCGGGACCTATGAACGTATGATGCGTTCCTTGGTACTCAAAGCGTTAAAAGATTTTCTTTACTTGTGGTTCTGATGGTTTGTATATCTTTGACAACATTGCTCACATATTCTCAGAACCTCTTGTCACCCCCAACTGCATCAATCTCACCACACTGTGGTGATCAATCTGCTCCTCCGAACTGTACAAGCTCTCCCACAAGGCACTAACCACATCTGCCTTATCATGCATCAGTATTCCACCAAGCTGTGCAGAGCCAGCCAGTCTGTCCGCCTGTTCATTTCCCAACACACCGGCATAACCTGGTGACAAAATCCTCACTCGTATCTTCTGCAGCGAAGCATGCCTGTCCTGATCTTCCTAGGCATGCTTTCTGAGTCAGTTACAACTTGCGTGTCAACAGGGTAGTTGCCCCATTACTTGATTAGCTTTGGCACATCTCGAGCTAATTTCTTTGTCCAGTTTTCCGTTGGATGTGAAAATTGCTCCCAAATACTTAAATGCCTCTGTTTGTCTTAAGGTGTTGTTTTTTTTGGTTTTATTTTTAAATTGTCTTTCTATCTTCCTATCACCACAGTCTCTGTCTTCGTAGTGTTTATTTTCATATTATATTCCTCCCCTTTGTTACTAATTTGTTTTAGGTGGTTCTGTAGGCATTCTGTACTTTCTGCAATGAGTACTTGGATACTAGACTGTATTATTGTTTTCGTCTCTTGATGGGTTGTCGCTTTTTGGTTGTACCATGTCACTGCCGCTTCTGGCCATCTGTCCACTATTTCATTGCCTTCCAAGCCACAGTAACCTGGAATCCACTGCAGTACAGATTGTTTTACTGAATAGCCTAAGTGAATCAGTTGTTGCGTCAAGTCTACAAACTGAGTGTCTTTTGGGTTAACAATTGCTAGTAGAACTGATATAGCATCAGTCAGAAAGACCACTCTGCTATATTTGCTGTGCTGTTGTCCATTCAGGAAAGAACGTGCCGCCAGAAGTGCTTCTGCCTCTGCTCTGTAATTGGAGGAATATGAACCTGTTGGTACAACCTGGTTGATTTTTAAACCATTTGGGCATTCTATGTATATTCCTCCTCCTAGTCTCTTACTGCTCTCTTGGCTGAACCATCTGTATACACTCTAATCCAACTCTTGTGTGGATAAAGTCTGTTCATCTCTCCTTCTGTAGTTGATTTCATATCAGTGCTGCCTCAAGAGCCTGGCATACCACCTCAACACCAGACCTAGCCTTTCACTCAGCAGACATGTAACTGAATGTTACCAGAACTGTTGGGAAGCAACTAGGAGGCAGTGACCACCGGCCAGTCTTTCTAACTATAGAAAGCCAGTCTGTAAGAGAGAGCAGCACACTGCCAAGGTGGAATTTTAAGAAGGCAGACTGGAAGTTATATCAGCTTCGCACAAATGTTCTGCTGGAAAATCTGAACACAGATAACGACGTAGAAAAAGTAGTCCAAGAGTTGAGCAAACGCATGCTGCAGGCAGCCCTAGAAGCAGTTCCAAGAGGTGCTCGTAAACAATATAAACCGTACTGGAATTGCGATCTGGAGCAACTGTACAACAATATGGGAACAGAAAGAGACCAGACCTTGTCAGGAGCAGTTCAACAACTACCAACATTCAAAGGCCAAATTCCAAAGAGCCAAACTGCAGGCTAGACGGACAAGCTGGCAGGAAAAGACAAAGTCTCTAAACTTTGAAAGAGACACAAGGAAGTTGTGGAGGTTAATTAAACAAATTAATGATGAGAATACAGGAAGAAATGGTAATATTGCACTATGCAAAGAGGGAGCCATCCTAACAAGAAAACAGGCAGCTGACCACTTTGCGGATTCTTTTGCAGAAGACAGCAACATTAATGTCAGCCCAGAGAAACAGCGAGAGGTTCGAGAGAACAAACAGCATACAAGACAAAAAGATATAATTCCTGAGGCACTGGTGGCAGCATTTACATCTAGCGAGCTAGAGCTAGCAATATCAAAGCTGAGAATGGGAAAATCACCTGGAATTGATGGTATCACCAACGAAATGATCAAGAACCTTGGAACAACTGCCAAAATAAAGCTGCTACAGATCTTTAATCATTGTTGGACCAGTGGCAAAGTTTCTCAGATATGGAGAGAAGCAATTACAATACCTCTGCTTAAACCAGGAAAGGACAGTTCTGAAGCCTCCAGCTATAGACCGATTAGTCTTACCAGCTGCCTCTGTAAAACAATGGAACGTATTGTCAACCTTAGACTCCAAGGTACTTGGAAAGTGAAAACATTTTCATGCCGCAGAAGACCAGACAACTTACCTTTCACAAGAAATTGAGGATGCCTTCCAGGAAAAGAAGCTAGTGCTAACGGCATGGATAGATCTGAAGAAAGCCTTTGACAAGGTCTGGAAAGAAGGGCTACTGAAGAAATTGAGAGACTGCAGGGTGAATAGGAGTATGTAAAAATGGGTGAAAGCCTACTTGTATAACAGAAGATCCCGAGTACAGATAGATGGAATTAAGAGTAAGGAAGTTTTGCTGCGCCATGGCGTCCCACAAGGAGGTGTCCTGTCCCCCACACTCTTCCTAGTCTATATCAATGACCTGCTTACTGAACTACCCCATGGAATTAAAGCTGCAATGTATGCTGATAACTTGGTACTCTGGTGTACAAATGAACATGCAACAATGGCCACCAGACTGCTACAAAGAGCCATAGATGCAATGGCTAAATGGGCCGACAAATGGTGTGTCAGCATCAACATAGGCAAATGCAGCACCATCCTCTTTACCCTTTCTCCTAAACAAAAATCAGGCGTCATACACATAAATGGAGTACCCCTGAGAGAAGGATAAGGAGCCCACATACCTCGGAGTAACGTTTGATAATAGGTTGACATGGAGAAAACACATCAACAGGGCAACAACCAAAGCCAGAAGGAGGGTAGCCATTCTGAGAAAACTAAGTGGAACCACATGGGGTGCTAGCGGAAAAATACTTAGGAAAGTTTACCAACAAAGTGTTCGACCACATCTTGAATACGGATCAACAACATGAAGTTTGGCATCAAAAACCACATTGCAAGAATTAGACAAAGTGCAAAATCAAGCACTCAGAGTTACCACAGGCAGTATGAAATCAACACCTATAGCTGTGATGGAGAAAATGGGGATGACCCAAGCACTGAATGAAAGCAGAGACACCAAGATGCTTTTACAAGCAGAAAAATTTCTTAGTATGCCTAGTCACCCCATGAATGAAAGATTCCAAAATTTAGCTTTGTGACGACTAAAGAGAAGTAGTTTTATCCACCAGGCCAAACGGCTCGGCAGACAAACCACTAATTTGAGTGCAACTGATAAATCCTTAAATGCTGTCCCAGAACGGACCCCTGGAGAGAGGAGTATAAGTTTCCAATACACATCAAGACTGAAGTGAAAGGGGTATTTGACAAGGAAGAACAAAACAGTGTGCAGCGCAAAACAGCCACCCTCAGTCTACTTGATGATGAATACCAACATAATCTTTGGGTCCGTGTTTACACAGATGGGTCAGCAGAAAGCGCAGTCAGAAACGGAGGTGCAGGAGTGTACATTGAGTATCCTAATAATACCAGGGATACAGCCAAAATACCAACAGGAAAGCACTGTCGCAACTATGATGCAGAAGTTCGAGCCATCAAGATAGCGGCAGAGAAACTACTAAATACAGGGTATTTTTCACAACCAGTAGTATTCCTGACAGATGCAAAAGCGGTACTTCAGTCACTCCAGTCTGGAAAATTACCAAGCATACGGACACTATTATCCAAACTAGGCAACCGTTGTAATTTAGTAATGGAGTGGATACCTTCCCACTGTGGAGTTCCCGGAAACGAAAGAGCTGATAAACTGGCTAAGGAAGGTGCAACTGAAGAACCTGACATACCAGTCTCTTATCAACAGAAAAAGAGAATTATCAAATCAATCAGAATGCCATTGAAACTGGCACAAGACGATTACCATATTATGGACAGACCAGAGCAAGTCATTATCCTTCGCCTTAGAACAGGGCACAATCAACTTCGCTGCCACATGTACAATAAATTTAAGATTGGCCAATCAGCCATGTGTATTTGTGGACTGGCACCTGAAACAACAGATCACATCCTTCAAGACTGTCCCAGATTCAGCGCTTTCAGGCAAAATCTTTGGCCAAAAGAGACACTTGTGGAAGTCAAACTTTACGGGCCGCTTAGTGAATTACAAAAGACAGTGAAATTCATACTAGAGACAGCATTGCAGATATAGATAATTTATTTCATGCGAACGAAAAAAGAAGAATATCAGTGCTGCTCATTGATAATTTGGAGGAAATCCCTGTTACAGTGGTTCTTACTGTTGGCAGACTATCCCTAAGCCAAGGGGGCAGTCGTTGTAAGTTTTCAGTGGAACATTTAGTATAATGGGAGGGAGTTTGAGGACGGCGAGTTTGGCATTTGTGCTCTTAATAAAACAGGTTCTCTTTGATCTAGCCTTCTGGGGTTTCTGCAGTTGACTCTGTAAGGGTTGTTTTTTAAAGTGGTGGTATTTGGAGAGCTGGGTGAGGAGCTTTGTGTCTCTCCTATCTTCCAGATCATGGAGACCAGTAATTGTTTCCATATCTGATATAGGCATGGAGAGCATTGCCCCTGTGATAATACGGAGAGCATGGTTTTGGATCTTTGAGACTTTCTGAAAATTTGATTTAGCTGCTGTGCCCCAGGCAGCTATTCCATATTCTAGTGTTGGCCTCACAAAGCCTGTATAGGTCCTTTTGAGGACACTGGGGTTTGAACCCCCCCCCCCCCCTTCCCCCAGTCGGTTTCAGCTAACTTCCTAATCAGTTGGGTTCTCTTGAGTCCCTTGTCCTGTGTCTTTTCTATCTGTTTTCTCCACATGTCTTGGGTCAAAGGTTACACCTAAATATGACGGTGAGTCATCATGTTTCATTGCCTGGCTGCCTATGTAAGTGAATTTTCTGGGGTTTGGTAGAAAGACTGAAAATTGTGTGTGTTGTTTTGGCCCCATTTACAGGAATGTACCAACTACTGGACCACTTCTCTAGAGTTCCGAGAGATTCTTGAAGCCTTGTCTGTGCTTTGCCAGTATCCTCCTCTGAACTCAGTAGCACCAGATCATCGGCATATATGACAGCTTGAACTCCATTACAGAGGGTTGATTTTATGTCGTTATTGTAAACAAGGAAAAAAAATTGGGGACAGAACTCTGCCTTGTGGAATTCAATGCAGATATCTAGGATATAAACATTTGGAGTAACTAACTGTAAAAGACAGGGCCAAACACAAAGATCAATGCAGGTAGGTGACATCTAAAGCAATGTGCCTCAAGAGCTCTGATTGTTGTAGAAGAATGAGGAGGAGGAGGAGAAGGAGGTGGAGGAAAAGAAGAAGAAGGAAACAAGTGTATGTAGTCACTAGTAGCTGTACATATGCACAATCAAAGAATAATACATTTTTTTCTAAGATATTTTTTCTTCAAGAAGGTAACACTTTCACTTGTTCAATCTTTATCTGAGGAGGGGGGGGGGGGGGGGGGGGGGGGGGTTGCATAGGTCTCGAGGCATGGTTCCGCCTCAATGCTGGAGGTTCCATTTTAATCCCCGGTAAAGGCTGGGATTTTTTCACATGGACTTGGACTTCTAGTAATTCCCCCCGGTCTCTGGTTAGTAAGATCGGTCACCCGTGTGTGTGCATTGCTGCGAACATTCAAAAATCCCTTGGCAGTTGGAAATCGAAAAGAGTAGCCTAGCAGCGCTGCCCGGGCCAAAGTTGGAGATAAAAATCTACCCAAAGTATTTCTCAAGATCCTCGCTGGTGCTACAGAGTCTGTGCACTGTGCTGAGCTTCTTCGGACTCAGGCTTTAGTTAGAAAAATGGAGCACTTATGGGTTACTACCCGTGTGCCATGATGTAGTTCCGTGGTTCAAACTTCAAACAACCGTTAATCTGATGACAGAACTGTTGGACAAGGCAATGGGAAAATGAGGAAGGGGCAGACAAAAAGCAATCTAACAAAATAAGCTTGTACAAATCTATCAATGCTGATGGACATATATTACAAAAAACAGTATAAGTCATGTCTAGACTGGACTAATCAGGAAGCTTTATGGTCAGTTCAAAGGCTGGAATGACGGGGAGGAAAGGTTTTTAAATGGTATGCATCACAAGTGGTAGACTGAAGTCTGGCATCTACGGTGCTATCTGTAAATGACTGGGGCAATTAAACTTTTAATGCGATTCAGCAAATGCAGAACAAAGAACATAATTAAACATATTGCTAGATGACACAATAACACATCATAACTAAACACATTACTAGATGGCACAATAAGCCTCTGCAATTATTTCTGAAAGAGCTCACCTGGATCCGTGGGTCTAACTCCTCCTCCTCCATCTCCTCCCCACCCGAGGGTACACGGTGGCGTCTGATATGGTGATGGTGGTGAGTTATGTGATGATGGCCTAGGACGGATCCTGAAAAACTTTCTGCGGCTGCCATCTTGTTACTGCTGCTTTTCATCTCAATGTTAAATTACCAATCTCCTTTTCAATATTTCAAAAGAAAAACTATTTCACACTATTTCAAATTATACTGCGCAAAGAAACCTGCCCCAAACATTGTAAACTAACATGTTAAATATAAGTCCCTTGTTAGGCTGCAACAAATTTTTTGAAAATATGTTTTAGTGAGACAAAAATCCATCTTCTGCCTGACCTAATCACAACAGTTCCCTAATAATACAGTTTTTATACACATTGCAGTAAGAGAGGCATTCAATATTAGTGATTCTTGAAAAGAAAAGAATTAGGGAAACTGTCAATGTTTTGTTACCTTTAACCTTATGCATTTGATTTCCAATAATCTGAAGTTTGAAAGATAAATTTCTTAAACTTTTGCCTATAATGTTAATATCATAAGGTCTAACCAACAAGGCCAGCCGGCTCTTTCTGATTCTCTTGTGTAGTTCAGCCATTTGGAGTGCATTCATTTTGATTTGCTGGGTTTTTTATACTCTAAAACAATTTATTTGGGTGGTCTACTAAATTTTCAAGCAAACTGTTTGAAAACAATATGACTGCTCTGTTATTGTTACCTTGCGCAGCACTAACACTAGTGATACTACTAGTAAATGCCAAAATGATTGTCGTGGTGAAGCTGAAGCATCCTTTACCGTATCGTACAACAACTAGTCCAAAGTCAGTACTCCTAGCACTAGTGATACTACTAGTAAATGCCAAAATGATTATCGTGGTCAGTTGGAGACAAGTTACATAGGGATGAACATAATCAAGATTTCGGTTCTCCTTAAAACTACGGCCACTTATTATGGCGGCCGGGGGAGTACGCCAGAGTTTAGTCCCCTGGCCGCATTGCAATTACGGATTTCTTTTCAAGCCACCATGTCCAAATGGTGTTGCAGAAATATTGCAAGTCTTGACTGCATTTGAAAGCTTTAAATGTTTTATCTAAAAATGACATTTAAAAAAAAGTATTTAAGAAAGAGCCAACAGACTGGCTGTCTCTACAGTTGGTGGTGTGAGGAAGAAGGACAGAGCAGACACACTGACTGCTCTGCATTCTAGATATTTTTAGATGCCTGTTGGAAATGAGTATTAAGCAAGGACAAGCATGTAGCAACAGGTTGTTGGGCAAAGATAGAAGATAGGTCCATCAACTCGTACTGGATACACTGAGCATGGAGACACCAGATGGCTGCTGAATCAGAGCACGAATGGGTCATACCGAGGTGCTAGGATGTCAGTATGGATAAGTAACTAGTTGAAGGTATATTTACTGAAACAAACAAATGACTGGTTTATCTTCATGTGTGATATATTTTAGATATACTATATAAACAATTTTGTTTGGAGCATTTTTTTTTAGGTAAGGGGAAAAAACATTTTCATAATTTACTAACCTCTCAAAGCAAGTAACTTGTTTCTTTTCTAACTTTTAACTAACGTTGTAGCAGTACACAATATGAATCTTCAACCATTTATGTATCTTTTAATGTATGAAAAATTGTTGCACATAAGTTGCAGTTGTATAGTTTGTTTTAATGTGCTGCATCAGTTAAAAGTCAAATCCCCCCCCCCCCCCCACAACCCTAACAATAAACCTGTGATGCTAAACCCCCTGGGACCCAAAGAGTTTAACATTTTTTAGGCCCAAGGAACGCATCTGCCGATTATACGTCTTTCTTTACCATCCATTGGGCCTCGGATGCTAAACCTCAGTAAACCCCCTGTTGAACACAGCAGCTTGCTTATTAAATTGTGAGAAGGTCTCTGACTAGATTTACCAGAGGCACACATTATATGTATACTGGAGTGGGTCCCACCTACCGGTCTAGTTCCCACAATAGGAATAACCTCCCGTACTATAAGTCCTTTCCATTTCAATTATTATTGAAAGTTTGCATCAAAACAGCTGGGCCTAGAGCCTAATCGCGGATGCAGATTCTTCATAGCGTCCACTATTCTGCGTTTAATTTGTCTCGAGCTACAACTCTCTCAGGCGATAAACATCTTTAATATGTGATATCATTTAATAATGCATGTCTCTGGACAACCACTATCAGTGAGTTGCTGCGTTATTTCTTAAAAGAAGAATGATTAGTTGTCGGGATGAAAACCGCAAAGACCTGATTAACAATTTATTTACTGAATTTGTGAGACTTTCTGCTTTCATCGCTGTCTGAGCTACACACACAGAAGCAGCAAACATGGCACATACGGTGGCGACATTCGTCCGTGGTCGCTGCCCATAATCAACAGACTCAAGTTTAAAAAACATATTTAGAAGCTGCGATGGACATTAATGTCTTCTGGAACTTGGCAGCTACAACACAACGATTTTCAAAATAAAATATGAAGTTGTGTCGCTGTCAAGTGTAGTCGATAAAGGTGAACTAATTATGCAAGGTCAAAGGTTGCGTCTTCGTAGGCGGTGGTTCTGGAAATATTCTACAGCATTGTTCTTGACCAGGCAGGCACCACGCGGCAACCAGATGTATTCAAGTCTTAGTTAAACAGTATAGATTCACTGGTACCAACCATTTTACGTGCACAGAACAGCCAACAATTTCTTAATACGTTACTTAGATGTTAACAATTTCTTCATTTCCTACATAACCAGTTTTAATATTCCATGTATTACATTCAACAACCACAGGCCGTCTTCACACTGAAAGCTGGGCACATTGAATTTACAACAGTTTTTTGACTGACTGACTGACTGACTACACTGTCTTACTGATCCCCTACAATCCCCAACCACCTCACTATCTTCCGCCTTGAATCACACTATCTCTTATTCTCTTTGGTTTCAACCTTTCTTCCCAGTATGTTTAAAGACGTTTCATCAATCGTATGATGTGACAAAAATATCTCCCTTTTATTTCTTTTTTTTTTTTTTTTTTAATTCACAGATACTTCGTAACATCTGTATTAGACTGCATTGTTTCTATGAAATACGCCCGTTTCTTCTGCACATCCACACCCCCAGGCCTCACCTGGACTTCACTGCGTGCCCAGTCTCCATGTTTTGAGCGCAGTGTTTAGTAGTAGAGTCGGGAGATGTGAACCAGCGTCATTGCACACGGTTATAAACCATAAGTGCTCTGCCACCAGTACGGACAGCTGATAAACATTGTTCGCCTGTGTCGCCGTCCGCACGTATCTCTGTAGCTACAGCGACGTTCCTCCATTTACCCCAGAGTGTCAACTCTAGTACCCTCTTCTTATAAGCTGGGTGAACCCCGGGAACCGCCCGGTTTCGAATACCGACCGTGGCTGCAGCGAGTCGCAGCTGGATTTGAAAGGGAGCCTCTTACCGACTGCGCTAACGCGGCCCCAGTGTTGCGTTGAGTAGTCTTAATATTTAACTGTGATTTTAATTTTGGATTATCCTTTCCACTGTTAATTCCTATGAATATTATGCACAGGGCCATATACCCTCCAATTGAATTGTAACCCCTGATTACTTTCTGCTTGTACCATGGTCATCGATGCGTCCCTGGTTTTGATTAAAATTTTATATGTGATACATCCTTGGTTTGCCGACTGTTGCAGGTAGGCACAAGGTGCTGCAGGCGAAGTCATATCTTAAGGTAGCTGCAGACACAGACCACCCTTTGCATAAGGCTCTGGGTGCAGTTAAGGGTCAGCGGCTGGTAAGAGGGAAGTCATGGATGGCTCAGGTAAAAGACACAGACGGGTTTGCATTTTTGAAAACATTAGAAGAGGAGTGGATCAAAGTGTCACCTGAACTGTCAGACTTGTGTAGGGTCATAATCACACTGAGCCGGGAATGCAGAGATTATAAGGGGCTTTCCGGGCAGCCTATCTAAATTTATAAATAAAATGTAAGCGTTCCAAGGTACTATTTTCTGCTTGGTCAGTATGTAACAGGGAGCGTTGCGCAAATTGCATATGAATAAAAACAAGTTAAAGTCGGAATCACTGTAGAACCTTCTATGTTTGAGGGGTGTTTGCTTCGGCATTCGGTCAGCATATATAAAGTTTGTGGTAGGGTGTGTTGTCTTGAGTCTATTTGAAGCGCGGTCTCAAAAGTACTGCAGGGTGAAGTGCAGCAGGCGCGATGATTCGTAAGTATTGAAACGGATGTTTTTGTATTTCTATGTTCGTCGGTGGTGGCTTCCCACCGAGACCGAGAACACACTGACAAAGCACGCAGGCATAGATAACATAAAAGTTTCTGTACTCTCGAAACGTAGTGCAGTTAGCGCAACGTGGAAATATTCACGCAAGACAGCGGTGACAAGACGAGGATAGAGAGGGGTTTTAAAGCGTTGACGTTAGTGATTACCTGACACCCCTGCAACATAAATGACACCTTGCGTCACAACGGGGCATCAATGGGAAGAGAATTTACTCTATGGGCCTGACTTCGTTATTTGTTCCTTGCCTCCAATTACATAAGCGCCGATGTTGTGTATTCTAGACTACTCGACGACACAGCTTTTAACTATCCCAGAACATCTTGAACTGACCCGAACACCCCCCAACCTCCCCCTAACCCACAGCCCGAGCCTAGGTCCCACGAGAGACAACAATACAACGTGACAACCCTCTGATCTAGACCAGACGGAGAAAGTGTGTAGAGGGGCCATGACACGTTAATATGACGCGAAAATATTCAACACACGCGGTAGGATGAGTCAGGAACTAGCTTAGCACAGTAGTTACGTTGGACTTTCATTAAATATTAAGAGAACGCAAGTAAAGGTTATATCAAAGAAGAAGATAACTCCACGTTGTGATATCCCAATTAAAGGAAAAATAATTAACCGTCAATAAATTCAAATATCTGGGAACAATCATATCATTAGATGGAAAATGTATGGCAGAGATTAAAAGCAGAATATATCAGGCAAAAACTGCATTTCAGACAATGAAAAATATCTTATGCAATAAATCGAGGCTGCTAAAATGTTACATAGAACCTGTTCTGCTGTATGGCAGCGAATCTTGGAATGTCAGTGAACAAATTAGAAAGAATTTGGAAGTAACAGAGATGTGGTTTATGAGATGAATTTTACGAATACCTGGGACGGCCAGAATAACTAACAACGATTTCTTGAAGCTAATGAATGTAGATTTCTAAATACAACAATAAGAAAGAGACAAACACTGTTCTTTGGCCACATAAAGAGAAGAGAATTGGAGAACATCGTGACAACTAGAAAGATCAGTAGAAAAAGGGGTAGAGGCAGAAAAAAAATATAATGATACTGGATGGGCTGAAACGATGGCATGGAGGAATATCATCAAGAGATCTGTTCCGGACAACCAGGTTCTTGATCTTTGGAGACGCATGAGCGCCTACGTCAGATGGCAGGGCACATGATGATGATGATGAACGTTGGCTGGCGGGGCGCGTAGCAGCGAAAGGGTTACAAACTGCGCCAGTGGACTGAACGGCACGTTTTTTGTTTTGTTTGAGTCTACGACTGGGAGCTCCCTCTTACCGGGACACGCATTAGAAGCCAAACTAGTAAAATTTGATTTTGCCGAATGCAGCCTGGCCCGTTGTCGGAGCCGATAGTCACGTGATAATTTTGGCGCGCTCCCGACGTCTGCTCTTACCCGCCTGCTGGTCAGTCATATAACAACCAACAACATGGATATCGCTGAACAGGCTCTTCGTTCCAATCTTGTCAAGGATTCGGTCGGCGAACGCTGTCAAAAATTGTTTCAGGATTTTCTTGACGAGTAAGTTTGTGGCGGACAGTGACAGTTAACCTAGTTATTGTTTGTAAGTTAATGTCTGACACTGACAGTTAACGTAGTTAAGTTATTCTTCTACACAATACATTTTGTCTCATTGTCATTTTGTTATTTTTATATATTTAGCCCCCTCTATCTTGATTCCATGATAAATACCGTAAATCTGGGAGAAATGTGGCTTTTCTGCCTTCCTCCGGTCGTGAACCCGGACCACAAGGAGTTTGTCACCTGGTGGTCGTCCTGACTTGCTGGCCATGATTTTCATTTTATCACGAGCGGTCAGTCTACAGGATGACTCCATTCATTCAGAAATGTAAACAGTGACGTCACAAATTGCATGGTTTTGCTACAGGTACAGATACCTTGCATCGGCTCCACCTTACCATAACCAGCCCAGTCACTAACTTGAAAATGTCCACTGTTGGAGATTTTAAATTGACAATACAGTTAACTCTTTCCTCATTACACGCTAATTTTTGTTTCACATGGATATATTTGAAAAAAAAAAAAAAAAAATTTGCAATGACTGATGTGAGTTCAACAGATCTTCAAGTGAGTAGATAAAGACAATACAACTACAATGCCTGATGTACAACAGAACAAGTCTTCAAGTGAGTAGGTATTACTCTTACAAAAAGGTAAAGGTAAAGTCGGGAGATGTGAACCAGCATCATTGCACACGGCTATAAACCATAAGTGCTCTGCCACCAGTACGGACAGCTGATAAAAAAACTGTCCGCCTGTATCGCCGTCCGCATGTAACTCCGTAGCTACAGCGACGTTCCTCCATTTACCCCAGAGTGTCAACCCTGGTACCCATTTCCTAGAGGCTGGGTGAACACTGACCTTGGGCTGCAACGAGTCGTAGCTGGATTTGAAAGCAAGCTTCTTATCGACTGCGCTAACCTTACAAAAAGATCTGAGAATATTCTGTCGAAGTACTCCCGTAGGTATTACTGTGACAAAAATATCTGAGAATATTTTGTCAAAGATCTCAAGTAGATATTACTCTGATCCAGAAAGAATCTGATAATGAATACACTATCGGATCTCAAATTTCTTCACATCCTCTTTTACTGTTTTGTGTGACGAGGGATATTTATGGTTGTGCTTCTTGCCTCGAACATAGATACAAAATGCTGATGTAGTTTTTCTCATGTTATCTTTCTGTATTGTTCTTTTGTCTGCTTGTATTCTATTTTCTTCTCCTCGAAGTGGGCATGTTTACTAATTTTTTTTAGTTGTGAGTGATCATGTCTGGCACTGATAGCAGAGTGTGCTTCGTGTGAGATGTTACTTTCCACTGATCAGGATTCTCTTATGCTGTGGGAAAGGGGGAGGGGTTCAGGGGGTAGTTGTCTGAATAGTTTGCTTTACTGCATCTCATGTTAATTTCTTTATCCATTTACCATCTCTCCAAAAAGATCTGAGAATATTCTAACAAAGAACAATTAGATAATACTTTAAAAAAGAACTAAGAATGTTCTGTCAGAGAACTCAGTTATATATCACTCCAAAACAATAGGAGAAAATGCTTTCAAAGCACTTGTAGGAATCAGATTGTCTAATTCCTGTTTTGAATAGTTATTATGTAATGATGTGATTGATGCTTGTGTGTTTCCTATTTGTTTGGTCGTTAAGTTGTTTGTTTAATTATTACCTAAAGATGTGAGTCTTTATTCTTGTTTATTTCCTGTTTTGAATAGTCATTATGTAATGATATGATTGATGCTTGTGTGTTTTCTATTTGTTTGGTCATTAAGTTGTTTGTTTAATTATTACCTAAATATGCGAGTCTTTATTCTTGTGTATTTCCTGTTTTTCTGGTCATCAGCCATGGCAACAACTATACTAGAAGAGTATTACAGGTAATTGTGTACCCTAACAGAAACATGATGTACACTCATTGGACAGAAATTGGATCATTTTTACTGACAGGTTTTCTGTTAATGGAGAGAGCAAATACCTGACAGGTGTTCAAGATCTGATTCGACCAGAACGCAACACTCTCACTGTCAGTTTTGAGGACATCGAAGCTTACAACCAGCAGTTGGCAACAACTATACTAGAAGAGTATTACAGGTAATTGTGTACCCTAACAGAAACATGATATACACTCTTGGACAGTTAAAAATGACATGCACTGTTGGACAGGGTAAAATGATGTACGCTGTTCGACCAGGAAACTTGACATACACTGTTGGATCTAGGAATAGGACATGCACTGTTGGAAAGGTAACGGACATACACTATTAGACAGTTGAAAATCTCATACACTGTTGGACCTAGAAACATGATATACACTGTTGGACCTAGAAACATGACATACACTGTTGGACCTTGTAGCATGATATAGACTTTTGGACCTAGAAACATGACATACACTGTTGGACCTAGAAACATGACATACACTGTTGGACCTAGAAACATGACATACACTGTTGGACCTAGAAACATGATATACACTGTTGGACCTAGAAACATGACATACACTGTTGGACCTAGAAACATGACATACACTGTTGGACCTAGAAACATGACATACACTGTTGGACCTAGAAACATGATATACACTGTTGGACGTAGAAACATGATATACACTGTGTGGATGTAGAAACATGATATACACTGTTGGACCTAGAAACATGACATACACTGTTGGACCTAGAAACATGACATACACTGTTGGACCTAGAAACATGACATACACTGTTGGACCTAGAAACGTGATATACACTGTTGGACCTAGAAACATGATATACACTGTTGGACCTAGAAACATGACATACACTGTTGACATACACTGTTGGACCTAGAAAACACATACATACACTGTTGGACCTACCTAGAAAACATGACATACACTGTTGGACCTAGAAACATGACATACACTGTTGGACCTAGAAACGTGACATACACTGTTGGACCTAGAAACATAACATACACTGTTGGACCTAGAAACATGACATACACTGTTGGACCTAGAAACATGATATACACTGTTGGACAGTTGAAAATGTCATACACTGTGGACCTAGAAACATGATATACACTGTTGGACCTAGAAACATGATATACACTGTTGTACCTAGAAACATGACATACACTGTTGGACCTAGAAACATGATATACATTGTTGGACCTAGAAACATGATATACACTGTTGGACCTAGAAACGTGACATACACTGTTGGACCTAGAAACATGACATACACTGTTGGACCTAGAAACATGACATACAATGTTGTACATGGGAACATGACATACAATGTTGTACATGGGAACATGACAAACTGTTGGACCTAGGAACATGATATACACTGTTGGACCTAGAAACATGATATACACTGTTGGACCTAGAAACATAATATACACTGACCTAGGACCTATATACACTGTTGGACCTGATATACACTGTTGGACCTAGAAACATGATATACACTGTTGGACCTAGAAACATGATTTACACTGTTGGACCTAGAAACATGATTTACACTGTTGGACCTAGAAACATGATATACACTGTTGGACCTAGAAACATGATATACACTGTTGGACCTAGAAACATGATATACACTGTTGGACCAGGAAACATCATGTTCACTGTTGGACCAGGAAACATCACGTACACTTGGAAAATTCAACAAAACAAAAGTTTTAAAATAGCAAACAGCAAGTTTTACAGGTTTTTTCTAAAGTTCTTTTTAGTGTTTTGCTGTAAATGCCTTTACAAGTAATGGAAAGTGATAACTAATTACTTCAGTTTGCTGTCTTCCTAAGTGTAGACCGTCTGTAGTTAGGTTTGTATAGCTGTAGAACACATATAAAGGCTAGGGGAAAGAGTTCTTTTGTTATAGGTTACCACAAACATATGCACATTGGATTATTTTGTTTCAGGGTGTATCCCTTTCTGTGCCGTGCAGTCCGCAATTATGCCAAAGACTGGGGACAGATTCCGTCAGGCAAGGAGTTTTATCTCAGCCTCATTGATGTGCCAACCAAGCTCAAGTATGTGAACTGTGTCAGTCTTTGTTGCTCCAAACACAATCACCGTTGTTAAGTGTACACATCTCATTTCAGGGTTGTTCAGCTGGCGGTCCATAGAGGCCTTGCAAGTGGCCCGCGAATCATTGTCAGTTGTATTAATAATACAGGCTCTGATCTTTGGTTCAATGTGATCCCCATTTTCAACATTTTATCCCCTGAGTAAACTTAAGGTTGAATAGCCCTTTCCTGTTTATTGCAAGTCATTGCCATAAATCTATTAGTGACAATACTGGGCAGATTCAGCCCTGTAGAAGCAGTTAGTAGATGTGTTAGTGACAATATTAGGCAGATTTAGGCCTGTAGAAATGGTAGATGTGGCTATGCTAGGCAAATTTAGCCCATTAGAAACAGTTGGTGGCTATGTTATTCAGATTTAGCCCTGTAGAAAGAGTTGGTGAATGTGTTAGTGGCTAGGCTGGGCATATTTAGATCTGTAAAATTATCACTAGAGAATTCATTGTCACGAGTGCTGCTCAGTAGGAATGAAATTTGGAGACCAGATAAATAACAGTTGGCCAGAAACTGGAAGTTTGAAGGTAACACAGGTATGATGGACCTTGAAACATGAACAGATAATAAAGATGTGAGTAAACTATCATGGAGAAAACTAGATCTGTTTTAGTGTCTGGTAAGTAAAAAAGAAGACCCTTTTCACGCCTTTAGGTGTATAGGGCATATATGGCTAGACCTATATTTTTATAGACCAACGGCACAAGCTGGATGATGTGGTCAGCATCACGCCAGCGCCTCTACTTCTCGGGACTGCACTCGGTACCGACTCAAGGCTGGGTCGACCTGTGAGCCAACATCATTTTTTAAAGAAAAGCCTGGCTCTGCCAGGGAGCGAATCCACGACTTTTCCGATCCGAGGCGCGCGTCTAGCCGCTCTGCCACAGTGACTCCCTTTAGTGTCTGGTAAGTAGTATTAATTATATCAGTTCCTTCTGGTTTCCCACAAAGCTAAAGGTCTACAAGTGCTGCGGAGAGAGTGAGAGCAACAGACAAAGGGGCATGAAGAAGAGAATGAGAGAAATAGACACAGAATAGAATGAGAGATAAAGGTGCAGAACTTGAGAATGTGAGGTGTGCAAGATACAGATCTTTAACCTATTACAGTGTGATGAATAAATACATCATGACAGATTGCAGTGTCATTGGTTATAAGTTGCTTGTGGCGTGCACTGGTATGTTTACTATAGTTTTCTCCATTTGGTAGAAGCACTCTGCAAAGGCTGTCATGTGCTTTAGTCCCTGGTTGACTTGCTACCAGCAGTTTGCCATAACATGGAACACCCCAGGTTTGCCTGTGTTTATTTTAATTGTCAAGTGTAACAGATTGTAAGTTAAAAATGTTTTAATTTTGTTGATCAAATGTACATTCCTTGAATTAAGAGTCCGTGAGATGACAACAGTGAAAATAGGGTCACTTTTAAGAATAACTGGACAAGTGGTGCGAACACACCCGGTCCACCCGGAACTGGTGAGTGGCACTTTCATGTGCCTAGACTGCCGGACGGTCATCAAAGATGTGGAGCAGCAGTTTAAATACACGCAGGTTGGTTTCATTTTGAATTGCATTTTGATTATGAATAATGTCTCTGTCGCTGTGGAGTTGCCTGGTGGTTTGTAGCCCAGTCGGCGTGATGACCTAGAAAAACCAATGCCAATGGACCATAACTATGGAATTCCTGAATAAATTCCTTTAAAAACAAAATTTTTACAGGTCACCAAGAAAATCATTTATATTTATCGGCCAAAAACATATTGAATTCTGTACAGAATACCAGGGGGCATCAATAAACATGGGTGCAGGTGACAATTAACTGAGCCACATCTCTGTGTATAAATAAATAAATGTTTACAGTTACCAATATTTTTTTAACCTCATCACCTGTTGCAGGTTAACACTAACTAGTGGGAAAATTATGTAATAGCATTAATTAATAATGCCATCGCCTGTTACTACTTTTAGTAAATATAGAAATATAGTAAATATTGATTCTTCTAAACGTGTGCACAAGTGCAAGCGATAACATTGCTATTAGCTTTGATTCTCGTTAACAGGCCACTATAGCCAAGCTGGAAAAGTGGCTTTCAAGGAATTGTACCCAGCCAGGAGTATCGGTTTTGTGGCTTAACTGGGCTGAAGGGTTAAATATGATGTGATTGTTACTAATAACAACTAAGTGTTACATTTCTTAATTAAAAAAAAAAAATTTGATGGAAGCTTCATGGTTTTGTGATATATCAGATGCCATTTTCCCAGTGGTTTGTCGCGACCTTGTCCCTCTTTCTGCTTGAACAAGGAATTTTCTTAGACTGCTGTGTGTCCATCTCTGGATGTTTTCCTTCCACGTGTATCGCTGCCTGCCTCTTATATATGGGTGTCTGTGCTGCCTAGTCTGCTGTTTCTTGATCTGTATTACAGCTTTATTCTCGTTAACAGGCCACTATTAGCCAAGCTGGATCAGTGTTTGTCATGAATTTTCCCAGTGCAGGAATATCAGTTAAATGGCTTAACTGGGCTGAAGGGGACAATTGATGTGTATTGTTACTAATAACAACAGTGTTTTGGGTTCTAATTTAAAAAAAAAAATTTGATGGAAATCATGGTTGTGTGATATATCAGCTCCCCAGGTTCGCCAGTGGTTTGATGTCACCATTGTCCTCTCAGATTTGTAGATTGAACAAGGAAAGTTCGAATTCTGTTTGTCCAACCCAGGATGTTTTCCTGCCACGTGGAAGCATTGCGAGAAGGTAAATTGGGTGTCTGTGCTGCCTAGTCTGCTGTTTCTTGATCTGTATACAGCTGTATATGTGAGTATTAACTGATCAGTGTTTGTTGATTTTCCCAGTGCATAATTACAGTAAATATTTTCTGCCACAACACAATTGTGTTATATAATTAAAAACATTTTTTTTTTGTCATTAGCCAACCATCTGTCGCAATCCTGTGTGTGCCAACCGCTCTAGGTTCATGCTGGATGTCAACCATTCCAGATTTGTAGATTTCCAGAAAGTTCGAATTCAAGAAACCCAGGCAGAGCTGCCACGAGGAAGCATTCCGAGAAGGTAAATTTACAGTCATCTAGTTATACTTTCACCCCTTGATTGTCTCAGCTAGTTATACTTTAACCAAGTGATTGTCTCAGCTAGTTATGGTTTAACCCTGTGATTGTTTAAAAAAAAACATTTACCATGTGATTGTCTCAGCTAGTTATACTTTAACCATGTGATTGTCCCAGCTTGTTATACTTTTACCTTGTGAATGTCTCAGCTAATTTTGTGTGTGTGAAATTCACCATGTGATTGTTGCAGCTAGTTATACTTTCACCCCTTGATTGTCTCAGCTAGTTTTACTTATACCCTGTGAATGCCTCATTGAGCCCATGATATGTTTATCTTAGTGGCTAGTGGCCCATAATTGATATGTTTAACTTAGTGGATGCTAGTGGCAACCCATAGTTGACATTTTTAACTTGGTAGCAGCCTATAGTTGACATATTTAACTTGGTGGCAGACTAAAGTTGTCATAGTTAACTTGGTGGTTGTTGGTGGCAGCCCATAGTTGACATGTTTTACTTGGTGGCAGCCTATAGTTGATGTGTTCTTGCTATTCCTTGAATGTAATTTATCCTATATTCATTTATTTATTTCAGTGTGGAAGTCATTTTAAGAGCGGAAGCCGTTGAGACAGCCCAGGCTGGAGACAGATGTGACTTCACCGGCACTCTGATTGTGGTTCCTGATGTGGGCTCTATGTCCATGCCAGGTTGGTCATTTTCACAGTCTTTCTACAGCTGCTGCTAGCTGATGATGTTGACTGGTGCTAGCTGATAATGTTGACTGGTGCAGACTGGTGATGTTGAATGTTGCTAGCTTATGATGTTGACTGGTGCAGACTGGTGATGTTGAATGTTGCTAGCTTATGATGTTGACTGGTGCTGGCTGATGATGTTGACCGATGCTGGATGATGATGTTGACCGGTGCTGGCTGATGATGTTGACTGGTGCTGGCTGATGATGTTGACTGGTCTGGTGCAGGCTGGTGATGTTGAATGTTGCTAGCTTATGATGTTGACTGTTGCTGGCTGATGATGTTGACTGGTGCAAGCCAGTGACATTGACTGCACCCAGCTGGTGATATTGTTTGCAGCTAGTCGATGATGTCTGTGGCTAGCTGGTGCTTGACAATGACATTGACTGGGGCTAGTCGAGAATGTTGAATGCTGCTAGCCGGTGTTGTTGACTTTTGCGCCAGACTGATAGTAGCCAGGAATATTGACTGATGTTAGACAGTGATGTTGACTTACTTTACTTGCTAGAGCTTTCACCCACCGACTGCTTTGTCTTCCAGGAGTTGAAAATGACTTTAAAGTGGCTGCATTTTCACATTAAAAAAAAAAATATCTATACATGAGATTATGTTTTATAACAGTTGTCTCAAAACTTTTGGGCCACAACTTGTAGAGATGAGGTTTGCAGATTTATAGTTTGTATAGATGATGTTTGCAGATTTATAGCTCGTACGGATGATGTTTGGAGATTTATAGTTTGCGTAGATGCTGTTTGCAGATGTATGTAAAGATGGTGTTTACAGATGTATGAACTTTGTACATCCTTTTCAGGCGCCCAAGCTGAGACATCCGCCAAGGTCAACCGTGGTAATGAAGGTTACGAGACAGAAGGTGTGCGGGGATTAAAGACTTTGGGTGTAAGAGATCTCACCTACAGGCTGGCCTTTCTGGCGTGTACAGTGACACCAAGCAACTCCAAGGTCAGTTCATGCATATATTTTATTATCTAATGAGCCAAAAAAGATAATTTGTGTAGCTAGCATCAACTGAAGATTGAAGACTTTACCTTCTTGACTTTTGGGACTTCTTTTTCATAATATTTGAGGCCTTTCTATTGGAAATTATATCTTCTTGACCTTAGGAACTTCTTCTTACCTAATATCTGAGGCTTTTCTTTTCTAGACTTTGGAGATTTAATCTTGTTGACTTTTAGAACTTATTGTACTTAATATTTAAAGCCTTTATCTTCTAGATATTGGAGATTTTATCTTCTTGACTTTTGGAACTTCTTGTACTTAACTCTTTGAGTCCCAGGGGATTTAGCATCAGAGGCCCAAGGGGTGGTAATGCAATTTTTTTATTTCACAAGTGTAACACATTAAAACAGACCATATTAGTAATTGAATAGCCGCACTACATACACATATTATACATCAAAGTGACCAGGGATTGTTGAGGAATAATTTTATAAGACAGCTGCAACAAATAATTGCATTAGTAATTAAATATTAGTAAATAAACAGACAGTATGTTTACAAAAATTAGTAAAATGAAATTTTAAAAATTCAGCTTACCACCATGGCACCCAAGAAAACTGGTTAAAATGTATCCAGAATGAATCACAAATGAATATGAACCACTTAGTAATGTATAAGTAAAATATAAACTTAATCTATACATTAGATTTTGTTCCAGAGAATCTTTGAAAGCATCATAACAGAGCACCAATATTTGGTAAAGAAAACTGACTCTCAAAACAATAAGTTGGACAGTCTGTTTCTTACATCTGTAGATAGATCTTGGACAGTCTATGTTTCTTACACCTACAGATAGATGTTGGACAGTCTATGTTTCTTACACCTACAGATAGATGTTGGACAGTCTGTTTCTTACACCTACAGATAGATGTTGGACAGTCAGTTACTTACATCTGTAGATAGATCTTGGACAGTCTATGTTTCTTACACCTACAGATAGATGTTGGACAGTCTTGTTTCTTACACCTGTAGATAGATCTTGGACAGTCAGTTTCTTACATCTGTAGATAGATCTTGGACAGTCTATGTTTCTTACACCTACAGATAGATGTTGGACAGTGTTCTCTCAGACCTGTACATAGATGTTGGACAATCTACATCTAACCTCATAAATAAAATGTTGGCAAAACTAATTTCATTCTTTCCACACCTGCCATTTTCCGCAGATCTTGCTCCATGTGACTTCTGGTTCCTGCAGCTTGAGAGGGTAATGAGAGAGGTCACTAATTTCATGATTGAAGATATTCAGACCGGTGCAGCTAAGGGCAGAAGATGCCTACTATTTGTGCTTCCCTCATGGGCAGGGAATAGGTGTACAATTAGGCGGTTGTTACGGACTGGTAGTTTTCTCTGGGTGTCTTGTTACCTGTTATTCAACATACACTTATTCCTTCAACTTTACATTTCAAGTGTGTATTTTAAATCCTAGTGTGGTAATTTGTTGTGTTGTCTCATGTTGATTTCTGTCTTGACCAATACTTCTCATGTCATCTCAGAAGGCTTTCCCTGCTAAAAAATATTTGTTCAAAAACAATCCTGCCATCCATTGCTGTTATCTTATTTTGTTTTTCAGTTTGGTGGGCAGTCATTCCGGGAAGAAGGCATGACTGCTGAGTCCATCAAGAAACGCATGAGTGATGAAGAATGGCAGACAGTCTACGACATGAGCCAGGATAAAAACTTGTATCAGAACTTGTGTTCCAGTCTGTTCCCCACCATTCATGGTAATTGCAACTGTGCCACTTTGTTTACAATGTTTGGTCTGCTCAACACTGATGTGTGGTGTTTACAATGTTAGGTCTGCTCAACACTGTGTGGTGTTTACAAAGTTAGAGCTGCTCAACACTGCTGTGTGGTGTTTACAATGTTAGGTCAGCTCAACACTGCTGTGTGGTGTTTACAATGTTAGGTCTGCTCAACACTGTGTGGTGTTTACAATGTTAGGTCAGCTCAACACTGCTGTGTGGTGTTTACAATGTTAGGTCTGCTCAACACTGATGTGTGGTGTTACAACTGTTTAGGCTGCTTAACATGGTGTTAGGTTAGGTCTGCTCAACACTGTGTGGTGTTTACAATGTTAGGTCTGCTCAACACTGTGTGGTGTTTACAATGTTAGGTCTGCTCAACACTGTGTGGTGTTTACAAAGTTAGAGCTGCTCAACACTGCTGTGTGGTGTTTACAATGTTAGGTCAGCTCAACACTGCTGTGTGGTGTTTACAATGTTAGGTCTGCTCAACACTGTGTGGTGTTTACAATGTTAGGTCAGCTCAACACTGCTGTGTGGTGTTTACAATGTTAGGTCTGCTCAACACTGATGTGTGGTGTTTACAATGTTAGGTCTGCTCAACACTGTGTGGTGTTTACAATGTTAGGTTAGGTCTGCTCAACACTGTGTGGTGTTTACAATGTTAGGTCTGCTCAACACTGTGTGGGTGTTTACAATGTTAGGTCTGCTCAACACTGATGTGTGGTGTTTACAATGTTAGGTCTGCTCAACACTGTGTGGTGTTTACAATGTTAGGTCTGCTCAACACTGTGTGGGTGTTTACAATGTTAGGTCTGCTCAACACTGATGTGTGGTGTTTACAATGTTAGGTCTGCTCAACACTGTGTGGTGTTTACAATGTTAGAGCTGTTCAACACTGATGTGTGGTGTTTACAATGTTAGGTCTGTTCAACACTGATGTGTGGTGTTTACAATGTTAGGTCTGCTCAACACTGTGTGGTGTTTCCAATGTTAGGTCTGCTCAACACTGATGTGTGGTGTTTACAATGTTTGGTCTGTTCAACACTGATGTGTGGTGTTTACAATTGTTATAGCTGCTCAACACTGATGTGTGGTGTTTACAATGTTAGAGCTGCTCAACACTGATGTGTGGTGTTTACAATGTTAGGTCTGTTCAACACTGCTGTGTGATGTTTACAATGTTAGGTCTGTTCAACACTGATGTGTGGTGTTTACAATGTTAGGTCTGTTCAACATTGCTGTGTGGTGTTTACAATGTTAGATCTGCTCAACACTGCTGTGTGATGTTTACAATGTTAGAGCTGCTCAACACTGCTGTGTGGTGTTTACAATGTTAGAGCTGCTCAACACTGATGTGTGGTGTTTACAATGTTAGGTCTGTTCAACACTGCTGTGTGGTGTTTACAATGTTAGGTCTGCTCAACACTGATGTGTGGTGTTTACAATGTTAGAGCTGCTCAACACTGATGTGTGGTGTTTACAATGTTAGGTCTGTTCAACATTGCTGTGTGGTGTTTACAATGTTAGAGCTGCTCAACACTGATGTGTGGTGTTTACAATGTTAGAGCTGCTCAACACTGCTGTGTGGTGTTTACAATGTTAGGTCTGCTCAACACTGTGTGGGTGTTTACAATGTTAGGTCTGCTCAACACTGATGTGTGGTGTTTACAATGTTAGGTCTGCTCAACACTGTGTGGTGTTTACAATGTTAGAGCTGTTCAACACTGATGTGTGGTGTTTACAATGTTAGGTCTGTTCAACACTGATGTGTGGTGTTTACAATGTTAGGTCTGCTCAACACTGTGTGGTGTTTCCAATGTTAGGTCTGCTCAACACTGATGTGTGGTGTTTACAATGTTTGGTCTGTTCAACACTGATGTGTGGTGTTTACAATTGTTATAGCTGCTCAACACTGATGTGTGATGTTTACAATGTTAGAGCTGCTCAACACTGATGTGTGGTGTTTACAATGTTAGGTCTGTTCAACACTGCTGTGTGGTGTTTACAATGTTAGGTCTGTTCAACACTGATGTGTGGTGTTTACAATGTTAGGTCTGCTCAACACTGCTGTGTGATGTTTACAATGTTAGAGCTGCTCAACACTGCTGTGTGGTGTTTACAATGTTAGAGCTGCTCAACACTGATGTGTGGTGTTTACAATGTTAGGTCTGTTCAACACTGCTGTGTGGTGTTTACAATGTTAGGTCTGCTCAACACTGATGTGTGGTGTTTACAATGTTAGAGCTGCTCAACACTGATGTGTGGTGTTTACAATGTTAGGTCTGTTCAACATTGCTGTGTGGTGTTTACAATGTTAGAGCTGCTCAACACTGATGTGTGGTGTTTACAATGTTAGAGCTGCTCAACACTGCTGTGTGGTGTTTACAATGTTAGGTCTGCTCAACACTGATGTGTGGTGTTTACAATGTTAGGTCTGCTCAACACTGATGTGTGGTGTTTACAATGTTAGGTCTGCTTAACACTGATGTGTGGTGTTTACAATTGTTAGAGCTGCTCAACACTGATGTGTGGTGTTTACAATTGTTAGAGCTGCTCAACACTGCTGTGTGGTGTTTACAATGTTAGAGCTGCTCAACACTGATGTGTGGTGTTTACAATGTTAGGTCTGTTCAACACTGATGTGTGGTGTTTACAATGTTAGGTCTGTTCAACATTGCTGTGTGGTGTTTACAATGTTAGGTCTGCTCAACACTGCTGTGTGATGTTTACAATGTTAGAGCTGCTCAACACTGCTGTGTGGTGTTTACAATGTTAGAGCTGCTCAACACTGATGTGTGGTGTTTACAATGTTAGGTCTGTTCAACACTGATGTGTGGTGTTTACAATGTTAGAGCTGCTCAACACTGTTGTGTGGTGTTTACAATGTTAGAGCTGCTCAACACTGATGTGTGGTGTTTACAATGTTAGGTCTGTTCAACATTGCTGTGTGGTGTTTACAATGTTAGGTCTGTTCAACACTGCTGTGTGGTGTTTACAATGTTAGGTCTGCTCAACACTGCTGTGTGGTGTTTACAATGTTAGGTCTGCTCAACACTGATGTGTGGTGTTTACAATGTTAGGTCTGCTCAACACTGATGTGTGGTGTTTACAATGTTAGGTCTGCTCAACACTGATGTGTGGTGTTTACAATTGTTAGAGCTGCTCAACACTGATGTGTGGTGTTTACAATTGTTAGAGCTGCTCAACACTGATGTGTGGTGTTTACAATGTTAAAGCTGCTCAACACTGATGTGTGGTGTTTACAATGTTAGGTCTGTTCAACACTGCTGTGTGGTGTTTACAATGTTAGGTCTGTTCAACACTGATGTGTGGTGTTTACAATGTTAGGTCTGTTCAACACTGCTGTGTGGTGTTTACAATGTTAGGTCTGCTCAACACTGCTGTGTGATGTTTACAGTGTTAGAGCTGCTCAACACTGCTGTGTGGTGTTTACAATGTTAGAGCTGCTCAACACTGATGTGTGGTGTTTACAATGTTAGGTCTGTTCAACACTGATGTGTGGTGTTTACAATGTTAGAGCTGCTCAATACTGCTGTGTGGTGTTTACAATGTTAGAGCTGCTTAACACTGATGTGTGGTGTTTACAATGTTAGGTCTGTTCAACATTGCTGTGTGGTGTTTACAATGTTAGGTCTGTTCAACACTGCTGTGTGGTGTTTACAATGTTAGGTCTGTTCAACACTGCTGTGTGGTGTTTACAATGTTAGGTCTGCTCAACACTGCTGTGTGGTGTTTACAATGTTAGGTCTGCTCAACACTGATGTGTGGTGTTTACAATGTTAGGTCTGTTCAACACTGATGTGTGGTGTTTACAATGTTAGGTCTGTTCAACACTGCTGTGTGGTGTTTACAATGTTAAGTCTGTTCAACACTGCTGTGTGGTGTTTACAATGTTAGGTCTGCTCAACACTGCTGTGTGGTGTTTACAATGTTAGGTCTGCTCAACACTGATGTGTGGTGTTTACAATGTTAGGTCTGTTCAACACTGATGTGTGGTGTTTACAATGTTAGGTCTGCTCAACACTGCTGTGTGGTGTTTACAATGTTAGGTCTGTTCAACACTGATGTGTGGTGTTTACAATGTTAGGTCTGTTCAACACTGCTGTGTGGTGTTTACAATGTTAGGTCTGCTCAACACTGATGTGTGGTGTTTACAATGTTAGGTCTGCTCAACATTGCTGTGTGGTGCAAGACACCTTGACAATTAACAAACATTTAGAAAGTCAAATCTAGTCTCTAGTCTTCCTCTTCTTTGATCCTTCTGTCAGAAAACTTATATCAGGAGGCCGGTAGCCTTTATGAAAGCTATCGTGCAGTCCATATCATCTCGTGTACCATACAGCTTTGTCTTCATTGTAGTTGGGACAGGCCAGCTTGCGTCTCTGTTGTCAGCATACAGTTGACAGTGTTGGAGCACATGCTCAGCATTTTAGGATGCCACTCTGCAGGGACGTGTCTCCGTGCTTCCTACACCAAAAAATTTGAACTATGTTGACGAAGTCTGTTGTGCCCAGTCCTTGGTCTGAACATAATACACTGTCCCTCTCTAGAGAGGCGATGAAGTGGGTCTTGGGAAGAGAATTTGGTCGATGTAGATGTACAAAATAGGTGTGATGTTGCAAATATTACATTCTTGGAGAATTGGAGATTCACCCAATGGGGCGAACTTGAGTTTGTTCACAACATGCTGTCAACACAGGGAAAGCACAGAAGCATTGAAGTTGCACCATGAAGTCACTCTAAGGAACTTTGCAATCAGCATGTTTTGCTCAAGAAAAAAAAAACTCATAAAAAAGCACAGAAAGGGTTTTAAAAAAATCACAAGTCAGGAATTAGGCAGCTGAAGTTATGCAGCATTGCAGCAGCTAGATCTGCAATAAGGCCACATAAAAACAACATCTGAAATTAACTAATCAAAATGGCAGCCATGTTGTGTGCTAAAGTGGAAAGACAGCAGACGACTAAGTGTCCTGGATATGATTCACACTCCAAACTGTTGCACCCAACTTACGCACAAAATGTCAAGAAAACGCAACAATGTGTTGCCGCCATAAATGCACATTTATTTCACAAGGACGATCGGGTACATAGAATAACGCAAGCGAAGTAATTATACACATGTATAATCACTGGCTAATCATGAAAATTAATGTCCCACGCTTCGCTCACTTAGACTGGTTTAGCGGCGCTTTCTTGGTCAGCCTACACTAGCTGCCACTACATGCTGAGCTGACCGCTGCAATGCCTACAAGTGCTCTAGCTACCCTCACTTCAGGGCTCGCTGAAAGGGTGAACAGGTTACATCTCCTACTCAATTTGACCGCCCTTGCTCTATGCGCAGCAGACACTGTCACATCGGCTGACTGAAATACTTTACAGGGCTTGATCTCCAGAATGTACACGCAGCACCTCAGCCTGGTCGAAGGAACCACGATGACCGGGAGAACTCCCAGCTCTGAGTCCTCTTCAGCACACCGCTGTCGCCGACATCTCTGCCGTCTTGTTTCACCAGTGATCACGACCGCCACACATGCGTCGTCACCTAAGACAGCTTCTTATGGAAATAGTCCAGCTCATACGCCAAAACAGAAGCGCATGGGCATTCATAGCACGCTCAGTGGGCAGAACAGTCAAAGAAGCCAACGGCGCCTTCTCCATGACAACCAGCATCATGACAATGGAGGTGATGGTAGTGACGCAAGCGTTTGCCTGGCTTGAAACACAAAAATGCATCCGCTTATGTATAGTCAGTGATTCAGTGAGTATGATCTGGAGGGTTCAGGCAGGTTCAGTGCGAAGACAATGGCTTGAATCATTACAGAAGTCCACTGTGCGTGGAGTCACCTTTATTTTTGTTCCGGAACACACAGGCATCGATGGGAATGAAAGAGCTGACAGGTTGGCTGGATCCGCTATCAATACCGGCGGTCAGCCTATGGATCATGCTGATATTATCACTGCCCTCAGAAAAATGGGAAGAATAGAGGACTTTGATGGCAGTGAATCCACATCACTCGCCAGAATGGCAGACTTGGGAATTAAGATCGGCACAGCAAAAAATGAGACGCACACCAGAAGACTTGTTAATCAACATAGAACTAGTGCCATTAGCCATCAGACGTTGGGCTTCATACTGAGGGGAGGATCTGAGCACCTATGGACATGTCCGGAGTGCAATGATGATAACCCAACTAACTAACTAAACTAGTCCAGCTCTCTTGGCCCAAATCTGCCAGTTGGACTTCTCTTCATGCGATTGCACTCTCAACTGTCTTCTAGACCAGTCTTTCGCGAGTTCTTCCGCCTCAGCCTAACGATGTGAGCTCCCTCTCTCAACTGAACTCAACCCCAGTATATACACCTGCCATCCCCTGTGAGCTCTTCATGCAACACAAGATGTGCACTGTTATGCGTGATTCTCCTTTGTTGAGAAACCTATACTTTTCGTGCGACTGTTGCTATCGACGCACAAAGTATGATAAATCACCCCACACTGAGCTGGCACTTCGGGAACCAACTGGTCCCTCTGGTCCTGTCAACACCGACTTCTGATATTGATTTAGTCAACACAGCCCCAAATATTGACTCAGGTTACCTACCGGACATTCCAGTGGACTCGCAAATCCACAGTTTGCACCACATTGTCCTAATCATTGTTGAAAACACACCCCCCCCCCCCCCTTTTCCAAATTTACACGCAACAGGCAGATATTAGTGTCTTTTTATTAACATCTTCATTTTCCTGTTAAAGCTAGTAGTTTTTATCTTACTTGTGACCAGATGTGCCAGGATATACACCGTAGGTTTGTTATTTTGTCAAGGTTTTTGGTGGTGCTACAGCTTTTGTGCATCTATGCAAAACAATTCTAGAGTTTGTCTTTCACTGTGTGTGGTTAGTGACACTGCATAGTATTTTGGTTTTCCAGTATGGCAGACAAGCATTTGGTCCTTATGCACAAAACAAACTAACCACGAAAATGACAAGGCAGGGGCGCTGTAGCTAGAAAAACACAACTGAGATGTGTCCATCTGGGCCTCACTAGTATTCAGATTCTGTACCGGAATTGTGCCAGTATAAAGCAAGGTCCCACTTTGGAATAACAACAATTTTATAGCTCTACAGGAGACGGGTCTTGGTGATAACGCACCTCTTGTGGCCGGTTTCTTATTTACAGCAGGCCTGTGTTGGGCTATACTTGTTCGAGACAGTATAATGGCATCAGAGTGGGAACTGTTTAAGTGGGTCGTCGAGGAGATATTAATGCAGGCAAATAGAATTCAACTCAGGCATCTGTTTGTGTTGGTTAACTCTTTCAGGCCCATGAATTTTGACAGACTTGGCCCACATTAGTTTCCCTTTACAAAAATGGCAGAGGGGTGGGTGCACAAGAAAGGCTGTAGAGATTGTAATATACTTCTAATCCCTACAAAAGTATATATTTTTTAAAAGAGAAATGAGTGTACATTCTGAATCTGATGATAAGTGTTTGTTTAATTTTGTTATAGTTAGTGGAAAAGAAGAATTCAGCAGGTGGTAATTTCACAAGGACAACATTTCACACAAAAATTCTTTACTTACCATGGTTTTGCAGCCACAAGAGTAGTAAATATCCAAATTTGAGAACAAAACTTCAAAGTTTGTTCAATTTCCTAACATATTATAAAGTTATGATAACTTTCTGGGTTGGTTTAGCACTCAGGGGGTCTTAGTTCTCACAGAGTGCTAAGCAAAATTTCAGAGAAAAAGTGGCAGAAAAATGAGCCATTACACACACACTATTTACTATTTACTTTGTACAGTTTTAAACAGACTGTAGCTGCGATGATTTCAATGTAGCTTAGCCATAGTATAGTACAATCTATTTGTTTAGAGCACTTTCCTTCTCTTACACCTTAAATATGGTAGTATGGGACATTGTCTGTGTAATAAACTCATCAGAATCACTTTCTGAAAAATCTAAATTTTTATTATCATTATTGCAATTAAAAACATCTGACTGAATCAATTTCAGAAAGACGCATTCAGCGACCCGTACTTGTGGCTAGAACATTGGTATTCATGGCACTCAAAAACGAACTTAAAAAATTATCTGCTGAAAAAATTTCGCTGTTTTTTTTTTCTCTCAAATTTTCCACGTGTGGTTCAGTCCAGGAAATAAAACTAAAAGGATTTCGGCACAGTGACTTTCCCTGAATAGTTTAATCGTACCTCCAAACTTTAGAAAAATGTAAGATACACACCGATGACACCGTTGTTTGGACAAAACGGAACTTCTCAAACAACGCTCACACCGTTGTTTGGGCCTTAAAGAGTTAATGCATTGATTAACAGTGGTAGCTGTGCTTGAATGGGAGCATTTTCTGTGGAGATTTCATTGCGGAAGGCAGATCATGGGGAAACATTTCTTCGGACACGTGGGGAAGGGGAGGGGGTTGTTATTGTCGATGTTGTCCTTGAAACTGTAGACCTAGTTTGTATCAACAACCGCTGTGTCACCAGGTCATGGAGAAGGACAATATTATTGAACTGCCTCTGGATTCTCCTTCACTTCAGTATGTAGACAGGGGGTGTCCTAGGTTACTATGGCAGTGACCACTGCTCCTGCAGCATGTTGGTGGAGAAAAGCAGATCTAGGAAGCACTTGGCAAAGGTCAAGACTGACAGTGCGGGACAGGACTTGATGGGTAAAATAAGTGCAGTAATAAACATTGAAAGAAGAAAAAATGAGAGCGACCCTCCTAGTGGAATTGTGAGGTGAAAAAGCATGGACAGATAAGTATGTTGCTTTGAATAAATGGCAGAATGTCAGAAGAAACTGTTTCCCAGACTAATTATATTCTGAACCTAGAAAGAGACAAGGACACATAACAGGTTGCTTCAGAAAAAAAAAAAACTTAAAGGAGAGTAGTGGGCAGAGCTATGTCCCACAATAAACAAAAATGAGGCTGATCCTGACAACAAATGCTTCATGAAGTTTGCTGTGTGAAAGGCCCAGATACACCAGCTGTATTGTGAACAGGTACAGGGCAACAAATTACTTCACCCAGATACAAATGTCACTGGTTTCATATCCAACTAATCCAGTGAAAATAAGTAGAAAATGTTGAGTGGTTATGTTTACAATAAGTCATGTGTAAATTTGAAATCAGTTTAGATTCCTTTTCTGACTGCAGGAAATGATGAAATCAAACGAGGAATACTCTTGATGCTGTTTGGTGGTGTTCCAAAAGTCACACTGGAAAGGACAAATCTCCGCGGTGACATTAACATCTGCATTGTGGGTGATCCAAGTACAGCCAAGTCACAGTTCTTGAAACAGGTTAGTTGTCCATCACTCTTGCTCCACTTGTAATCAGCTAAGTCGCAGTTCTTTAAACAGGTTAGTTGTCCATCACTCTTGCTCTACCATGTAATCAGCTAAGTCGCAGTTCTTGAAACAGGTTAGTTGTCCATCACTCTTGCTCTACCATGTAATCAGCCAAGTCACAGTACTTGAAACAGGTTAGTTGTCCATCACTCTTGCTCTACCATGTAATTAGCCAAGTCACAGTTCTTGAAACAGGTTATTTGTTCATCACTCTTGCTATACCATGTAATTAGCCAAGTCGCAGTTCTTGAAACAGGTTAGTTGTCCATCACTCTTCCTCTACCTTGTAATCAGCCAAGTCACAGTTCTTGAAACAGGTTAGTTGTCCATCACTCTTGCTATACCATGTAATTAGCCAAGTCGCAGTTCTTGAAACGGGTTAGTTGTCCATCACTCTTGCTATACCATTTAATTAGCCAAGTCGCAGTTCTTGAAACGGGTTAGATGAATATCACTCGTGCTCTATATAATCAGATGGCTCTTTTCTGTTTAAAACAAAAATACATTATCTGATAGCGCTTTCCTGTTAAAAAGGGGGGAAAGAAAGTGTTATCAGGTTGTTCGTTTTTATTAGTTGGCAGGAAAGCCTGTACACCTAAAAACTATAGATAAACAAGATGCAAAATAACTCTTGTATTCTATGGCATTCTTGTATGCATTTTGAACAGTTTAATTGATTAAATCACAAAGATGTTCACTGACAAAATTAGGGTCCTTTCAGTAGCTCTACATTTCCGTTTAGGGGGGGGGGGGGGGGGGGGGTTTAAATTAGTAAAGTAAAATTTCTTTGTTGTGTATTTAGCAGTATACTTTTTGCATTGTCTTCTTGTTATGTGTTCTTTACTTTATATATTTCATTAGTGTGGCTAAGGGTACTAGAGTTCTCATCAAACCATGCTGAATTCTGTATATCCATTGTTTAATTTTCAGGCTGTGATGTTCAAGGTGCACTGTTTAAAGTTGTACTTTGAGAATTGACTGCTTTCTGCCCTTGTCTAAATATCTTTTGCTGAAGGTATTTTTGCTTTGTTGTATGTATTACAGAGCTGATAATGAGCATGTTTTCTTGGGCATTGATGGAAGTCAGGCTTGGTATTGTTGTTCTATATCTGTATTTATTTTATTAAACCCTCAGGTGGAAGAGTTCAGTCCCCGAGCTGTCTACACCAGTGGAAAGGCCAGCAGTGCCGCAGGTCTGACGGCAGCCGTTGTCAGGGTACAGTTTTTGTACATGTCTGTGTGTGTTGTCTATGTGACAGTGTTGTGTACATTTCTGTGTGTGTTGTCTATGTGACAGTGTTGTGTACATGTCTGTGTGTGTTGTCTATGTGACAGTGTTGTGTACATGTCTGTGTGTGTTGTCTATGTGACAGTGTTGTGTACATGTCTGTGTGTGTTGTCTATGTGACAGTGTTGTGTACATTTCTGTGTGTGTTGTCTATGTGACAGTTTTTGTACATGTCTGTGTGTGTTGTCTATGTGACAGTGTTGTGTACATTTCTGCGTGTGTTGTCTATGTGACAGTGTTGTGTACATGTCTGTGTGTGTTGTCTATGTGACAGTGTTGTGTACATGTCTGTGTGTGTTGTCTATGTGACAGTGTTGTGTACATGTCTGTGTGTGTTGTCTATGTGACAGTGTTGTGTACATGTCTGTGTGTGTTGTCTATGTGACAGTGTTGTGTACATGTCTGTGTGTGTTGTCTATGTGACAGTGTTGTGTACATTTCTGTGTGTGTTGTCTATGTGACAGTGTTGTGTACATGTCTGTGTGTGTTGTCTATGTGACAGTGTTGTGTACTTTCTGTGTGTGTTGTCTATGTGACAGTGTTGTGTACATGTCTGTGTGTGTTTGTCTATGTGACAGTGTTGTGTACATGTCTGTGTGTGTTGTCTATGTGACAGTGTTGTGTACATGTCTGTGTGTGTTGTCTATGTGACAGTGTTGTGTACATGTCTGTGTGTGTTGTCTATGTGACAGTGTTGTGTACATTTCTGTGTGTGTTGTCTATGTGACAGTTTTTGTACATGTTTGTGTGTGTTTGTCTATGTGACAGTGTTGTGTACATTTCTGTGTGTGTTGTCTATGTGACAGTGTTGTTGTACATGTCTGTGTGTGTGTTGTCTATGTGACAGTGTTGTGTACATGTCTGTGTGTGTTGTCTATGTGACAGTGTTGTGTACATGTCTGTGTGTGTTGTCTATGTGACAGTGTTGTGTACATGTCTGTGTGTGTTGTCTATGTGACAGTGTTGTGTACATGTCTGTGTGTGTTGTCTATGTGACAGTGTTGTGTACATGTCTGTGTGTGTTTGTCTATGTGACAGTGTTGTGTACATTTCTGTGTGTGTTGTCTATGTGACAGTGTTGTGTACATGTCTGTGTGTGTTGTCTATGTGACAGTGTTGTGTACATGTCTGTGTGTGTTGTCTATGTGACAGTGTTGTGTACATGTCTGTGTGTGTTGTCTATGTGACAGTGTTGTGTACATGTCTGTGTGTGTTGTCTATGTGACAGTGTTGTGTACATGTCTGTGTGTGTTGTCTATGTGACAGTGTTGTGTGTACATGTCTGTGTGTGTGTTGTCTATGTGACAGTGTGGTGTACATGTCTGTGTGTGTTGTTGTCTATGTGACAGTGTTGTGTACATGTCTGTGTGTGTTGTCTATGTGACAGTGTTGTGTACATGTCTGTGTGTGTTGTCTATGTGACAGTGTTGTGTACATGTCTGTGTGTGTTGTCTATGTGACAGTGTTGTGTACATGTCTGTGTGTGTTGTCTATGTGACAGTGTTGTGTACATGTCTGTGTGTGTTGTCTATGTGACAGTGTTGTGTACATTTCTGTGTGTGTTGTCTATGTGACAGTGTTGTGTACATGTCTGTGTGTGTTGTCTATGTGACAGTGTTGTGTACATGTCTGTGTGTGTTGTCTATGTGACAGTGTTGTGTACATGTCTGTGTGTGTTGTCTATGTGACAGTGTTGTGTACATGTCTGTGTGTGTTGTCTATATGTGACAGTGTTGTGTACATTTCTGTGTGTGTTGTCTATGTGACAGTGTTGTGTACATGTCTGTGTGTGTTGTCTATGTGACAGTGTGGTGTACATGTCTGTGTGTGTTGTCTATGTGACAGTGTTGTGTACATTTCTGTGTGTGTTGTCTATGTGACAGTGTTGTGTACATTTCTGTGTGTGTTGTCTATGTGACAGTGCTATAACAGTAGTGTGTACGTGTCACTGTATGTACTGACCAAGTTGTGTACATATTGTTGGTATGTGCGGCCAAGTTGTGTACACATTGTTAGTGTTTATGTAATGACCAGGTTGTATACACACATTGTTGTGTATGTAATGACTAGATTGTGTACACATTGTTGTGTATGTAATGACCAGGTTTGACACATTGATGGCTTGAATGTAATGGCCTGGTTATGTATGTAATGACCAGGTTGTGTAAACATTGGTGTGTTTGTAATGACCAGGCTGTGTGCATTTAGTTGGTGTCTGTGTAATTACCTGGTGTTGTGTGCTCATTGGCGTGTGTGTGTGTGTCATGATCATTTTGTCTACACATTGTTGGTGTATGTAATGTGTGCACATTGATGGTATTTCACCATGTTGTGAACACATTGTTGGTGTATGTAATGTGTGCACATTGATGGTATTTCACCATGTTGTGAACACATTGTTGGTGTATGTAATGTGTGCACAGTGATGGTATTTCACCATGTTGTGAACACATTGTTGGTGTATGTATGTCACCAGGATGAAGAGTCCCACGAGTTTGTGATTGAAGCTGGAGCTCTGATGCTGGCTGACAACGGCGTCTGCTGCATTGATGAGTTTGACAAGATGGATCCTCATGACCAGGTGGCCATCCACGAGGCCATGGAGCAGCAGACTATTTCCATCACCAAGGCTGGAGTCCGGGTCAGTGATTTCTGTGTTTGTGTGGGGCACAGAACTTAATATGGGAGACATCTGTGAGTGTGGGAGTCAGAGACCTGGGGGGGGGGGGGGGGGGCAGAGAGCTGTGAATGTGGGAGACAGCTGTGAGTTTTGAAGACAGAGCTGAGAGCTGGGGGAAAGAGGAAAACTGTTACTGCGAGAGACAGAGAGCTGTGTGAAGAAAACTGGAAAACCTATGAGTGCGGGACACAGAACTGAGTGTTTGAGACAAAACTGTGAGTGTGGTAGACAGAGACAGCACTCTATCTATGACAATATACGAACAGATAGCACCTGCTTGTATCTTAAACAGTCAGAACCCTTCTCTTAGATTTCACAGACATCTCTATTTGTATTTATTACGGAAGGCATTCTTTCTGCCGCTAGCGAGATAATTGGAGGATCTTGGGAGCAGCATGTTCACATTACTGTTAAGAATGTGAGAATTGGGAGTATAAAAAAAAACCGAAAAGCTGGCCATGTCAATCAGCATAGGACTGGCGCTATTTACTGTTGGACACATATGTGTATGTTGAAAGGGGAATCTGAGCACCCGTGTATATGTCCAGAATGCTGTGAAGATAATCCAACTCCTAACATTGAAGAGAAATTAGCAGATAAATACTCTCACATCTGGATTAAGACTTGACAGGAGACAGCCCAGATGAAAATGGACAGTGAGCGTACAAGATACACTAAGCATCTAAAATACATGAGACTGTGAAAGGGTTCCAAGTTTTTCTTACAAATGGTCTTGGTTCCCTAAAACTTTTAGAACTTGCTACCTTAGTTCCTTGAAACTCTAGAACTGTGCTGTATTGGTTTCTTGAAACTCCAGCACCGAGCTGTCTTGGTCAACAAACTCTAAAACTGTGTGGTCTTGGTCAACTAAAACTCTAGAACTTTGCTGTCTTGGTCAACGGAAACTCTAGAACTGTGCTGTCTTGGTCAACGGAAACTCTAGAACTGAGCTGTCTTGGGCCCCTGAAACTCTAGAACTGTGCTGTCTTGGTCCCCTGAAACTCTAGAACTGTGCTGTCTTGGTCCCCTGAAACTCTAGAACTGAGCTGTCTTGGTCCCCTGAAACTCTAGAACTTTGCTGTCTTGGTCCCCTGAAACTCTAGAACTTTGCTGTCCTGGTCCCCTGAAACTCTAGAACTTTGCTGTCTTGGTCAACTGAAACTCTAGAACTATACTGCAGGGTTCGTAGTGGACCGGGAAATTACCGGGATTTTTTTCGTTGACCTTGAACCGGGATTTTTAGCTTATAAAAGACATTCCGACCTTGAAAAGCCGTGAATTTTGACCGCGGCAATGAAAGCGTCAGAAATCCTGTGTTTTTCAGCACAAGCAATTTTGGGGGAGCCATTTGGCTTTTTTGGCCATTTGGCTAGTTTTTGGCTACTTTCTTTGTATGGTCGTTTTAGGTGTGAGGGCAGCTGATTATTGGCTATTTTCAGCCGAAATGGCTTGTTAAAGGCCAGGGGAGGGCGGGCTGTGTTGCAGATCATGAATACATGCAGACAGCAGCGTTGTGGCATGGGGCGGGAAGTAGCAGATTCCGTCGCGTGTGTGTGTGTGTGTGCCTTTGTTTCTAGCAAGTCTGGCAGAATGAACAGTATAAATCGTTTATGGCCGTGGTCTCTAGAAAGGATTACATTGGGAGATGGTGGGGCTCGGTTCAGTTGTATTTATAATAAATAGAGTCGCCGTGGTGGGGGCTAAGCACAGCCTTCTCTATTAATTAGAGATGGCATTGGGGCTATACAAAGTGACTGCAGCTGGATTTCCCAGTTCTATTTTTGGCCTGGATTTATCTTTACAGTGTGTTTGGCGATCAGTATTGTAATTCCCCGAGATTCCCTCTTCTGTTGTCTCACCCCTCTCTCTCTCTCTTCCCTCCCTCTTTCACTCTTCTACCTATTGCTCCTTCCTTCCCGTCTCCTGCGTTGTTGCTAACCCTCCCTTCTGATCTTCATCTTCTTCTCTTTCTCTCTATCTTTCCTTTTACTCTCTCATTTCCTGTCCCCCCTCCCCTTTTTCCTATTTTATTTCTTGTTTAAATGTTTAGTAAATGTGCGGCTCCATAACTCTTCCTAGCAACTCAAGTACACAGGAAGTTGTATTAGGGGGGGGGGGTGGCATTCTGTGTGAACATGGTGGATATTTTCTTTTGATGTGTTTATTTTCCTAGCCTTAATCTCTGTCCATCTCCCTTCCCGCCCCCTCACATTTTGTCCTACCTGTTCCTCACTCTCTGCCTGTCTGTGTCACTGCTTTCCTCTCTCTTTCTCTTTGTATTTGCCACTCTCCCTCACTCTCCCCCCCCCTCTCTCTCTCTCTCTCTCTCTCTCTCTCTCTCTCTCTCTCTCTCTCTCTCTCTCTCTCTCTCTCTCTCTCACTCTCTTTCTTTCTCCATACAGTTGGTGTAGGTTATGTGTTGCCTAGTGCAGAACATTTCATGTCCACCATTCCCCCCTCCCACACATTAAATATATGTGTACTTTTAAAAACAAATTTGCCATCACCACCCCCCCCCCCCCACCCTTTTTTCCTCCCCCCACATTGATGACACCTAGGGGAGGGAGTGCACCCCTTCCTGCTACCTTCTTCCTTCTATATCTCATCTTATTTCTTACTCCCTTCTTTCTCTCCCTGTCTCATTCCCACTTTATTTTCTTAAACTTTATTCTCTCACCTTCTCTGTCTCACCCTTACCACTTCAGCCTTCTACATCACTTTCCACCACCTCCTCTCTCCCCTCCTTTCTGTAATTGGAAAACCATAAATAAAAAGAAGTCCACTGTTGCCCTGACCTATTTATGTGTGTGGGTAAACTTCTCTATTTTCCACCAGTGATGGGTTAGGATCCCCTGGACTTTTTTTTTCCTTCATAAAATGACCTTGGCTCTCAGGTCACCAGCCTTAAGTGTAAGAAAATTGAATTATTGTTGTCACACACAGATAGGACAAGCAAGGGGCAGTAGGGGTTAGCACTGTTGTTTATGGACCACAGCCACATTCACAGTGTCTTACCTTTCTTCTCTCACCCCTTCTCTTTCCTATGATCTTCTACTATTCTCCTTTCTCTCTCCATTCTCCCTCTCTTCCTTTCCTTGCCCTTTCTCCTGTCCCATCTCTTCTTTGTCTCCTCTCCATCCTGTCTTTTCTTTTTCTCTAGATTTCCTTACCCGCTCCCCTCTCTCATTCTCCCCCCCCCCCCCACCACCATTTTTTTTACTGGTTCATCTATGTATTTTTTTCCCCATAACTATCTTTTCCTAGTGGTTGTGTCCACTACACTTGAAATTTTGTGTGTGTGTGTGTGGGGGGGGGGGGGGAGTAGGTGGCTGTTTTTTTTTTCTTTGATGTATCTTGTCTCCCTTCCTGCCCCTCTCTCTTAATCTGTGTTTGTCACTGCCTTCCTTACCCACCCTCTCTCTCTCTCTCTCTCTCTCTCTCTCTCTCTCTCTCTCTCTCTCTCTTTTGCTTTATGTCTGTTTGCCTCCCTTCATCACTTCCTCTTTGTATACCTCCCTCCCATTCTCCTGCTCTGCCTTTTTTCTCTTTCTTTGGTTCTCTCCCTCTGTCTGCTTGCCTCTCTGTGCTGTCCCTTTGTCTCTCTCTCCTTTATGTTTACATCTCTCTCTGCTTGCATCTGCTTCTCACCCTGTCAGTTCTCTTTCCCTCTGTCTCCCTTCTTTCAACTCTTTGTCATATTTTCCTCCTTCCATATCTCTGTTTCGTTCCCTTTTTCCTTCTCTTTTCATCTGCCCATCTCTGTATCTGCATTCCCTCTTTCTGTATTTGTCTCCCTCTCTTGTCTTTCGCTGTCCCCACCTCATCATGTCTCCATCCCTCCCTCTAATTTTTTCCTCCTTCCCCGGACTTCATTTCCTTCTTTTCTCTACCTTCATCTGTCCATCTTTACACTGTCTCTCCCAGCCTACCTCAGCATGTGTCTTCCTTTCTCTTCATGACTCTCTCTCTCTCTCCCCAACCCTCTCAGGTACCAGGTCCAGAACAGACAGGACTTCAGTTTGCTGCCCTCTACCACCAAGCCCTAAAAAAAAATTTCAAACACAATATCAAGCTCAGGGGCCGACCAACACGAAGATGGGCACAGGATATAAGTGACTCCTTGAGTATAAAAAAGTACATGAGGCGGGAGAGCTGGTGAGAGACCAAGGTTTTTTTGTCAGGACAAAGGAAATGCTACATGATAATTATATCTGTGCTGGTATACCAACACATGTGGCACAAATGAAGTACCTTGTGTGCTCAGTACACCCTTGAACAAGGCAAAAATCTTGTTTCAGTATTACACCGAGACAACCTTGGAAAAAAACTAAGGAGACCTTGAAAAAGACCTTGAAAAGCCTTGAAATTGATTGGTAAATTTGGCTATGAACCCTGATACTGTCTTGGTCCCCTGAAACTTTGCTGCTGGACTTAATGAATCAGTGTTTTTTTTTATTTTTTAGTCAAGTTTTGGTTGTGTTATATGAATTAATAGTGTTATTTATTTGTTAATTGGCGTAGGTTGTGTTAAATTGATGTATCAGTGATATTTGTTTGTTAATTAAGGTTGGTTCTGTTATTTTGTTATTTGGATAAATAGTGTTATTTGTTTATTAGTTGAGGTTGGTTGTGTTATTTGGATGAATAGTGTTAATTATTTGATAGTTGATGTTGGTTGTTATTCTATAGGCAACGCTAAATGCCAGAACATCCATCTTGGCTGCAGCTAATCCGGTCGGCGGTCGCTACGACAGGTCCAAATCTCTGAAACATAACATCAATATGAGTGCTCCTATTATGTCCAGATTTGATCTGTTCTTTATCTTGGTGGACGAGTGCAATGAGGTACAGTATTTGTTCAGTAAATATTTCTCTTTAATTTAGTGGATGAGTGCAATGAGGTACAGGATTTGTTCAGTAAATATTTCTCTTTAATTTAGTGGATGATGGCAGTGAGGTACTGTATTTGTTCAGTAAATATTTCTCTTTACTTTAGTGGTTGAATGCAGTGAGGTACAGGATTTGTTCAGTAAATATTTCTCTTTAATTTAGTGGATGATGGCAATGAGGTACAGGATTTGTTCAGTAAATATTTCTCTTTAATTTAGTGGATGCGTGCAATGAGGTACAATATTTGTCATTAAATATTTTTCTTTAATTTAGTGGATGATGGCAATGAGGTACAGTATTTGTCATTAAATATTTCTCTTTAATTTAGTGGATGATGGCAGTGAGGTACAGTATTTGTCATTAAATATTTCTCTTTAATTTAGTGGATGATGGCAGTGAGGTACTGTATTTGTTCACTAAATATTTCTCTTTAATTTAGTGGATGAGTGCAGTGAGGTACTGTATTTGTTCACTAAATATTTCTCTTTAATTTAGTGGATGAGTGCAATGAGGTACTGTATTTGTTCATTAAATATTTCTCTTTAATTTAGTGGATGAGTGCAATGAGGTACTGTATTTGTTCATTAAATATTTCTCTTTAATTTAGTGGATGATGGCAATGAGGTACAGTATTTGTTCAGTAAATATTTCTCTTTAATTTAGTGGATGAGTGCAATAAAGTACAGTATTTGTTCAGTAAATATTTCTCTTTAATTTAGTGGATGAGTGCAGTGAGGTACTGTATTTGTTCATTAAATATTTCTCTTTAATTTAGTGGATGATGGCAGTGAGGTACAGTCATTGTCATTAAATATTTATCTTTAATTTAGTGGATGAGTGCAATGAGGTACAGTATTTGTCATTAAATATTTCTCTTTAATTTAGTGGATGAGTGCAATGAGGTACAGTATTTGTCATTAAATATTTCTCTTTAATTTAGTGGATGAGTGCAATGAGGTACAGTATTTGTCATTAAATATTTCTCTTTAATTTAGTGGATGAGTGCAATGAGGTACAGTATTTGTCATTAAATATTTCTCTTTAATTTAGTGGATGAGTGCAGTGAGGTACTGTATTTGTTCATTAAATATTTCTCTTTAATTTAGTGGATGAGTGCAATGAGGTACAGTATTTGTCATTAAATATTTCTCTTTAATTTAGTGGATGATGGCAGTGAGGTACAGGATTTGTCATTAAATATTTCTCTTTAATTTAGTGGATGATGGCAGTGAGGTTCAGTATTTGTCATTAAATATTTCTCTTTAATTTAGTGGATGATGGCAGTGAGGTACTGTATTTGTTCATTAAATATTTCTCTTTAATTTAGTGGATGAGTGCAATGAGGTACAGTATTTGTCATTAAATATTTCTCTTTAATTTAGTGGATGATGGCAGTGAGGTACAGTATTTGTCATTAAATATTTCTCTTTAATTTAGTGGATGATGGCAGTGAGGTACTGTATTTGTTCATTAAATATTTCTCTTTAATTTAGTGGATGAGTGCAATGAGGTACAGTATTTGTCGTTAAATATTTCTCTTTAATTTAGTGGATGAGTGCAGTGAGGTACAGGATTTGTCATTAAATATTTCTCTTTAATTTAGTGGATGATGGCAGTGAGGTACAGGATTTGTCATTAAATATTTCTCTTTAATTTAGTGGATGAGTGCAGTGAGGTACTGTATTTGTTCATTAAATATTTCTCTTTAATTTAGTGGATGAGTGCAATGAGGTACAGTATTTGTCATTAAATATTTCTCTTTAATTTAGTGGATGATGGCAGTGAGGTACAGGATTTGTTATTAAATATTTCTCTTTAATTTAGTGGATGATGGCAGTGAGGTACTGTATTTGTTCATTAAATATTTCTCTTTAATTTAGTGGATGAGTGCAATGAGGTACAATATTTGCATATTAAGTATGGTACAGCCTTGAGCGGAATTTGGTAAGTTTTTTGTTAGGAAATGTGTCTGTGGTGCTGTAACTGAGAATTATTGGACAGAAGTCAGGACAGTGAGTTTCTGAACTAGATAGAAGATGTTTGTGAAGTTTCAGGGATGTTATATTAATTGATTTCAAGTACACATAGGAAATAATAGGGGCTTTATGTACTTGAGCAAGAGCCCCATGTGTGATGAACTCTTTTAATTCTTTGTCAGTTAGTCAGAGCATGGAGATATTTCACACACACACACACAAATCTGGAACCAGAGAACACCAGTGTTGTATGAACTTGTATCACACTCTTTTGTGAATACAATCTGGACATATTAGTCTGGAACCATTGAGCACCAGTGTTGTATGAGCACACTCATCCATGGATACTTTCTGGACATAATGTTCCTAAACCATTGAGAACCAGTGTTGTGTGAACTGGCAGCACACTTATCCATGGATACTTTTTGGACATAATATTCCTGAACCATTGAGCTCCACTTTTGTATGAACTTGCAGCACACTTATCCCTGGATACATTCTGGACATAATTTTCCTGAACCATTGAGCTCCACTTTTGTACGAACTTGCAGCACACTTATCCCTGGAAATAATATTCCTAAACCATTGAGCACCAATGTTGTATGAACTTGCAGCACATTTATCCCTGGATACATTCTGGACATAATATTCCTAAACCTTTGAGCTCCAGTGTTGTATGCACTTGCAGAACACTCTTCCCTGGATACATTCTGGACATAAAAGTCTGAAACCATTGAGCACCAGTATTGTATCGACTTGCAGTCTGCCTGTTCTCCTGGTGTCTTTAACTGTTTGTGTTGAATGACAGTTTTATGCAGTTGCTTTTAAAAAAAAAAAAAAAAAAAATTTTTGTTATTGTAAACAAAATCATTTTGGTGTGAATTGTTTGTTGGCTCTGTGGCTAAGTCGATGCGAACGCTTCGCTTCGTAATGATGGGATGCCAGGTTCGATCCCAGCTGCGGGCAACACGCCATGCCTTGGTTTCGACAGTGGTATCAAGAAAGCCGACCATCCAGAAAGCAATGGCAAACTACTGGATGTAAATTGCCTAGAGAATCCACACAACAGCCAGGGGCTATTATGTTTGGTTCTGCAACGTCCTGTAAAGGATACACAACTAACTAGATAAAACTTGTATGACTTATCTACCCATCTGTCCAACAGGTGACAGATTACGCAATTGCTCGTCGCATTGTAGACCTTCACAGTCGAGCAGATGAGTCGGTGGACAGATTTTATTCCGTGGAGGACATTTGTCGCTACATTATGTTTGCCAGGCAGTTTAAACCGAAGGTGACCTTTTGTTTCATCTGTCGCCTTATTATGTTTGCATCAAGAGTAGATAAATTGTGTGTTTATCCCATCACATCTACACCAGCATGGGGCTGTTATGGCCTGTACGTAGATCACTGAAGGTGCGGTTTAATTTCAGACAGATTGTGGATCTATTATTACTTTATATATATGTAAATGTGGTATTTTTGTTTTGATTAGATCACTATATTTAGTCCTGGAGAATTTTTGTCACTGAACATTTAATCAGGGAGGAAAAGTTATTACTGAACATTTAGAACAGAAGAATCGTTTATCCTTAACATTTTGGTCAGGGAGGAAATTTTATCACGATATTTAGAACAGAATAATTGTTTATCACTAAACATTTATATCAGGGAAGAGATGTTATCATATATTTAGAACAGAATAATGATCACTTTATTTGTTTTAAATAGGATAATTCATTGTTATCACAATATTATTTATTTAGTCACATATGATGAGGCCAAGAGATTTTAAGAAGTACTTTTAGTACCCAGTGGGATTCTCAATGTCCAGGCCACAAGAAGAATGGTGGTTCTGCTGCATACCTTCTGTCGGAGGCATCCAAGAAGGGCCCTGTCCCTCATACATAAAAGTCCTACACGTTCTGACATCCCTGATGTTGCTAGCTTTAGAAATCAAGACTGAGCATGGCAGATGGTCACTTCCGTGATCACCTAAGACACTCCATTTTGTGTCCAGCACTGCTGACTGGGTAACAAAAGCTAAATTAATGGCTCTGTCTGCATCACCAGGTCTCATTGTCAGTCTTGTCGGCCTTCCGTCATTTAAACAGACAGTCTGCATTCACCATAACCTCTGCCAAAGCATTTCCTTGTCTATTTTCCCCAGTACTGTCCCATGCTCTGTTCCGCGCATTGAAATTCGCACAAATGAGAAGCCTATTTATTACCCAAGATTTCCTCCAACTCTTTGAGCCTGTCCCAATGTTCCTTTATGACAAGAGATTCAACAGCAGCAAAAACATTTACTAAATTCCAGGTTGTTCCCTCCTTATCTATCTGTTAACCCTGAACCTCTAGTGTACTTTAATTCCACTGGTCCAGGTCAAGAACCACAAGCCTCACTCCATTCTTCACAAGCAGACATTGCCCATGACTTCCCTGTCCAGTAGGATTTATATAACTAATGTATCCAGGACATTCATAGCTATGTTTAATTCCTGCAGCATAATAAAATCAAAGTCATACATCAGTTTCTCCAGTACAAGTTCTCTCCGCCTGGCACTACCACAATTCCAGTAACCCACTCTAATATGCTTTTAATCCTAGACTCTCCATTTTTCGCCTGACTTTTCAGGCCCCGGCTCTCCTATATCTATTGCTTCTTTTATTTCCTCATCTTCTCTTCGTTTCCACCTGAAGAGGGTATCAAGCACAGAGCATGCACTTACTTACTCCGGCAATGATTTTTTTTTTTATTAACTACAAAATCCATAGAAAATATTCTTTGAATACAAGAAGTAAACCTTCACCCTAGTATTGTCTGCCTGCTAGGGAGGAGGCAATGGATGTCCTCACCGAGTCCATACGCCAGACGCCACCCCACCCGCTAACCAGATGTTCTACATTCACGACTGTATAACCTAGTTATTCAGCAAATCGGCACGTAGGTCCACCATAGGCCTAGTTTTTTTATTTTTATCGAGGTTTATTGTGTTTTGTTCCTCTTCGATCACACACAACGATCTTGACTGTAAAAGGATTTTCCTGATCAAGGGACTTTTGACCTAAGTAGACCCCTTTTGCCCTGTAGGTACAAGTACTCATAGGAATAGACCCAGCTCTCAAGGCAGAACCGCTAGTGTGCTCCACTGTATGAAAGATCAGACTTCTACAGTCCTGCATCTCTTTGATCCTTGTGTATTCATTCAGGCGCACAATAATCATGATGTAATTTTGTGGTGGTGAAGTTAAGCTGAATTGTGAACTGACATTAAGGGAATCATTCTGATACTGGATATAACACTTAACCATCATCATGTGGCATAACAATAAATGATTAAAATCTACTGCAAATGTTCGTTAACTGGTGCCTAAGCAGAACACAAAAATTCAAAATGGTACGACAGAATCACTAATGTGAAGCTCTAGGAAAGAACCAACAAATTCCAGTAAACATGAGGTGAGGAGCATACTGATGCTGGGTATGACAAACTAAGAGTGGAGAGAGTGTCACACGAAATTAGCCCTTAAGCCCCCACCCCCCTCCCCCTTCCCCCGGCAACAAATGTTTGCAGAAATCGAATGTGTTGGCTGAAAGGGAAAATTTTGCAGCCACATAATGGGCACAAAACATTTACATCTTCAGATTAACACAGTATGTTGAATAAGGAATTGATATCACAGCACTCGGGGCACTCCCATTAGCGCTCCGTCCCCATCTTCAGCAGCAAGCGTAGACTTAAAATTCCGATGGTGCCAGTAACAGGCTGATTGTATATCCATCTCGCCCCTTCCCCCAAGTGTAAACACAGTAGAAGAAGAAGAATATTTATTTAGAATGGGAGAATTACTATCACATTATTAATTTTACGAGAACATTGTTTTCACTATGTTTTGAGGGGCGCATTTGTTTTTATTCCTTTTTTTTTTTATTGTCTAGAATTTTTAATCAGGAAAGGGAAAAATGTTTTGTTATTATATATTTAGATCAGTGCTGAAGCTCGGGACTTCATGGTTGAAGAATATAAACGTCTCCGTCAGAGAGATAGTTCAGGGGCAGGGTCGTCGTCATGGAGAATCACAGTTCGACAGTTGGAGAGTATGATTCGTCTCTCAGAAGCCATGTCACGCATGCATTGCCAGGATGAAGTTAGTAACAATTTGAAAAATTTTCTGCTTTTATAGTGTCATTTTCATCCATTTATGTGATTGTTTTATTTTATAAAGTCATTTTGTAAAATATAAGTCCAAGTCGGGTGGTTGAAAGATCCAGTTGTCTCAGTGGATCTGTCTGAAGCAAATTTCAAGTTTTTAAAATCAACCAGGTTTTTTAAAATCAACCAGGAACTATTTAGTTAAATTAAAATCACATTCAACCTGCAGACAGAAAAACTTGTTTTTGATTGTAACCCTGGTCAAATTGTATTAGCATTTACATTTATTTGTGCTGTTTATAAAGTGCCAGCAGAATTGGCCATTCTGGCATATGTTAGATTGATGATATCAACAGGGTAGACTATTGCAGTGATCTTCATTGTTATTAATTGCTGGCTCGAATGAGTCACCGCATCTTTCCATTCACCAACTGACAAGAACGAGAAAACATGGACGCTGGCAGACGTTCAGAAGTTACACGTACTGTTTATTTTCACTCGCTGATGTTGCAGTCAGTAAATGTTTTAATTACGACAATATCACTCATCAATGCTCTAAACCGTCAATCATACCTTTGTAACATCATAGAATATACACACTTAGCGAAAACAGCAGCTCGATCCATCCATACGACAGTCATTCACAGCTGGCCACCGTTTCCGCCAGCCGCTATTTTATGCCAGGTAGGCATTGGGAAATCACGCTATTCAGACGTCAACATTCTTCCGAACTTTTCCACACGTACACCTTTTCCCTTGGCCTAAACGAGACTGCCTCACAAACCTTTTCTTCGCTATTATATAGCCCTCTGATCTGTCCTGTTCTCGAATGTTCTGGATAATTTCATTCTCACGAATTCCACCGTTGAAAGTCGTGTCTGGCCTGTGATAATTCGCATTTCACACGAATCCTGCCAGTCAACCTTCATGGTTCACGTGAACAATCATGTTTCACATAAAACCTGACTTTCAGATGTCTCTCATGAAACTCAAGACATAAATCTCGTGTTATCTCAGTCAAAACAATCGCTTTACATTTATTACTGACGTCATCTATCGGGCATAACTTAATGGGGAGAAAATGACTCACTACAACTATTACTGGCAATTCATCATCAGTTTAGCAAGTCCTTTACAGAATGTCGCTCACTTCACGGCACGCCTGAAAGTTTCCCTTTCCCTAGCCAGCTCTTCAGCCCCATGTGCTTTCAGTGCCAATCCATCCTCAATGTCTTGTACCCATCTTCTTGGTGGCCGACCCCTGCCTCGCCTTCCACAAACTGCACCTTCCATCACCGTCTTTTCCAAGCCATCATGACACTTCAACTTTCGGGACAGGATGCTGTTTATGAGCCAGTTCTTCTTAATGTTCAACTCGTTTTTGTTGTCGATGTTTTTCCTCTTCCTGGTCCATGCTATTCTAGAATTTGTCTATAATGTTTCAATTCAAAAGCTCCAATATTTTTCCTCAATGATTCCTACTGGCCATTGGTATCCTAATAGTAATGGCATCCGTTAGTCTTAAGGTATTTGGGAACCACATCGTAATTTAGCCAGTTAGCAACAGTTGAGTAGATCTTGTTGAGGTTTGATTACAGAAATGATCTATTCATAGTTTAAATGTGCTTGACATTCATATTTGGAAATTATCTATTCTTAATGATATTGTTTAGCTGTCCATTTTCAGGGGACAACAAAATAAATAGACCTCCTGTCTCCCTGTTAAGCATGTCGTACAAGGCAATATTTTTTAGCGTTTCCTTTGTGAGGAACCAACAGTCTGCATACATATAAGCAAGACCTATAAGGTGGATGTGCATGACAAACTCAAATTCTGGGACAAGAAAAACGTTCAGAAGTAATTGAACAAACAAACTTTCACCAGAGTCTGCAGCCGGTGAATGTGAAGAAGAAGAAGACATGTAACTGACTTACATAAACATTTAAAGCACTAACCAACATTCAGCCTTTGTAAAATTTATTACCTGTTTTCTCCCTGCCTTTTATTTTGCTCTCTGCGCTGTTCTATCTTAATTTTATCCGACCTTCTGTGTACATTTTATCTTTTTATTCTGCTCTTTGCACCGTCTCCCGTAGTTTATTTCTACCTTTTCACCTCACAAGACTAATTTTCTGCTGGATGTTTTAAAATGCTGTCTAGGTAAGGCCTGGACATGTCAAGGAAGCATTTCGACTCTTGAACAAGTCAATCATTCGGGTGGAGCAGCCTGACATTGAGTTAGAGGATGATGTCGTTGCACCAGAACAAATGGAAGTTGATGAAAATACAGGTACTTCTTCACGTTTACCTGGTGTAGACTCCAGAGGAAAGTTCTGGTAAATCGTCCACTTCTGGACTTGTTCCAGAACTTGCATTTTGCGTGCACATCTGTTTTACAGGTTTTTTTGATTTTTTTATATGCAAACTGTCAGTTTCTTACCACCAAGGCAGATGAACTCCGACTTTGAAGGAAACAACCCCCCACCATCTTCTTCTTCTTCTTCTGCCTTTCTGTTCCCCTATGAAGCATACATAGGCTCTGAACCAACTCACCCCAAGTCGTTCTATCCTTCGCCATTGCATGGAGCTCTCCCCATCTTTCTAACTTCATTCTCCAGCTCTATTCTCCATGTGTTTTTTGGTCTTCCTTTATTCCTTTGCCCCTGTGGGTTCCAATGCAGAGATATTCTAATTATGCTGTTCTCCTGTTTTCTCAGGGTGTCCTATCCAACGCCAGCGTCTATTCCTCACCTCTTGGTCCACTGGAGCCTGTTTAGTTTTCTCCCAAAGCTCTACATTAGTATTCTATCATACCATTTAATTTCCCCCAACCATCAGTACTAATCAAATACCTTATATTTGACACAGATCACTATAGTATGCAATTTATAGGAAAGTGCATACTTGTGTGATGTGGGGATCAGGTCTTGGTTAGATATGACTAAGCTACCATATAACAAAAGTCAGTACCAACTGTTTTCTGTTAAACTGAATGTTGGGCGGCCTATACCAGACCTGACATCCTATATTGTGCCAATGGCTTCAGGCGGAGGAGCACATTGGGGGGGGGGGGGGGGGGGGTATACTAGCCTAATCCTAAGAAGAGGAAAGAAATGCAACCTGAAAACTTTGTTATGGCAGGGCAGACCAGGCCCTTCGCCTTGTCTGGCAACTGATCTAGGAGCCCTGATGGGAATGCCCCGAGTACTTTGATGTCAGTTTTTAAATCAACTCAACTGACTATAGAATGCAGTATATGAGACAGTGCATACCTGTACCTGTTTGAGGCAGATCACTATAGTATGCCATATATGGGACTGCATACTTGTACCTGTTTGACGCAGATCACTATAGTTTGCAGTATATGAGACAGTGCATACCTGTACCTGTTTGACGCAGATCACTATAGTGTGCCATATTTGGGACAGTGCATACCTGTACCTGTTTGACGCAGATCACTATAGTATGCCATAAATGGGACAGTGCATACCTGTACCTGTTTGACACATATCACTATAGTATTTAATAAATGGGGCGGCGCATACCTTGCAAAGTGTCTAGGGTGTCATCACTCTTGTGTGGATTGACTTGGGAGCCAGGGTCATTTTTGAAAGAAAAAGCCCGCCTCCGTTGGATTTAAACTTGGATCTGCAGGCGAGCATCTAGTCACTACTCCGTGGCAGCTGCCTCTAACACTAAAGCTGTTCACAAAATTATGATGTCAGAATGGCTTTAACAAAGCCATATTGTTTCAAAGACCCCCCCCCCCATACTGTTTTTAGTAAATATAGTCATATCCTGACCATCCGAGCGCTGCACAAACACAAATACTGTAGCAAGTTGGTTAAGTAACATATACAGGGGCTTGGCCCAGCTCCAAGTGCCAGTTTTGGCAACTGGGTTAAATTGTCTCTTCTAATCTGTAATGTCTTAAATTGTTCTTTGTTGTAATGTCTTAAATTGTTCTTTGTTGTAATGTCTTAAATTGTTCTTTGTTGTAATGTCTTAAATTGTTCTTTGTTTTAATGCCCTAAACTTGGTTAAACCTGACTTGTGGTCCGGGTTCACTCCCGAGGGTAGGCAGAAAAGCCACATTTCTCCCAGATTAACGGTACCTATAATGGAATCAATGCCGAAGGGTTGCGATATCCACAGTACCGAGCCAAAGAGTTTACAACTCATAGTTTCTGGATACGTTAAAAAAAAAAAAAATGCCCTAAACTGTTCTTTGTTTTAATGTCTTAAATTATTCTTTGTTGTAACGTCCTAAATTTCATTCTTTATCAGACTTACTCCTGACTTTTACATTTCCTTGACGTGTGTGGGTGTGACTGTGTGCAGTTGCACACTAGAGATAATGTCTACAAGCAGTATGTATATACTTTAAAACATTTGTGCACCTTGTAACTGTATTTGTGCAATATTGTATTTAGTGTATCCACATTTAGTCAGTCTGTGGTTGATCCTGTATTGTGATGTATTCAGTTATTCACATTTAGTCAGTCTGTGATTGATCCTGTATTGTGATGTATTCAGTTATTCACATTTAGTCAGTCTGTGATTGATCTTGTATTGTGATGTATTCAGTGTATCCACATTTAGTCAGTCTGTGATTGATCTTGTATTGTGAAGTATTTAGTTATTCACATTTAGCTAGTCTGTGATTAATCTTTTATTATGATGTTTTCAGTTTTCCACATTTAATCAGTCTGTGATTGATCTTGTATTGTGATGTATTCCAGCACCGGATCAGTCCCCAGATGCTTGTGAAGATTCTAAAGGCTCCCCACTGAAACAACCAGAGCCTGTGGCTGTGCCAGGCAAGCCTGCTCTGAGACTGTCATACGAGGACTACAAACACATGGCCAACTTAATCGTGCTGCACATGAGGAAGCAAGAAGAGGAGGCTGGTAGGTTTCTCTGTTCCAAGCCAATGTGAACCTTTCCTAGGCTGTGAAAATTTCTTTTGTTTCAAGGCCAAATGTGAACCTTCCCAGGCTGTAGTACTTTCTTTTGTTCCATGACCAAATGTGAACCTTTCCTCCTGTGTTGCCGGTCGCACATAACTCTGTAGCTGCAGCGACGTTCCTCCATTTATCACTCTGGTACCTATTTCCTAGAGGCTGGGTGAACCCCGGGAGCCGCCCGGTTCCAAACATCGCCCGTGGGCTGCAGCGAATTGCAGCTGGTTTTGAAAGCAAGCTTCTTATTGACTACGCTAACGCAGTGTGCAATGACGCTGGTTCACATCTTCTGACTTTACCTTACCTTTTTATGTGAACCTTTCCTAGGCTGTAATAGTTTCCTTTGTTTCACGGCCAAATGTGAACCTTTCCTAGGCTGTAATAGTTTCCTTTGTTTCACAGCCAAATGTGAACCTTTCCTAGGCTGTAATAGTTTCCTTTGTTTCAAGGCCAAATGTAAACCTTTCCTAGGCTGTAATAGTTTCCTTTGTTCCATGGCCAAATGTGAACCTTTCCTAGGCTGTAATAGTTTCCTTTGTTCCATGGCCAAATGTGAACCTTTCCTAGGCTGTAATATTTTCTTTTGTTTCACGGCCAAATGTGAACCTTTCCTAGGCTGTAATATTTTCTTTTGTTTCACAGCCAAATGTGAACCTTTCCTATGCTGTAATAGTTTATTTTTTTTCCATGGCCAAATGTGAACCTTTCCTAGGCTGTAATAGTTTTCTTTGTTCCATGGCCAAATGTGAACCTTTTACTATTCTTCTTGAACTGTGTTTATTTATATCAGTATCATTATTTTTCTTGTACCATGTATGTTTGTTTATGACTGTAACACACATCTCCTCTGCTTGTGCCATGTCAGTTTATTTTGCATACTGCTGAAATGTTTTGTCATTCTAGCCTGTTTTGCGGGGGAGAGGGGGGGAGGGGGGGGGGGAGACACAATTTCTTATATGATTGAAACTCACAGACAGGCATGCATACACATATCATTCTTGTCTCACATCGTTCCCATCATTGTCTAAATCTTTCTTGTCCCAAACATCCTTGTCAATGTCTTTCCTGTCTCATACATCCTTGTCTATATCTTTCTTGACCCACACATTCTTTTTGTCTATATCTTTCTTATCTCACACATTCATCTTGTCTGTATCTTTTTTATTTTACACAATTTATCACCTGCTAAGTTTGTCTTGTCATTAGAAGACATCTTTCAACATGGCTATTTTCACTGGGGTTTTCCTATGGCAAATTAAACACACAGCTGTTCCGTTGCAGGGGAAGATGAGAGTGGCTTGAGGAAGAGCGAAGTCATTGGCTGGTATTTGACAGAGATTCAGGACGAGCTGCACTCAGAAGAGCAACTTATTGAGAAACGAACAGTTGTGGAAAAAGTTATCGACCGGCTTGTCCATCATGTAAGATATTTTGTTTCCTCTGTGTCCATCATCTAAGATATTTCATGTTTTCTCTCTATCCATCACCCTAAGATATTTCATGTTTCCTCTGTGTCCATCATCTAAGATATTTCATGTTTTCTCTCTATCCATCACCCTAAGATATTTCATGTTTCCTCTGTGTCCATCATCTAAGATATTTCATGTTTCCTCTGTGTCCATCATCTAAGATATTTCATGTTTTCTCTGTGTCCATCATCTAAGATATTTCATGTTTTCTCTGTGTCCATCATCTAAGATATTTCGTGTTTTCTGTGTCCATCATCCTAAGATATTTCATGTTTTCTCTCTGTCCATCATCTAAGATATTTCATGTTTTCTGTGTCCATCATCCTAAGATATTTCATGTTTTCTCTCTGTCCATCATCCTAAGATATATCATGTTTTCTCTCTATCCATCATCCTAAGATATTTCATGTTTTCTCTCTGTCCATCAACCTAAGATATTTCATGCTTTCTCTCTGTCCATCATGTAAGATATTTTGTTTCCTCTGTGTCCATCATGTAAGATATTTTGTTTCCTCTGTATCCATCATCCTAAGATATTTCATGTTTTCTCTCTGTCCATCATCCTAAGATATTTCATATTTTCTCTCTGTCCATCATCCTAAGATATTTCATGTTTTCTGAGTCCTGCATGGATTGGACTGAGGGTTATGAAACAGTGACAAAAATCACGGAAGAGAATGGACTGGTGGACTTGTGATAGGAGACATCTGATAGCGTGACGATTTAGAATTCTAGTGTGTCTTAGCGATATTGTAGCGACCGATAGCTTGTGATAATGCCGTGTTTAGTTATAGCAGTCCTGTGTTGTATCACGTTTAACGGAGAAAGTGTTCTATGTAATGTGTTACATAAGTAGTTGTTGAGGTATTCTGCTAGCCAGGGTTGGTTTGGACTGGCTCTTGTGATATTATCTATCCTTGCACATTGTCCCCCACGCTTTGTAGTCACTGCAGGATCCTAGTGGAGTTCAGTGGCAAAGTACAAGAGCCTATCAGAAGCTGTGTGGGTTTGGAGCATGTCGGATAAGGGGGCCCTCATTTGTTGACGTCCACTACCTCATGTTAGCCTGTACTTCACGTCAAAGGTTTTTGTGTGTGTGCTCTATAGGTGTTTGGCTAAGTGTGTTTTTGGATAGATTGTCTGTCACGGGCCTGTACAGCGAGCCATGTACCATCACAGTAGCTCTTTGTCACAGATATTTAACTTTTTCTCTGTGTCCATCATGTCAGATATTGCATATTGAGATATTGTTTATGTCTGTCTGCAGGACCATGTGCTGATACAACTCACACAGACTGGACTAAAGCCTCGCTCTGGACAAGAAGATGACATGCACAAAGAAGCTGACCCAATTCTTGTTGTACATCCAAATTACATCATTGACAGTTAGTTTGTTTCTGGCTTCACCAGATTAAAGAAGGTGCTGCTATTTTGACCCTTGCCAAGGATGCTGCTAGTTTGACCCTTGCCAAGGAAGATGCTGCTAGTTTGACCCTTGCCATTTGCCCCCCTTAACCCAACTGACATTTGTCTGCAGATTGTTCATGAAACTCTATACCTAAGAATAGTGCAGCTGACTTTTCTTTAAAGTGATTTCTGTAAGGATTATTATTCAGCCAAATACAGATAAATTTGATAACACAGTTGTTTTTGCTGGTGAATTAATAATTTGTTGGCGACTATCAAGTACTGTATGTGGAGCTCTCCTTGGTATGAGAACTATGCTGATATATCAGTAATCTTGTTAGTCTGTTGTGTATGGAGCTCTCCTTGGTATGATAACTATGCTGATATATCAGTAATCTTGTTAGTCTGTTGTGTATGGAGCTCTCCTTGGTATGAGAACTATGCTGATATATCAGTAATCTTGTTAGTCTGTTGTGTATGGATGAATGAGTCAACAAACAAATCACAACACTTGGGATATTTCCATTTTTCCTGTTGCTATTGATGATGATGATGATGATGTGGGTAAACACATTTTGGGTGCAGTTTATTTGTTACATTCTATCATTAATGATGATACGAAGAGGTCAGCTGTTCTTCCAACACCCCCACCCCTTCCTTGGTATAAAAACGTAAAAGTATAAACTTCTTTAACATGTATTCCAAGGGACCCACACACACACACAAAATCAATAATTTTTTTAAAGAAAAATTTGGCGCTACAAATTCATCTTTGGTGGGGCCAATATTTTTTTCATGTTAACTGAATCTATTTGATTTTATTGGTGTGACCAGATTTTTTCCTTCAAATAATAAAACTGCATTTAACAAGAGAAACAGCATGTCAGTTTTATGTGTGTGTGTACATATGGGCTGTTTCAAGTGGACTGTTTCCATAGAGCAGGACTGTTCAACTGAAGAAGCCAAGCAAGTGGCCCGTGAATCACTGCCAGTTTATGTATGAATGAACTTTCAAAGGTCAGGCCCTGGCCTGTGACTATCCCCATTTCAAAATTTTGGCTCCTGAGTACATTTAGTTGAATAGCCCTGCCTTAGAGCAAGTTATTGAAAGAGATCAGAGAGAATCAATGGAATTTGTGATGTCAAACATTCTATTTTTTGACAGTTCCTAGAACTTCGTACAGTCGAGTCTGGATAAGTAGAAATCATAGGGACCTAAGAAAATGCTTCCACTTATCAGGATTTCTACTTATCCAGACAGCACACGCAATAGAGAAAATTGCCGGGACTAAGCTGGTCATGTCGACTTAACCGAAATTCGACCTATCCGAGTTCAACTTAAGTGGATTTGAATGTAGTAACACTAGCTGTCAGGGAAACATTCACAGTGCTTAGAAATATCCACACGCCTCCGGTTTTTTAAAACATTTCAAGATAAACAGGCTGGACACTATATTTGGTGAGAGACTCATCATTCTTCATGTGATGTTAGGCGGGATATAGGCCCCTCATTCCTCTACTCAGCTCTAGATGCATGCAACTCTCGAATTCTGATATTTTAGCCCAGCATATTTTGATAACGTTATTCTCAACGTTTTCCTTGGATAGCCTCTTTTTTCTCCGTTTGTTTCCCATTTTAGTGTTTGTTTTGTCATTCTTTGCTCATTTCGTCTCAGAGTGGGCCTAATATATTTCCGTCTTATTGGGCTAGACGCTCGCCGCAGATCAGAAAGGCGTGGGCGCGGAGTCTTAGGATGATGGATACAGAGGAAACAAAATATCTTACATGATGGACAGAGAGAAAACATGAAATATCTTAGATGATGGACACAGAGGAAACAAGATAAAAAAAAAAACCAATCAGAAAACAATTCTACCCCCCACCAAAACAACCAAAGTTTTCCCTTACTAAAGCTACGGAATATAGTTTTACCCTACCCCAGAAAAGTTTTACACCGTACAAAAAGCCAGAAAAGTTTTACACCGTACAAAAGACAGCCAGAAAAGTTTTACACCGCACAAAAGACAGCCAGAAAAGTTTTACACCGCACAAAAGGCAGCCAGAAAAGTTTTGCAGCACATAAAAAGCAGCCAGAGAAGTTTGTCCCCTAACCAAAGCTACCAGAAATGTTTTAACATCCAATACAACAGGGAAAACAAACTTTACTCCTACCAAAACAACTGATCAACTCACAGGAGCTGGGGAAAATGGTTTTTACTCCACCAAAGCAACTGTTAAAACACCCCAGCAACTAAACTAGTTTCAAGCATTACAAACCACACAATTCAGTTAGTATTTATTAGCATTTATTCATTTGCTAACACCAGTTTACATGGTTGCCCAATTGACAGTTTCTGAGGGAATCACAAATGCACTGTAAACAATTATCTCCTGTCAGTTTTGCCGGCACCTCGCTTGCCAGAGAACAGATGTTTGGGTTTCATGTTCAGAATGACCCTGTCACCTTCACCTTTCTTGGCTTGCTGGTTACGAGGTCTCTGGGCTTTCTTGGCAATCTTCTTCACCTTGGCAATCATCTGAGGACACAATCATCATTTGTCTTATTGGTGGGCTGCTCTGAATACCAATTACTCGGTGAATTTACATACACACAAATAAAGCAGGATTAGATCTAGGCTATGGTTCTTTTCTATCTTTTATATCATGTTTTTCAGGGGGGGGGGGGGGGAGAAGATGTTTTAGTTTCCATGCTACCTCGGATTTACCTTTTCTGAAAGTCAGTTTCTCTCTTATTAATACACATACATATAACCGATGTCAGCTGATTTCCTTCAGCAATGTCATTTCTGTAGCCTGACTTGAATACAGTTGAGATCCTCCAGCTGTGCAAAACTGAACTACCGATCGTACATATTTAACGACACTTGCCAAAACACGAGGCTTTTTGTTCCATATTTGATTCTCTGGTCCCCTGTGTGGGTTCCGGGGCCCCTTATGGGGAAAACAAGAACAGACCCACTGCCTCCCAAACGCGTGTTGTAGGAGTCAACTAATGTGGATTTCCTTCCAAGTCAGAGTACATCTGCCCAAGCGGCACGGAACAACTAAACGCATACAAATAAGCCAGTAAAAAGGATCTGCAGGCACAACCAGGCTCCGAATAAACAAACAGCCAGGACTTTCCTCCACAGCTTATAGCCCGTGAACAGAAGATTCCCTGGTTACTTACGGCAGGCAAACTTTAAGGACCCTCGTCCTTTTCACAAGCTTCAGGGTGTTTCGTGCCGGGTCTAGCTGTTATTCTAGTTTTTCAAGTTTTAAATGGCTCTGTGAGCCCTGAGTCTTGTGGCTGCTTCTTTAATTTAAGATAAATTGTACTCTACTCTCTGGAGCTATGAAGCTATCATAGGTGCTCTTACATTTCCTATTTCTACCTCATCAAAGAGTACTTACTTTAGCAGGTGCTTAACATGGAAACAAGACAAAACACACATGATAATAACTAGTGGGTGCTCAACATGGAAACAGGACAACAGACACATGATACTAACTAGCAGGTCCTCAACATGGAAACAGGACAAAACACACATGATAATAACAAGTGGTGTGGAAACAGGACAAAACAACATGATAATAACTAGTGGGTGCTCAACATGGAACAGGACAGAACACACTATAATAACTAGTGGGTGCTCAACATGGAAACAGGACAAAATTAACATAGAAACAAGACAACAGACACATGATACTAACTAGCAGGTCCTCAACATGGAAACAAGACAAAACACACATGATAATAACAAGTGGGTGCTCAACATGGAAACAGGACAAAACACACATGGAAAACAGGACAAAACACACATGATAATAACAAGTGGGTGCTCAACATGGAAACAGGACAAAACACACATGATAATAACTAGTGGGTGCTCAACATGGAAACAGGACAGAACACACATGATAATAACTAGTGGGTGCTCAACATGGAAACAGGACAAAATTAACATAGAAACAAGACAACAGACACATGATACTAACTAGCAGGTCCTCAACATGGAAACAAGACAAAACACACATGATAATAACAAGTGGGTGCTCAACATCAACACATGAAAATAACTAGTGGGTGCTCAACATGGAAACAGGACAAAACACACATGATACTAACTAGCAGGTCCTCAACATGGAAACAGGACAAAACACACATGATACTAACTAGCAGGTCCTCAACATGGAAACAGGACAAAACACACATGATAATAACAAGTGGGTGCTCAACATGGAAACAGGACAAAACACACATGATAATAACTAGTGGGTGCTCAACATGGAAACAGGACAAAATTAACATAGAAACAAGACAACAGACACATGATAATAACTAGTGGGTGCTCAACATGGAAACAGGACAAAACACACATGATAATAACTAGTGGGTGCTCAACATGGAAACAGGACAAAACACACATGATAATAACCAATGTCATTTCTGTAGCCTGACTTGAAAACAGTTGAGATCCTCCAGCTGTGCAAAACTGAACCACCGATCGTACATATTTAACGACACTTGCCAAAACATGAGGCTTCTGTTCCATATTTGATTCTCTGGTCCCCTGTGTGGATTCCGGGGCCCCTTATGGGGAAAACAAGAACAGACCCACTGCCTCCCAAACGCGTGTTGTAGGAGTCAACTAATGTGGATTTCCTTCCAAGTGAGAGTACATCTGCCCAAGCGGCACAGAACAACTAAACGCATACAAATAAGCCAGTAAAAGGATCTGCAGGCAAAACTCAGGCTCCGAATGGACAAACAGCCAGGACTTTCCTCCACAGCTTATAGCCCGTGAACAGAAGATTCCCTGGTTACTTACGGCAGGCAAACTTCAAGGACCCTCGTCCCTTTTCACAAACTTAAGGGTGTTTCGTGCCGGGTCTAGCTGTTGTTCTAGTTTTTCAAGTTTTAAATGGCTCTGTGAGCCCTGAGTCTTGTGGCTGCTTCTTTAATTTAAGATAAATTGTACTCTACTCTCTGGAGCTATGAAGCTATCATAGGTGCTCTTACATTTCTACCTCATCAAAGAGTACTTACTTTAGCAGGTGCTCAACATGGAAACAAGACAAAACACACATGATAATAACTAGTGAGTGCTCAACATGGAAACAGGACAAAATTAACATAGAAACAAGACAACAGTCACATGATACTAACTAGCAGGTCCTCAACATGGAAACAAGACAACAGACAAGTGAAACCTACCTTATTATCTCGGAGGCCAGATCTGTCCCTGGGAGGCCTTGACCTACTTCTGGATGCTGGAGCTTCAGATTCATCCCTCTTACGCTTAAGTGGAGGTCGGCTGGAAGACCTGCTCTTGGCTCTCATGTAGTGGCTCTGTAAACAAGAAGTGAAATCTCAGTCATTACCAATCATTTGACATGCACATGAGAAATATGCAGGGAAAACATGCAAAATCATACCCGTCTGAATGAGGAAACAGACTGTCAATCAAAATGCCAGAAGCTCTTGAAGCTCAGGTCGGAGAGAGAACTGTCAAACAAAACTGCGGTGCCTTCGCCTTGACGACAAGCAGTTTGACTGGAGGTTATGGCAGCAACTGAAGCAACAACTTGGCTAGAAACACAGACTTTCACCTGGGCTTTCTCAGCGATTCAATGAATATGTTCAGGAAAATCAAGAAGGGTAGCATACGAAGACAATGGATGAAGTCCCTTAATAGATCTAGACTGAAAAAAAATCATTTTTATCCAGAGCATTCTGGTATAAAGGGCAATAAACGAGCTGATAGACTTGCAAGTGATGCCTCGAAACGGACAAGCAGTGGAGAGGGCTGATATACTGAATGTCCTCAGAGAGGCAGCTCAATTAAACGATGATTGTGAACCTGCAACACTGATGAGACTACACAAACATAACACCAAAAGGGGTGAAACCAGACAAGAACGGTACAAAGAATAGTAAACCGACACAGAAGTAGTGTCATAAGCCACTACACAGAGAAATTTGAATAACAGACCAATATCATGGACCATGGGCAGTAACCCATAATTGCTCTGTTCTTCTTTTAACTCAAGTCTGAGTCCGAACAATCTCAGCACAGTGCACAGGCTCTGTAGCACCGGCGAGGATCCTGAAATACTTTGGGTAGATTTGTAACTCCAAATTTTGCCCAGGCAACCCTTACCAAGGATTGAACAAGGGGCCTACAGCACTCAAGGCAGACATCATGCTTCAAGACCACGCAGCCTATACACACTGGGGGAGATATTGAAGAGGGGATCTGATCACTTAGGGACTGAATGGTTCGATGTGTGATGAAGATAATCTGCCCACTAACTATAGCACAGACATTTTAAAGCATGAATGTTGCCTGACAGATGAAACGCAGAAAAACCTAGAACATACCTCAGCATCTCTCGGCACCTGTACGCCCAAATCTGACATCTCGGTCTCTAGCTGGGCCTGGCTGCGGGAGCGCTTGGTTGGCCTGGGCATCCTAGACTTCTCCACCCGCCTCTTCTCCCTTGACTCCAAAGTAATGATGTGTCGCTTCTCTCTAATCCTGCAAACATACGAACAGGCACCTAGTGTTACTGACAGTCACTAGCATATAAAAGATTTTTATCTCACTTATAGCAATTAGTGAAAACATATACTGTCTCTCACCAACACTGACTCCTGCAAACAAGCAGACAGGACATCACAAAGCAGAATAGTTATCACAAAAGCAAGCAAACAGCCTTCACATATGCTCGATTAACATTTCTCAACATATTCTGTTAACAACTATTCTATATTCTTATTAACAACTTAAGTTGTTATACTAGACCAAGTCCATACTTACACTTCATCAGCAGTAAATCTGATGACTGCCCTGGACATCTGAGAGCCTAACATTGTGTAGCCATGTCTAAGGTAACCACAAGCACAATCAAACCTAGCAGTCTCCTGGAATGTATGGACACAAGTCTGACAAACTTAGAATGCTGTCTCACAGAACAGATAAATGTCAAACCTAGAATGCTGTTTTACAGAACAGATGAACAAATGTCAAACCTAGAATGCTGTCTCACAGAACAGATGAACAAATGTCAAACCTAAAAATGCTGTCTCACAGAACAGATGAACAAATGTCAAACCTAAAATGCTGTCTCACAGAACAGATGAACAAATGTCAAATCTGGAATGCTGTCTCACAGAACAGTTAAACAAATGTCAAACCTAGAATGCTGTCTCTTATGCAGCTGTTGAACAAATCTTATGAACTTACTTTCTGGCAGTTTTTCTCATCTCTTGCGTTTCTTCATCCTCTTCACTGTCACTCAAGTTGTAGAAAAGTGCTGCATCCCTTGCTTCTTCTTCTTTCTCTAACTCTTCCAATTTCTGATAGGGAGAAAATGTCAAGCTATTAGGTGAAAAGACATTGAACAGTGTGAGGTGTAATATCAAACCACCAACAGACATCTATACAGTGTGGGAACATAAAATTTGAAAAAAAAAAAAAAAAAAACGTTAGGATAGCAGTGCTGGTGCCATCAGACATGTCACAGACAGACATGAAACCAATAATAGCCCTGCGGTTGTCATCAGACATGTCACAGACAGACATGAAACAAATAATAGCATTGCGCATTAGTCTCACAGAAATGAAACAAATGTTAGCATTGTGGTTGCCATTAGACATGTCACAGACAAAACAAATGATAACACTGTGGTTGCCATCAGACATGTCACAGACAGACATGAAACAAATGATAGCACTGTGGTTGCCATTAGACATGTCACAGACACGAAACAAATGATAGCACAGTGGTTGCCATTAGACATGTCACAGAAACAAAACAAATGATAGCACCGTGGTTGCCATTTGACATGTCACAGACACGAAACAAATGATAGCACTGTGGTTACCATTAGACATGTCACAGACACGAAACAAATGATAGCACTGTGGTTGCCATTAGACGTGTCACAGACACGAAACAAATGATAGCACCGTGGTTGCCATTAGACATGTCACAGACAGACCTGACACAAATTTTAGCATTGCGCATTAGACATGTCACAGACATGAAACAAATGATAGCACCGTCATTGCCATCAGACATGTAACAGACATGAAACAAACGATAGCACCGTGGTTGCCATCAAACATGTCACAGAAAAACACAAACGAGAAATTACCTGCATGATTTCAGGATCAATGAAGTCTGCTACATTTTTACCCTGCCAGATTTCAGGAATCACATCATATTTCTCATCCTCATTGGCAAGCAGCCAGGTTTCTGATTGCCAGAGAAATAGAAAAATAGCACAAAATATAGCATCAGATCTGCAAGTACTGAAGAGGGGAGTGGAAAACAGCACCGAAATATAGTATCAGATCTGCAAGTACTGAAGAGGGGAATGGAAAACAGCACCGAAATATAGTATCAGATCTGCAAGTACTGAAGAGGGGAGTGGAAAACAGCACCGAAATATAGTATCAGATCTGCAAGTACAAAAGAGGGCAGTGGTAAATAGCACCTAAATATAGTATCAGATCTGCTACACTGAAGAAGGGAGTGGACGTAAACAAACAATTAGACAACTGTCTTCCTAGACTTCTTATACAGACAACTGTCTTCCTGGACTTCTTATACAAACTGTCTTCCTACTTCTTATACAGACAACTGTCTTTCTGGACTTCTCAAGCAGACATTTGTCTTCCTGGACTTCTTATACAAACTGTCTTCCTAGACTTCTTATACAGACAACGGTCTTCTTGGACTTCTTATAAAGACCTTTGTCTTCCTGGACTTCTTATACAGACAACTGTCTTCCTGGACTTCTTATACAGACAACTGTCTTCCTGGACTTCCCAAGCAGACATTTGTTTTCCTGGACTTATACAGACAACTGTCTGGACTTCTCATACAGATAACTGTCTTCCTGGGCTTATACAGACAACTGCATACTTTCACACAAACACACATATTCTCACACACTCTCCCATACTCTCACACAAACATGTAAACACATACTCCCAAACAGAAATATGTAAACACACACACTATCCCATATTCTCACACAAACATGACACAAGTTTGTACTCACTCCTCAAATCCAGAGTGTAATCATCTCCCATTTCTTGCTCAATCTCTTTCTCCTGAAAAAATATTCAAGCACCTATGACAATCACCATTCATGACTATTTTGTAAGTGCTGACTTGAACCAAACATGACTAAATATTATAATTGGTAACTGGAAATATAAAACAAAATCATTAAAGAAAATGAAACAAGAAAACATCACCACACAACAAATGGCTGCCAGAGATCGACATGGCTCAAGTCGGCACAATGAGATTCAATAGCATTCATTGTTAAATTTGTTACCAGAGGTAACCCTTTTAGTCAAGCCTCTAATGTATTCACATTAAACAACATATGCACGTACACGGCTAGGGAATGTTTGCAGTACCGCAATGAAAGGTTACCATGTACTGAAGATTTATAACATATAGGTTAGTTACATGATCATACCCAACACTGCAAATGTCAAAAAGAAATTTAAAAAATAATTATTATTCTTTGTTGTCAGTTGCAGTTCAGTGAGACAACATTTTTGGGACACAGACAAAATAGAAGTAAAAATGACACAAGTGATGGTAGAAAGTCAGGACTGAGTGAAACAAACAATACAAAAGTAATGACAGAAAGCCAAGACAAAGTGAAGCAAACATGACAGAAAGCCAGGATAAAGTGAAGCAAACATGACAGAAAGCCAGGACAAAGTGAAGCAAACACGACACAAGTGATGACAGAAAGCCAGGACAAAGTGAAGCAAACACGACACAAGTGATGACAGAAAGCCAGGACAAAGTGAAGCAAACACGACACAAGTGATGACAGAAAGCCAGGACAAAGTGAAGCAAACACGACACAAGTGATGACAGAAAGCCAGGACAAAGTGAAACAAACACGACACAAGTGATGACAGAAAGCCAGGACAAAGTGAACAAAGTGAAGCAAACACGACACAAGTGATGACAGAAAGCCAGGACAAAGTGAAGCAAACATGACACAAGTGATGACAGAAAGCCAGGATAAAGTGAAGCAAACACGACAAAAGTGATGACAGAAAGCCAGGACAAAGTGAAGCAAACACGACACAAGTGATGACAGAAAGCCAGGACAAAGTGAAGCAAACATGACAGAAAGCCAGGACAAAGTGAAGCAAACATGACAGAAAGCCACGATAAAGTGAAGCAAACATGACAGAAAGCCAGGACAAAGTGAAGCAAACATGACAGAAAGCCAGGATAAAGTGAAGCAAACACGACACAAGTGATGACAGAAAGCCAGGATAAAGTGAAGCAAACACGACACAAGTGATGACAGAAAGCCAGGACAAAGTGAAGCAAACATGACAAAAGTGATGACAGAAAGCCAGGACAAAGTGAAGCAAACATGACAAAAGTGATGACAGAAAGCCAGGACAAAGTGAAACAAACACGACACAAGTGATGACAGAAAGCCAGGACAAAGTGAAGCAAACATGACAAAAGTGATGACAGAAAGCCAGGACAAAGTGAAAGCAAACATGACAGAAAGCCAGGATAAAGTGATGACAGAAAGCCAGGACAAAGTGAAGCAAACATGACACAAGTGATGACAGAAAGCCAGGACAAAGTGAAGCAAACACGACACAAGTGATGACAGAAAGCCAGGACAAAGTGAAGCAAACACGACACAAGTGATGACAGAAAGCCAGGACAAAGTGAAGCAAACACGACACAAGTGATGACAGAAAGCCAGGACAAAGTGAAGCAAACACGACACAAGTGATGACAGAAAGCCAGGACAAAGTGAAGCAAACACGACACAAGTGATGACAGAAAGCCAGGACAAAGTGAAGCAAACACGACACAAGTGATGACAGAAAGCCAGGACAAAGTGAAGCAAACATGACACAAGTGATGACAGAAAGCCAGGATAAAGTGAAGCAAACATGACACAAGTGATGACAGGACAAAAAGCCAGGACAAAGTGAGAAAGCAGGAACATGCAAACACAAGTGATGACAGAAAGCCAAGATAAAGTGAAGCAAACACGACACAAGTGATGACAGAAAGCCAGGATAAAGTGAAGCAAACATGACACAAGTGATGACAGAAAGCCAGGATAAAGTGAGGCAAACATGACACAAGTGATGACAGAAAGCCAGGATAAAGTGAAGCAAACACGACACAAGTGATGACAGAAAGCCAGGATAAAGTGAGGCAAACATGACACAAGTGATGACAGAAAGCCAGGATAAAGTGAAGCAAACATGACAGAAAGCCAGGATAAAGTGAAGCAAACATGACAGAAAGCCAGGATAAAGTGAAGCAAACATGACAGAAAGCCAGGATAAAGTGAGGCAAACATGACACAAGTGATGACAGAAAGCCAGGATAAAGTGAGGCAAACACGACACAAGTGATGACAGAAAGCCAGGATAAAGTGAGGCAAACACGACACAAGTGATGACAGAAAGCCAGGATAAAGTGAAGCAAACATGACACAAGTGATGACAGAAAGCCAGGATAAAGTGAAGCAAACATGACACAAGTGATGACAGAAAGCCAGGATAAAGTGAGGCAAACATGACACAAGTGATGACAGAAAGCCAAGATAAAGTGAAACAAACAACACAAGTGATGACAGAAAGCCAGGACAAAGTGAAACAAACATGACACATGTGATGACAGAAAGCCAGGACAAAGTGAAACAAACATGACAAAAGTGATGGCAGAAAGCCAGGACAAAGTGAAGCAAACACGACACAAGTGATGACAGAAAGCCAAGATAAAGTGAAGCAAACGTGACAAGTGATGACAGAAAGCCAGGACAAAGTGAAGCAAACACGACAAAAGTGATGACAGAAATCCAGGACAAAGTGAAGCAAACACGACACAAGTGATGACAGAAAACCAAGATAAAGTAAAGCAAACTCGACACAGGTGATGACAGAAAGTCAGGACAAAGACTGACCAGTTTGCGTGCAGGTTTATCCACTTCCATGGAACTTTTTTTCCTCAAAACTGCTTCTGGAATACATGGAGGCCGCTCCTGTGGACACAACATACATCAAATAAAAGTTCTACACTACAAAATATACGACAACAGAAACGTTCACTACTTCAAAACATCCAACATGTTCTATACTGCACAATATGCATGAACAGAATTGTTCTATACTGCAACAAAAAAAACAATATATATATATATTTTTGTTTTTATATATACAGACACAGACTAATATTATCAACAAAGTGACAGTAGACTGTGAGCAGTTGTTCGACAGATTTTCATCAGTTTTGACGTTAGATGTATTCAACCAATCCTTAGACAGGTTAACTAATCAAACCCATACTCAAGTGGGACAACGATAATATTTGATCATCTAATTCAATCCACACCCAGGTGAGACAATGTTTACACAAAGCCAACCTACACCCAGGCGGGACAACTGTGACAGTCAGTCAATTGATTTAACCGACATCCAAGTGGGTCAACAGTGAGCACTCATTAAAGTGATCCAGTCCCATCCCCAGATGGGACAACAGAAACAGTCTATCAACTAATCCCACACTCAGGTGGGACAACAGTATCAGTCATTAAAATTTAGACTGTGGCAGTTTCATTGACCGTTATTAAACAGTGCAGTAACAGTGGTGCAGATATCAATAAGTGTGAACTATCTAATGTTTCTTAAGAAAGTTTTGTTGTTGTTTAGATGCACTAGCAGTCTATAGAAGGTATTACAGATCAAGTTGTCAGTCACAACAAGAAACAACAGAGTGGATCAACAACAAGTACATCTGGCCAAGAATCAAAGCAACTGCTAATTAATTACCACCGATTGTGTTAACCATTAATTAATTACCACCAATTGTGTTAACTATTAATTAATTATCACTGATTGTGTTAACCATTAATTGACTACCACTGATTGTGTTAACCATTAATTAATTACCAACAATTGTGTTAACAATTAATTATCAATGATTGTGTTAACCATTAATTAATTACAGCTGATTGTGTTAACCATTAATTAATTGCCGCTGATTGTGTTAACCATTAATTAATTGCAGCTGATTGTGTTAACCATTAATTAATTGCAGCTGATTGTGTTAACCATTAATTAATTGCCGCTGATTGTGTTAACCATTAATTAATTACCGCTGATTGAGTTAACCATTAATTAATTACCGCTGATTGTGTTAACCATTAATTAATTACCGCTGATTGTGTTAACAATTAATTAATTACCGCTGATTGAGTTAACCATTAATTAATTACCGCTGATTGAGTTAACCATTAATTAATTACCGCTGATTGTGTTAGCCATTAATAAATTACCACTGATTGTGTTAACCATTAATTATCACTGATAGTGTTAACCATCAATTATTATCACTGATTGTGTTACCATTACTTAATTCTCATCAATTAGTTTATCTGAATCATTACATTCATTCTATAATATATTATTGGCAACATCTCAGGTATGAAACAACACCCCCACACATCAGCAAGCGACTCCAGAAACACACAGGACCTGTACCTTGTCGTCACGTTTTTTAGGCATGGCAACATGCAATCGGTTGACTACGGTGGACATCTTATTGGACTTCATCTTCTGTTCTACTCTGAAAGCCAGGAGCTTTTCACACGCCTGAAACAGAGAGTGGTTTTCAGATTTTCGCTGCAAACAGTACCACACACACACTGGCTTACTCACACATGACTATATTGGTCAAATAAAGACAATAATTTATTTCGAAAATGAGGTGCATGAGAATAAAACTAATAACATCTCAACGAAAACCGCAACATATAGCTGTGGAGTTTAATGTGGCACATACCACCTCACTGATCATGTGATCTATGGCACATACCACCTCATTGATCATGTGATCTAGGGACCATAAAACCTCACTGATCATGTGATCTATGGCACATACCACCTCCCTGATCATGTGATCTAGGGACCATACCACCTCCCTGATCATGTGATCTATGGCACATACCACCTCATTGATCATGTAATCTATGGCACATACCACCTCTTTGATCATGTGATCTAGGGACCATACCACCTCCCTGATCATGCGATCTATGGCACATACCACCTTACTGATCATGTGATCAATGGCACATACCACCTTCCTGATCATGTGATCTATGGCACATACCACCTTACTGATCATGTGATCTATGGCACATACCACCTCCCTGATCATGTGATCTATGTCACATACCACCTCACTGATCATGTGATCTATGGCACATACCACCTCACTGATCATGTGATAGATGGCACATACCACCTCACTGATCGTGATCTATGGACCAATTTTATTATGGTATATTTATGTGTCTACGTAAATGTGTTCCACAAAAAGACTAGTATGAGCATCCACCAACCTCAGTCTTCACAGCCATCACCCCGTCCTCCGTCAGCGTGCTCATTTCCAGCACAGGCTCCCCTTCCTCCTGCAGCTCAGTGATCACTTTCTGGGGAGGGAGAAAACATTTATGTCAATATGATCAGCATCACTGTAAACAAACTGTCACTCTAACATCACTGACTGCACACCCGGCAGGTTAACAATTAAATTCAAACTAATGTTAACATTACTACAATCAAACCACCATGTTAACATCACCCATTACTATCATGTTAACATAACCTAACTACAATCCAACCCTCGACTCGTGGCCACAGCTACATCAAGCACTGTTACCCTTTTCTCGGGGGAAAGCTCCTCTGGCTTAATGACGTCCACCTTGTTGAGGACTATCAGGATGGGTCTGTTGCTGAAAGATGGTTTGATGTTTCTGTAGAGGGCCAGCTGCGAATTGAAAAAAAAAAAGGTGACGGTTATATGTACACATACTCTTTTATTACAAGCTGTCTTTTGAAGTGAATCAGAAAAATATAGAGGGCCGGGACAGAAAAGTGGCTGACACAGGTAAAAATGTTGGTAGATGAATCAGAAAGCTGGTACAGAACATGACATGACAGAAAAGTGGCTGACACAGGTAAAAATGTTGGTAGATGAATCAGAAAGCTGGTACAGAACATGACAGGACAGAAAAGTGGCTGACACAGGTACAAATGTTGGTAGATGAATCAGAAATCTGGTACAGAACATGACAGGACAGAAAAGTGGCTGACACAGGTAAAAATGTTGGCAAATGAACCTGAAAACAGAAGGCCGGAAAAGAACATGACGGGACAGAAAAGTGGCTGACACAGGTAAACATGTTGGCAAATGAATCTAAAAACAGAAGGCCATAAAAGAACATGACAGGACAGAAAAGTGGCTGACACAGGCAAAAAATAGTGGTAGATGAATCAGAAAGCTGGTACAGAACATGACAGGACAGAAAAGCGGCTGACATGTAAAACTGTTGGTAGATGCATCAAGAAACATGCAACAGTAGTCATAAGAATACTACAGCAAGCTACAGATGCATCAGCAAATACAGTGTGTGTCAGCGTTAACAAATGCAGCACCATACTCTTTACCCTTTGCCAAAAAACAAAAAGCAGCCATTGTTAAAATAAATGGATAACCCTAACAGATGATCAAGAGTCCATGTACTTCAGAGACACATTTGATAACATGTTGACAAGGAGAAAACATAACAAGGCAGCAACCAAAGCCAGGAGGACTACAGCCATACTAAGAAAACTAAGTGTAACCACATGGGCAGCCAGTGAGAAAATACTCCACAAAGTATACAAATAGAGCATAGGTACAACACACTTAGACACTGCACATGTCTTTCATGTCGGGTAAGGTTTAAATAAACTAATGTATGGAGGATACTCATATTTATCTATGTTTAATTCTTGGAGCATGATGATATCAACGTCATAAATCAGCCTCTCCAGTACAGGTCCTCTCTGCTTGGCACTACAACTCTAGTAACCCACTCTCCAATATCCCCAAGCGCTCCATTTATATCTGATTCTTTAGGCTCCCGCTCTCCTATTTCTATGCCTTCTTTTCTCTCTATTCCCTCATGTTCTTATCTTCTGACTCTCTCTGTTGCCACCTGAAGATGGTATCAAGTAAAGTATGCATTCCAAAGTTATAGGATGACATTCTTTTTTTAAATAAAGCACAAAATCTAAATGGAAATATTCTTTCAATGAACGAAGTAAACAGGCACCTTAGTATTGCCTGCCTGCAAGGAAAGAAGCATGGGATGTCCTATACACCTGACGCCGCCCCACCTGCTAACCAGATGTTCCATGTTTACCACTATATATATCCCACTGACTGGTAGAAAGGCAGACCAAGAGAAATATCATCAGCGGAATCGAGCCAGAACACTAAAAACTAAGACCCGTGGAGATATGAATATCAATGATAGCCGGCAAGGCACTTGATGATGATGAACTTGTTTACCAAACCCATCAACTTCTCCAGCAGTATTTGGCAGTAGAATGTTTTGCATCATTTGTTTGAACTAGTAAATGGTTTGTTTAAATGACAAAAACACAAAGAATACACAATCTTCTGACCTTGAGAAAATCAGGGTAACTAGCGCAGCCATTTCTGAAGCGGACATCTTAAAACTTAACGTGCTGAGAAATGTGGAAACTGGAATGCTCTATGAAAAGTGGCAAGCATTGCTTCAGAAGTTATGGGTAGTTAGAAAGGGACAGAATGCTTATGGGAATGTCCCGTGTGCTGGGATGTCAATTCTTAATTAAATTATCAAACATTAGAAAACTAGGCTGGGTTAGAACACGACTGAACAGACTGGGATCAAGGGTGAAGTCAAGATAAAAATCACCGTGACAAAACACACAAAGAAGAAAGCAGCTGGAAGTGCAAGTATTCTGACCTGCTCCTCCAAGGAATGACCACACTGCTCTGAGATGTCCATGATGTACAAGACTACAGCCCGGATGTGGATCAGTGCAGCCACTGCCTGCATCTCGATTGTGTTCCTCTCCTCGATGGGGTGGTCTAAGATACCAGGTGTATCAATCACCTGCAAACAGTCAGATCCAGCTAACAACATCTGCTGCAATATAAACTGACTTTCTATCTTTTGTACTCCAATATTGTCACTGAGGATGTTAAGATAGTCTAGCAGATTACCCCCACATCACTGATAGTCTAGCAGATTACCCCCACATCACCCCCCCCCCACTACTGACCAGTCTAGTAAATTACACAGCACATCATTGTCTAGTCTAGTAAATTACACCTTACATCACTGTCTGGTCTAGCAGATTACCCCCACATCACTGTCTTGTCTAGCAGATTACCCCCACATCACTGTCTGGTCTAGCACATTACCCCCACATCACTGTCTTGTCTAGCAGATTACCCCCACATCACTGTCTGGTCTAGCACATTACCCCACACATCACTGTCTGGTCTAGCACATTACCCCCACATCACTGTCTGGTCTAGCACATTACCCCACATCACTGTCTAGTCTAGCACATTACCCCACACATCACTGTCTAGTCTAGCACATTACCCCACACATCACTGTCTGGTCTAGCAGATTACCCCCACATCACTGTCTGGTCTAGCAGATTACATCAACAATGTAATTTTAGATGGAACCTATAGATATGTCTAGAGCACAACAGTGATAAACTACAGTGATCTGAACATGTCTGTGCAAGGGAACCAGGCAGCTCAGAACATTTTATGCATGACTGCCACAGAGATATAGACAGCAATTAAAACATCCTATGATCGTTACTTAAATGAAATAATCCCCAAAACAACTGGTTTAGTTAAAACTACAGCAAAGGTCAGTTCTAAAAAAAAAAAAAAATACAGTAAAATATATATATTTTCTTTGACTTATGCAATCACAACACAAATTCTGCTGATGAGACAACAAAATGGAAGTTGGTCACAGGCAGACATGACTATGTTCATTAGTGACATGCAGACATCATGTAAGTTTGTTTGTGACAGGCAGTCATGACAAAACAGTTTCTTAGTAAATACAGATGCAACCAAACAACAACAAAACCAACCTGCCAGCGGAGGTACTTGTAATCCGTGTGACCCACATATAGAGATTTTGTAGTGAATGCATATGGCTGAACTTCGACGTCAGCACGGGAAATCTAAATAAAATCAAATGTTTAGTCATTAGTGACTCATTTACCATTATGTTATCACTTCTCCCACTCTCAAGTGATTTCCCTGTCACTCAAACACAGTTCTCTCCCTGCCTCACTCAAAAACAGAGGCTCTCCGTAGACACAAATCTCCCTCTCGCAACACAGGTATTCTCTCCCTGCCTCCTCTCCAAATATCACTCAAACACAGAGGTATTCTCACCTGCCTCACTCAAACACAGAGGTATTCTCTCCCTGCCTCACTCAAACACAGAGGTATTCTCTCCCTGCCTCACTCAAACATTGAGGTATTCTCTCCCTGCCTCACTCAAACAGAGGTATTCTCTCCCTGCCTCACTCAAACACAGAGGTATTCTCTCCCTGCCTCACTCAAACACAGAGGTATTCTCTCCCTGCCTCACTCAAACACAGAGGTATTCTCTCCCTGCCTCACACAAGCTTCTCTACCTACCTCACATGCATCACTCCAACACAAGTGTTCTCTCCCTATCTCACTCAAAACACACAAGTGTTCTCTCCCTACCTCACTCAAAACACACAAGTGTTCTCTCCCTACCTCACTCAAAACACACAAGTGTTCTCTCCCTACCTCACTCAAAACACACAAGTGTTCTCTCCCTACCTCACTCAAAACCCACAAGTGTTCTCTCCCTACCTCACTCAAAACACACAAGTGTTCTCTCCCTACCTCACTCAAAAACACACAAGTGTTCTCTCCCTACCTCACTCAAAACCCACAAGTGTTCTCTCCCTACCTCACTCAAACCTCACTCAAAAACACACAAGTGTTCTCTCCCTACCTCACTCAAAACCCACAAGTGTTCTCTCCCTACCTCACTCAAAACCCACAAGTGTTCTCTCCCTACCTCACTCAAAACCCACAAGTGTTCTCTCCCTACCTCACTCAAAACCCACAAGTGTTCTCTCCCTACCTCACTCAAAACCCACAAGTGTTCTCTCCCTACCTCACTCAAAACCCACAAGTGTTCTCTCCCTACCTCACTCAAAACCCACAAGTGTTCTCTCCCTACCTCACTCAAAAACCCACAAGAGTTCTCTCCCTACCTCACTCAAAACCCACAAGTGTTCTCTCCCTACCTCACTCAAAACCCACAAGTGTTCTCTCCCTACCTCACTCAAACCCACAATGTTCTCTCCCTCTCACTCAAAACCCACAAGTGTTCTCTCCCTACCTCACTCAAAACCCACAAGTGTTCTCTCCCTACCTCACTCAAAACCCACAAGTGGCTCACTCAAAACCCTTATTAACTCAAAAACAAGTGTTCTCTCCCTACCTCACTTGCACACAACTCACTTGGGTTCTCTCCCTACCTCACTCAAAACCCACAAGTTCTCAGTTCATCAGCAAAGTGTTCTCTCCCTGGTGTTCTCTCCCTACCTCACTTTGTGATCAACTGGACCTCAACTGACCCACAAGTGTTCTTCCCTACCTCACTCAAAACCCACAAGTGTTCTCTCCCTACCTCACTCAGAACCCACAAGTGTTCTCTCCCTACCTCACTCAAACCCACAAGTGTTCTATCCCTACCTCACTCAAAACACACACAAGTGTTCTCTCCCTACCTCACTCAAAACCCACAAGTGTTCTCTCCCTACCTCACTCAAAACCCACAAGTGTTCTCTCCCTACCTCACTCAAAACACACAAGTGTTCTCTCCCTACCTCACTCAAAACACACAAGTGTTCTCTCCCTACCTCACACAAAACACACAAGTGTTCTCTCCCTACCTCACTCTCACAGTGACAAGACACACAAGTGTTCCCTACCTCACTCAAAAACACAAGTGTTCTCTCCCTACCTCATCAAAACCCACAAGTGTTCTCTCCCTACCTCACTCAAAACACACAAGTGTTCTCTCCCTACCTCACTCAAAACCCACAAGTGTTCTCTCCCTACCTCACTCAAAACCCACAAGTGTTCTCTCCCTACCTCACTCAAAACCCACAAGTGTTCTCTCCCTACCTCACTCAAAACCCACAAGTGTTCTCTCCCTACCTCACTCAAAACCCACAAGTGTTCTCTCCCTACCTCACTCAAAACCCACAAGTGTTCTCTCCCTGCCTCTCACACACAAATGTTACCTCTCTGCCTCACATAAATTATTGCACTGGACTTACCTTATTAATAAAGGAAGACTTGCCAACATTGGGAAAGCCAGTTATCAGTAAAGTCCTGGTGTTTGGATCAATGGAGACTGATTTCTTGAGGACAGTTCACTTTTAGAACGGTCACATCCTGAAGTGACAATACCCTGAAGCAAATTGACAGACATGGTAGAAGTAATATTGAAACAGTTCTCAATTTGAGAATGGACCCATACTGAAGTGACATACAATGTCAATACAGCTCACAATTTGAGAACGGTCACATACTAAAGTGACAGACAATGTCAAGATGGTTCACTATTTGCGACAGGTAAACACCCTGAAGTGACAGACAATAGAGACAGGTGGCTATCTGAGAATGGCGACATCCTAAAGTGACAAATAACACCGGAAGCAGTGCTATCTTTTATGTGTTATATCCCAAACATAAGGCCAGGTCCTGCATAAATTTTCACTCTAAAAGATTCGCTAAGACTTTTTTTTTCAGAAGGATGATTTACTTTGTGCATGCACAAACCTACATTTATTGAAATATAAAGATAGATAGATTTTCAATTACAATTATTTTAAACATCGATGTCAATGTATATGTATACACTAGCTACTTTGTAAGCCAATGGGCAAACAGTGTTTTTCAACTGATGAAAGAAATCCATTTATTTGGCTAACAGTCATAACTTGGGCTTGTATTGCGAACATCCATGAATCTCTGTACACACAATACCATCATGTACAAACAGAACCATTTTCAAGAGACAGGGCAGCCATCTTCTACAGACAGGGCAGCAATATTCTACAGACAGGGCAGCCATCTTCTACAGACAGGGCAGCCATCTTCTACAAACAGGGCAGCCATTTTCTACAGACAGGGCAGCCATCTTCTACAGACAGGGCAGCCAGCAATCTTCTACAAACAGGGCAGCAATATTCTACAGACAGGGCAGCCAGCAATCTTCTACAAACAGGGCAGCAATATTCTACAGACAGAGCAGCAAGCAATCTTCTACAGACAGAGCAGCAAGCAATCTTCTACAGACAGGGCAGCCATCTTCTACAGACAGGGCAGCAATCTTCTACAGACAGGGCAGCAATATTCTACAGACAGAGCAGCCAGCAATCTTCTACAAACAGGGCAGCAATATTCTACAGACAGAGCAGCCAGCAATCTTCTACAAACAGGGCAGCAATCTTCTACAAACAGGGCAGCAATCTTCTACAAACAGGGCAGCAATCTTCTACAGACAGAGCAGCAATATTCTACAGACAGAGCAGCAAGCAATCTTCTACAGACAGAGCAGCAAGCAATCTTCTACAGACAGGGCAGCCATCTTCTACAGACAGGGCAGCAATATTCTACAGACAGAGCAGCCAGCAATCTTCTACAGACAGGGCAGCAATCTTCTACAGACTTCTAGCAGCAGCAGCATCTTCTACAGACAGGGCAGCAATCTTCTACAGACAGGGCAGCAATCTTCTACAGACAGGGCAGCAATCTTCTACAGACAGAGCAGCAATCTTCTACAGACAGAGCAGCAATCTTCTACAGACAGAGCAGCAAGCAATCTTCTACAGACAGAGCAGCAGCAATCTTCTACAGACAGAGCAGCAATCTTCTACAGACAAGGCAGCAATCTTCTACAGACAGGGCAGCAATCTTCTACAGACAGGGCAGCAATCTTCTACAGACAGAACAGCAATCTTCTACAGACAGGACAGCAATCTTCTACAGACAGGACAGCAATCTTCTACAGACTGGGCAGCCATCTTCTACAGACAGGACAGCCATCTTCTACAGACAGGACAGCAATCTTCTACAGACAGAGCAGCAAGCAATCTTTTACAGACAGGACAGCAAGCAATCTTCTACAGACAGGACAGCCATCTTCTACAGACAGGACAGCAAGCAATCTTCTACAGACAGGGCAGCCATCTTCTACAGACAGGACAGCAATCTTCTACAGACAGGACAGCAAGCAATCTTCTACAGACAGGGCAGCAAGCAATCTTCTACAGACAGAGCAGCAAGCAATCTTCTACAGACAGGGCAGCCATCTTCTACAGACAGGGCAGCCATCTTCTACAGACAGCAAGCAATCTTCTACAGACAGGACAGCCATATTCTACAGACAGGGCAGCAATCTTTTACAGACAGGGCAGCAATCTTCTACAGACAGGGCAGCAATCTTATACAGACAGAGCAGCCATATTCTACAGACAGGGCAGCAATCTTCTACAGACAGAGCAGCAATCTTCTACAGACAGAGCAGCAATCTTCTACAGACAGAGCAGCAATCTTCTACAGACAGAGCAGCAATCTTATACAGACAGAGCAGCCATATTCTACAGACAGAGCAGCCATATTCTACAGACAGAGCAGCCATATTCTACAGACAGAGCTGCAAGCAATCTTCTACAGACACCGAATGAGACAAGCTCAAGCTGATGGTAGGAAAACTGCACTTACCTGCCAAGAGCAGCTCTCTTGAGACATTTGCATCTGTATAGGGAGTCTCCATACTTGAGAAGTTTCACGTGGTCTTTGGCGCAACTATGATACAAAAGTAACAAGCTCAGTCATCAGCGGCACAATATACTGTAAGTATAAGTACATCTCATTTTATTTTGGTCAAAGCTCAACTCCAGTAGGGGGAACCGTTTACTGGGCCACCAATGTTGACCAGTGATCAGGTGCTTGAACCTCCCTAGTAGACAGACTGATTCTATTGACCAGGCCAGGCCACCAATGTCAACCTGGAGTTCAGGTGTTTGAACATCTCTAGTAGGTTGACTGTTTACTGGACCACCAATGTTGACCATCAGATGCTCAAACCTACTCAGCAATTCTAGATTACAACAAATGACACTAAGGAGATGTAAATTAAAAAAAAAAAAAAACATGAAAGATGAAAGTGGATTGGACAGGTGCTCAGAATGAACAGAAAGAAGAAAGAGAGACACCCGAGACAGGCAATGTAATATACACAAGGACAGCGAGAGAGGCAGGCCCAGAGGTACACTCAAGGCTGCCCAAGAACAAGACTAGACAGAAAGAATATCTAAGGATCAAATTGAGTAGCGAGTTTGTCTCTGCCTTATGTGCCTCTGGGCATAATGAGGATTAATGGTGTTGACTGGGTATCTAAACTGATCGCCACACGCAGTTTAACAGGAAGCCCCACACACTTCTATATCTATACAGATCAGTGCCACATGAGGAGTCTGTCCATCCTTCTATATCTACACATTTATATCTATAGAGGTTGCCACACATAATGAGGAGTCAGTCCACCCTTCTATATCTATAGAGGTTAGTGGCACAGAGGAGTCAGTCCCCTTTATATATAGAGGTTAGTAACACATGAGGAGTCAGTCCACCCTTCTATATCTATAGAGGTTAGTGGCACATGAGGAGTCAGTCCACCCTTCTATATCTATAGAGGTTAGTAACACATGAGGAGTCAGTCCACCCTTTTATATCTATAGAGGTTAGTAGCACATGAGGAGTCAGTCCACCCTTCTATATCTATAGAGGTTAGTGCCACATGAGGAGTCAGTCCACCCTTTTATATCTATAGAGGTTAGTAGCACACGAGGAGTCAGTCCACAATGTCCTAGACCTTGACTAATAAACTTGATTTGTTCCTGTGGTTCATATCTTGAAACCCAGCATCGGATTACATACTTTTGGGTAATTGGATTAATCTATTCTAAGATTTTTTTTTAAATTTAGCTTACTGTTGTTTAAAGACTAGGATTGTCAGAGTTATAAGCTAAAAGAGATTTAATCTTCATATCACCACTGGCTTTGGCACAAACAAGCAAATTTAGCCTTGTACCCTGGCCTTTCTTGATTATTCATATGCATTTTTTCCACAGAAAAGCCTAGTTTCATCACAGTTGAAAACTTATTCCTGTCTGTAACCCTTGGTCAGCACAAACACATTCTCTGTGTCTAACACTGGATACTGTTGCTATTCTTGATTTCTTAAACCATCCTTTGCTAGCTTTAAACTCTTCGCTACCGACATTAAATAGCAAGTTCTGCAAACAGATCTTTGTAACTACGAGGGGAAGTGAGCCACAAATGGCTGTTTAACCAACAACAACAAAATGTCCTCTCAAACCAACTGTACAGAACCGTGTGACGTTTTCCAAATCACATTTTCACTTCACATTAAACTTCTCTTTCATTTGCAAAATATCCCCGCCAAGGTAGGTTTTCAGTAGACTAAAAAGGTGGAAATCGCTAGGGGCTAAGAAGATGCTGTAAAGTGGATGTTCCAGAAGTTTCCCACACTAGATGGTTAATCTTCTTTTGAGTTAACCGAGCCATATGTGGTCTGGCATTGTCCCGAAGGAACAGTACTCCTCTAGTCTGCAGTCCCGGATGTTTTCTTCGTAGAGCATCATGAAGCATCAAAAGAACTTACAGTATGAATCAACATTCACATTGTCGCCTCTGTTTCAAATTTCTTAGCTGAATGTCATTCATCCAGACAAGTAGAAAAATTTCAATTTTTCCCATAACTTCATTTCTCTGAGATACCCCCTTATAAAAATCCACTTACTTGAGAACTGTTGCTAAGTTGGACTTAAAAATGTTACACCACTTGCATCAAACAGTTTGCCTGACTCTTTTCTTTCTTAACTTCTTTTGCGATTTTCTTCTTCTCTCTCTCTTTTTTTTTTTAGTTTTCATTGGCTTCATGTTGGAAATGATACATGATATCTGAATGATAATGAGAATTATTTGCCCGTAACGACCCCTGCAAGTATGTTAACTACTCGTATGATTACACAAATACCAAAACAGTTATTTTAAATCTAATATGCAGGCGCAGCAAGGCCGTACATACCACTTGCTGCGTTATATTCTAGATAAGTAACAACAACCAGACAGCTCGCCTCTCAAGGTCAAAACTGTAGATTAGTTCATAAATCAAGATATCGCTGTTCAGTCTCTGATCAATTACATGACAAGATACTCATTCAACCAGAACATGTTCCTAGATATAGTCTTTGATCAATGATATGTCAGGCTACTTAATCAACCAAACATGCTCTAGATATAGTCTTTGATCAATGATAGGCTACTCACTCATCAATCAGCTGCCGGGCTTTGTTGATGCCCCCCAGGGCCAGCTTGTAGTGATCTGTGTTATACAGAACATTCATCAAAGTTCCATAGAACGGGTGCAGGTTCTGAAACACAAATAGTCAAGTGGTTACGGTATCAGAGCCGATCAATGATTCCTTCCCTTTAGACAATAACGACAAATGATGATCAACTATAATTGTAAATGACAAATGATCAACCAATCCATGAGTGCTCTAATCTCACCAAAAGCCTCCTTAGTGAAATGTTCATTTCTTGTTACTTCAGACCGCACTCCCAGGTCCATTAGCCCCGACAGAGGTACCCTCTTTTGGGCTTTGCTGTATTTAAATTCACAGTAAGTGCTGCACATGGTGTTGAAAACATGGCTTCTGTACACTATCAAACCAGCCATAGCATCCACGGCGTCTTTGAGATAGTCTGCACGCTCATTGTCTTGAGCTCGCGCATGATTTGGCACTAGGATTATAAAGTTACGCCAGTCATTCATGGCATGGCTAGTTAGACAGTCCCTAAAACAACATGACAAATAGCTGTTGTAACCAATTTTACTGCAGAGAGATTTTTCTTGTCCTTGGTTATATATAATGCATTCTGAACCATATTTTTTTAATAGTAGGCATCTATCAAACGTTACACCTAATATCTGGATTCACCTAGGTTAAGATTCAACATCACAGTATTCAGGACACGCTCTTATTAGCTTCGTCTCCCTCCTCAACAGCCAGCGAAGAGCCTCCATATTGATGGTACATGTTGCCACCTGGTTTACTACTCGTCTTGTCTTGCCTCAGTCTTAAGTGGAGCTCAGAGCCACTCCTCGCTGCATCATTTTTCCAAGTATCTTCTTTTCTATCCCCCAATGGAGCATAGGCCCTCAACCAACTCAAGCCAAGTTGTTCTATCCTTCGCCATTACACAGAGATCTCCCCATCTTTCTAACTTCATTCTCTAGCTCTCTTCTCCATGTGTTTTTTGGCCTTCCTTTATGCCCCTGTGGGTTCCAATGTAAAGACATTCTAGTTATGATGTTCTCCTGTTTTCTCAGTGTGTCCTATCCAATGCCAGCATCTTTTCTTCACCTCTTAGTCCACTGGAGTTTGTTTAGTTCAAACATTCTAGGTGCCAATTCTGGAGGTTTTCCTAGTTAAAAGAAGGTACGTCAACGATCCGGACTCCTTGCGGCATTCTCCACACTGTGTCATCCTTCTTCTACTTGAAGAGCATCCCCTAATCTTGGTTGGCTGGGTTTTACACCCTTCTTTTTTTTTCCATGGTTGGTTGGCTTTTGTGGCTATTGTTTTTACAGGATGAGGAAGCTAACCTCAAGCCCAACCCTACCCTTAGTTGCCTCTTACGACATGCCTGGTAGGGTGCAGTGTCAATATTCTTTGCTTCCCGTGAGGGCTCCGGTGACACACAGGCATTTCTTAGAATAGGTTTTCAATATTTTCTATTTCATCTGTTACCTTGCTTTATCATACACCTAGATACACAAGTCAAACAAGAACTTGTTATATACTGTTCTATCATACACCTAGATACACAAGTCAAACAAGAACTTGTTATATACTGTTCTATCATACACCTAGATACACAAGTCAAACAAGAACTTGTTATATACTGTTCTATCATACACCTAGATACACAAGTCAAACAAGAACTTGTTATATACTGTTCTATCATACACCTAGATACACAAGTCAAACAAGAACTTGTTATATACTGTTCTATCATACACCTAGATACACAAGTCAAACAAGGACCTGCTATATAATGCGCTATCATACACCTAGATACACAAGTCAAACAAGGACCTGCTATATAATGCGCTATCATACACCTAGATACACAAGTCAAACAAGGACCTGCTATATAATGCGCTATCATACACCTAGATACACAAGTCAAACAAGAACTTGCTATATAGTGTTCTATAATACACCTAGATACACAAGTCAAACAAGGACCTGCTATATAGTGCGCTATCATACACCTAGATACACAAGTCAAACAAGGACCTGCTATATAATGCGCTATCATACACCTAGATACACAAGTCAAACAAGAACTTGCTATATAGTGTTCTATAATACACCTAGATACACAAGTCAAACAAGGACCTGCTATATAGTGCGCTATCATACACCTAGATACACAAGTCAAACAAGGACCTGCTATATAATGCGCTATCATACACCTAGATACACAAGTCAAACAAGGACCTGCTATATAATGCGCTATCATACACCTAGATACACAAGTCAAACAAGGACCTGCTATATAATGCGCTATCATACACCTAGATACACAAGTCAAACAAGGACCTGCTATATAATGCGCTATCATACACCTAGGTAAAGAATGTTTAAAGAATGTGGACTTGTTCAAGACTAAGATTACCACCTGTGAAAAATAATAATACAATCACAGCAGCTATGAGCTGTTGATATGATCACACATTCTACTTAAGCAACAATAGGGAACTATAAAATCAATCACATTCTACTTACAGCAACAATGAGGAGCTATAAAAATTATCACATTCTACTTACAGCAACAATGGGAAACTCAGAAATGATCAAAGTTAGCTTGTCGTGAAACGTCTGCTGAGCAAACTTGACCTTGCGCATGTAGAAATCTCGGATGCGAGAGATCTTGTAGTGCTTGTGTACAACGGTGGGGGTTTTCCTCTGTGTCTTGGACAAGACAATGTCCACGAAGTCCTGCAACAAATAACAACAATGAAATATTTCCAGCATTCTGGGGATAAAAGTACACCATGTGGCCTTCTTTCTGTGACCAACAATGTCCACCAGCTAAAATAAAAATGACAAAATATATTAGAGGCACATCATAAAAGATTGTCTCAGTGAACCACCGAGCCTGCCAGGGCACCAGATCAGGGGCTATTCAACTTAGTTTGCTCAGCGGCCAATATTTTGAAATTTGTGGATCGTCACGGGTCAGACGTCTGAGAAGATCATTAATATAATACAACCTGCAGTGATCCGTTGGCTGCCTCTGTGGGCCATCAGTTGAATAGCCCTGCACCAGATGACAACAATGATGAAATCTCCGATTAACCAGCATCAAAATATGACTTTCTTTACCATCAAGTACCTTGCTGACTGGTGTAGTCTATCATGCCTTTGTACAACAACCTACAATCTCCAACAACACACATCAGTTTGTGTGCTGACACTCTTCCAAGACATTTCATTTTAACAAATGTGCCACGAATCTTCACAGGGTTTCTTTTTCTGTCTCTTTCGGAAATTATCAAAATGGTTGCCTGCTATGTAAAAATTCTGGTCTTCTTTTGAAAAATGGGGCTGGCTGTGGAGTGCATGACCTTCCTAGTCATGTGAATTTGTGCTACAAAAGTTGCCTATATTCAGTAGCCATGTGAATTTGTGCTTCATAAATTGCTTAAATTCACTAGGCATGTGAATTTGTGCTACATAAGTTGCCTATATTCACTAGCCATGTGAATTTGTGCTACATAAGATGCATATTCTGATTTTCTCCTCATTTGTCATGATATGAGATTTTTCAATTTAATTCTCAGGACATGATCTAGGACAATAAAATTAGCTCAGATCTGAGAGGAAGCAAGCCAACACCGCAACACAGACTTGTGGGTATTCATGAACCAACATACTCATACTGGGACTTGCTTGTGTCTATGAGCATACAGTGGGTCATGACAATGCCATAAAACTTTCTTGTTTAGATCATCTAAGACAAGTTTCAGGAACAACATTTTATTACACTTGCTTATAACTTTAACTTTACGTTTTATTTAGTAATGTTATCTCTGTCTCTGTTTTGTATTGTCATTCATTCACAAGATTTATTTCTTCTCTGCAGCGTTGTTTTCTGTTCAGGTTTTACAAAAACAAAAATTTTAGCTGGCCCAAAAGCTGGAAAGGTTCTGACCTGCAGTGTCAGATTGTTTTTAAGAGTGAGTTTGTTTTGTTTAGGGGGAGTGGGCTTTAAAATGAGCGGCTGATGAACCAAGCACTTCGACTGGAAAGTGAAGTAGGTCTAGGATTTTAACAGTCCAACAAGTGATCGATACTTTGGTTTATTCAGACTGTGCGGAGTCATAATTTCATGAAGAATACGTTCACAGTTGAAGTGAGAGAGCTCGAATCATGTGGAGAATCTTGAAAATGATAAATCTAGAAATAGATCGATAGTAGGAGAAGGGGGCGTGTCCCTCAAACAGCAAAATCTGGTGTTCACTTTGTGAAACAAGGAAATACTGCTGAGCGGATTGGCACAGTACACAAAGGTGGGCTATCCTCTGAATAACGGTCCTAAATTATCGAGGTCGAAAATATACCCTAACAGGGTCTCAGTCATGTGTCAATTGTGAACTTCCGGCGACTTAAATTGCGCACATCCGGCGACTTCCGCCACCACCAAGAGCATCCCCCACGCCGTGTGGATTGGGGCTAAACTAGATGGCTGGGACTTACGAGCAGCAACTACCGCATATCCTGCAGCTTCCTTCATTTTATTTGCTCTTGAGTCCCAGCCATATAGTTTAGTCCTAATCCACGATGCGCGAGCGACGTGGTGGATACTCTCGGCGGTGGTATAGTCCCTAGAACTACGCAATTCGGCTGTGGCAGTATAGTCCCCGGAAGTTCGCAAATGACATGTGACTGAAGCCCTGTTAAGGTATATTTTCGGCCTTGATAATTTGGGACCGTTATTCGGAGGAAAGCCCAAAGGTGGAATATTGGCGGTAGATGAAATAGATGAAAGGTTAACCGTTAACCTATTTTCTACAATGTCTCCAAGTTTCAACTTACTTATTCTAACCACTTGTTTGCATGTAATTAATATTTTTGTATATCAAGATTTTTTCGTGTTAATGCCCAGGAGACCAGGTATAGTGGGCAGTTAGGTTTAGGGCCTCAGGGCTGGTAGAGTTAAAAAATCCTCCTCTGACATCTCTTGATTATTCTTGATATTATTGGCTCTCCTTTGAAATCTTCCGAGCGTATCCCCCGCGCCGCGCAGATGGGGACTAAACTAGGTGCCTGGGACTCACGAGTGTAAAGTAATTGGAGGAAGTTGCAGGAGATGTGGTAGCTGCCACTCGTGAGTCCCAGCCATCTAGTTTAGTCCCCATCAGCACCACGCTTAGTGGTACGGGGGATACGCTCTGCGGTGAGGCACATTCGCAGAAGCAGGTCGACAAGTAACGTATCGCCGAGACCCTGTCAGATCATTTGTTTCGTTATCCGGAGTCGGCAGATATATTTTTTATAGAACTGACATGCATTAGGATATTTTTAGATATTTTATGGCAAGAAATTGGCCAATTTAGCTCTCTTTCGAACGCCATCATATTAAAGGCAAAGCCGCCATTTTGGGGGTTGATTCAAAGGAGAGCCATATTATCTACTGTTACTAGTTACAACCTGTACATACAATGCAATGATCAGCTATCATCAACATATAGTGACAAGACAATTCTTCTTCTTCTTTCGTTCGCTTGAAATAGATTATCTATATCAACATTTCAACAAGACAAACCAATGATGAATGATGGCTGAGGAGACATCTCAGACAACTGTACGCAACGTCCACGCACTAACGACCATAGAGTAGTACAGAAACATACTTTATAGACATAAATAGGGACCTTATGATAACGATCAAGAAATAAGCGAAAAACATACCTTATAACTAGGGACCACGGTAATCTGCTTGACAATGTGCGCCATCTTTCTGATCCACGAGGTTATTAGTTATTAACCGGAAGTAAATATTCACGAATGTTTTCGGCTACATGTCCCAATTCGCATTTTTATTTTGGAACACGTTACATGGGTCGGCTCTGTGGCTAAGTCGATGCGAACGCTTCGTAATGCCGGCGTGCCGGGTTCGATTCCTGCTGCGGGCCATTCGCCATGCGTTGGTTTTGACAGTGGTATCAGGGGCCGACCAGAAAGCAGTGGGAAACTACTGGACGTAAATTTGCCTAAAGAAACCACACAACAGCCAGAGGCTGCTGGGGTTGGTTTTGCGACGTCCTGTAAAGGATAAGCAACTAACCCAACACGTTACATGGACATCTCATGATGTCTCAGTTGAAGGAAAAGGACTTAATCAAGTCAAAAAATTCAAATATCTGGGAACAGTCATATTATCAGATGGAAAACGTGTGACAGAGATTAAAAGCAGAATATGTCAAACAAACGCCCGTGTGTCACCGGGGCCCTCACGGGAAGCATAGATTAGTGACACTGCACCCTACCAGGCATGTCGTAAGAGACGACTAAGGTCAGGGTTGGGCTTGAGGTTAACTACCTCATCCTGTAAAAACAATAACCACAAAACCCAACCAACCTTAGATAATTCAAAAAGAGAAACAAGTAAAACCCAGCCAACCAAGATGAGAGGAGGCTCTTCAAGTAGAAGAAGTATGACACGGTGTGGAGAAAACCGTAAGGAGTCCGGATAGTTGACGTACCTCCTCTCAGCTAGGAAAACCTCCAGAATTGGCACCTGGGATGTTAGAACTCTCTATGATATAGTGAGAACAATGGAAGTCGCAAGGGAAATGAAATATTATATAATTATTATTTTTCGGTTATGTGAAATTAAATGGACTGGGGAATTCAGGGGAAACTATTTTGTTCTCAGGACACAGAGAGGAAAATTCGCCCCACAGAGAAGGAGTGGCCCTGATGCTATCGAAAGAAGCAGACAGGGCACTAAAAGAATGGGAAGCTGTGAGTCCCAGAATAATAAGAGCATCATTTAGAACAGCGAAACCGAAGGTGAACATGTCGGTAATACAGTGTTAGGCACCAACAAATGATAAAGATGCATCTGTTAAGAAAGAATTTTACATGCAGCTTCAGAATATTATAAATAATGAAAGAAAGAGCAATTCAAAAAATTTGATGGGTGACCTGAATGCTAAAATAGGATCAGACAACTCAGGTTATGAAGAAATTATGGGAAGACCTGGTCTAGGAGTAATGAATGAAAATTTAGAATTGTTCACACAGTTTTGTGCAGGAAACCAGTATGTTATTGGTGGGAGTATTTTCCTCCATAAAAGAACACACAAGGCAACATGGAAATCACCAGACCATTATACAACTAATCAAGTTGATCACCTATGTATTAACTAAAGGTTTAGATCATCCCTTTACAATGTTAAGGCTATCAGAGGTGCCGATGTATTTACTGACCATTACCTAGTGGTAAGTAAAATCAAGTTGAAACTTAAAAGATATATAACTTCTTATAATCATAGAAACCAGTATAATGTAAGTTATATCAGGGATAAAGAAGGTAAGGAATAGTTTTCAGTTACAGTCTCTAACAAGTACCAGGTGTTGCAGCAGTTAGCTGAAAATGTCAGCACAGAAGTCTGCTGGGATCAAATCAAAGGAATCTGGAATGAATCTTGTTTAGAAGTTCTTGGCAAGAAAGAGCGCAAACATAAAGCGTGGGTAACACCAGAAACCATTAAATTGATTGAAAAAAGGAAAAGTAAAAAGGCAGACTTAAACAATAGCAAAACTAGAGCTGCTAAAGCTAGAGCTCAGGAGAAATACACAGAAGCCAACAAGGAAGTTAGGAGGCATATAAGGGCAGATAAAGTGAAATATCTAAATGATCTAGCACAAGAAGCGGAGACAGCAGTAGCAAAAGGAAACCTCAGAGAACTTTACAGTGACACAAGAAAATTAGTAGGTAAATATAGTCAGCCAACTGGATCAATAAAAAATAGAAAAGGAAAGGCGCTTTCTAACACTAAAGATCAAATGGACAGATGGGTTGAATATTTTGAAATGCTTCTAAACAGACCAGGTCCAGAGGTTCCCCCATATATCTAGCCTTTAGAAATGGAACTGGATATCAACCGTAAGATACCGTCTAAAGAGGAAATTAGAAAAGCTATCAATCTTCTCAAGGAGGGAAAAGCGACAGGCCACGATGGTATCCCAACTGAAGCCATTAGGGCCAACATAAACTATATAGATTATTAAGTAAAGTCTGGGAGACCAAAGAAATACCAACAGACTAGAGAGAAGGATATCTTGTGAAACTGTCCAAAAAAAAAAAAAAAAGTGATCGACAGGAATGTGAAAACTATAGAGGAATTATGTTGCTCAGAAAATGAAAAATATCTTTTGCAATAAATCGCTCTCATTTAATGTCAGAAAGAGGGGGCTAAAATGTTACATAAAACCTGTCCTGCTGTATGGCAGCAAATCTTGGAATGTCAGTGAACACATCAAGAAGAATTTAGAAGCAACTGAGATCTGGTTTCTGAGACGAATACCTTTGCCGGCCATAGTAACTAACAATAATTGCTTGAAAGAAGCTAATGAAAGTAGATATCTGTATACAACAATAAGAAAGAAACAAACACTGTTATTTGGCCACATAATGAGAAGAGAGACATTGGAGAACATCACGACAACTGGAAAGATCAGTGGGAAAAAAGGTAGAGGCAGACCAAGAGAGATGATGTTGAATGGGCAGAAACGATAGCATGGAGGGATATCAAGAGAGCTGTTCCAGGCAACCAGGAATCGTGATCTGTGGAGACGCATGAACGCCTACGCCAGTTGGCAGAGCACATGGTGATGATGATACATGGACAGTTAATCAACATAATGTTTAATTAAGAAGCGACATCACAGCGTTCCGACCCATCTTCATCAGCATGCGATGAGTTCCATTTCTGATGGTACTCGTAACAGTACGATTGTATATCCGCCTTACTTTTCTTTGTGTGCTGATCGCCGGCTAGTTACCCTGGACACTACTCAGACCCCATTCTCCTCAGACCGTGATGATGTTTTTGTGACTCCACACTGTTCGCTCTCTCCCAAAGGACCCTTACGACATCTAGCTTGTTATAAATCGATTTATTATCAGGTTGTCCAGAAACAGCCAGTCTATCAGCCTTTTCATTTCCTAATACACTGGCATGCCTGGAGAAAATATCCAAATGACACTAACTACGTGGTGCAAGCTGCGTGGTTTTTATGTGAGGTTACTGATGGTAAATTTAAGAAAAAGTCACAAAAGGAAAAACTAACACGGTTTGGTGACATAATTGACACAGTGCCTGTGAGTTCGGGACAGTCGAAAATACGCATCCAGGCGTCACGCGTGGAGAAAGCAGAAGGCGGAGAAACATTGAGAAGTGCCGAGCAAATAAGAATGCACTAAGAAAATGGTTAAAAGTCGCTACAGTCAGCGAACGGGAGGAACTGTGCGAGGTTTGGCTGCACCTAAAAAGCAGACACAGTGCCCTCTGATGCTCTGAGCGTTTCTGTCGGAACTAAAGAAGAAACAAAAGGGAACGAGACAGATTTTTTAGGGACCCGTTCTAGTTTGCCCGAGGTCTTTTCGAGCAACCAAAGACTGGGACCCTTGTTGTTAATAAAGAAGAGCTGGAGTTGTTACATCTAGGGGCATGTACTCCGATTAGCCAAGGAATGACCCTCTCGAAGACGGACATGAGATTAAAAATTGTCTGAAGTGGCCTGAGTTGCCAAAGGCAATGTTTAAAACGATGCCTTCCTCTTGGTCTAGGTCAGAGGAGGGTACTCAATAAAACTCTTCGCCGTCGAAATAGGCGCAAAAGGGCAATGTCCACCTTCACATACAATGTACTAAAACATCTGCGCTTGCGAGACAGACAGAGTAAACAGGGGCTAAAACAACTAGTTAAAGCTGGGGAAAGAGCTTTAAGCTGGCTGTGGACACAACGGAACGTCGTGGGGGATGGGCGTCGGTAGACTGGTCCAAGCCCTTAGTGGAAAAGAACTTTTAAATTCCTAAAAGCAAAAGTGTCTGATCAAGTCTGCCAGTGTCTCTCTGACAGTTGGCAAAGTCTAACGTCTGTCAAGTAAACCAACTGTAAACTTGTCGCTTCGGTCGTGAGGGCAGGCGGCTAATTTGCTATCGCCCCAAACCTCAATACCTAGTTGCAAAGCCACCATTTCGTCTTGTTCAAACGTATCCATTCGATATTGAGAGTTAGGGGACCATGTCATATTGAGAATTAGGGGCTCATGCCATATTGAGAGTTAGGGACGCATGCCATATTGCGAGTTAAAAACACATGTCATATTGAGAGTTAGGGATCCATGCCATATTGAGAGTTAGGGATCCATGCCATATTGAGAGTTAGGGACGCATGCCATATTGCGAGTTAAAAACACATGTCATATTGAGAGTTAGGGATCCATGCCATATTGAGAGTTAGGGACCACATGCCATATTGCGAGTTAAAAACACATGTCATATTGAGAGTTAGGGATCCATGCCATATTGAGAGTTAGGGACCACATGCCATATTGCGAGTTAAAAACACATGTCATATTGAGAGTTAGGGATCCAAGCCCCTAGTGGAAAAGAACTTTTAAATTCCTAAAAGCAAAAGTGTCTGATCAAGTCTGCCAGTGTCTCTCTGACAGTTGGCAAAGTCTAACGTCTGTCAAGTAAACCAACTGTAAACTTGTCGCTTCGGTCGTGAGGGCAGGCGGCTAATTTGCTATCGCCCCAAACCTCAATACCTAGTTGCAAAGCCACCATTTCGTCTTGTTCAAACGTATCCATTCGATATTGAGAGTTAGGGGACCATGTCATATTGAGAATTAGGGACCACATGCCATATTGAGAGTTAGGGACGCATGCCATATTGCGAGTTAAAAACACATGTCATATTGAGAGTTAGGGACCACAT